CGCTGTAGGAGAGCATGTTGGTGGTGTGCACAAGCTCGACGGGCCCCGAGATCTTGTTGCGGATGGAGCCATGTGTCATGAATGCCTTGGTCGACTGTTTGCGGTGCAGCAAGCCGTCGGACGGGGGGTGGGCAGAGTTGTTGTCGGCGGCTTCCCTGTTGTTCTTGATTTCCAGGGTTTGCCGCACCCGGCGGGTGGTGAAAGCTCTTGCGAGAGACATGTCGAATGTGTGAAGAAGAACGGGAAAAAAAGGTAAAAAGTAAAGTGAAGCGATTCTCAGAAAAGGATGGTCGACTCAGAGTAGACTCCGCTGATGGGGAGTCGGCGAGCGGTGAAAAGGTGCAAGATAGGGATGTTGAAAATGAATGTGAAAAGTGAGGATGCAAAGGAGAGCGGCTCTCAGACTTCTCAGAAACGTGAGAGCGAAAAGGCGCAGATCAAATCAGAAACAATGGCGCAGAAGGGGAGGGCCACGAGTATAAAAGGTGTCACACGTCAAAGGTCACAACCAGTTGTGAACATGCCAGTGTTGACACGGCTTCTTGTGCGACGGGCGCAGTGGCAAAAGCGGTCTAGACGAGGGACACGACGAAAATAAAACAAGGAGGTCGACAGAGTGAGGTGTGTCGCCTGGCGATTCCTTGCAAAGATGCAGTCGTCGTTGTCTCTTTATCCGATGTCTCTTTTCGGAAACCCAAGTAAAGGGTAAATGGCGGAGCGCGGAGGGGATATAAAGAAACAAAACAACGGGCCAAAGAGCGCCCCAAGAACAAAAGGCAAGGGCGGCACAAACAAAAGCGACGCTTGCTGATCGTCGGCTGTGATTGGCTGCGGTGTTTGGTGAAGAAAGCGTCAACCCCTCCACTACCGTTTAGGGAAGGTACGGGCGGCTCGAGTGGGCAGATACCCCGTTCAGGCGCGGAAGGTTTTCGTAGCGCAAGGGCGACCAGCGGACAGCCGCTCGTGATAAAAATAACAATGCGGTGGTGAAAGGGTGGTTTCTGCGGGCCTTGTGCTGCCGTGCTGGTGATGCCGCGTGCGTCGTGCGTGTGCGTCAGTGTCGTCCAAGGGCGAGCTCGAAAGACAGTTGGTGTGTGTGCTGGTGGTCTGAGACTCGTTTCCTCGTTTTTGCCCTCGTTTACTATCTCCCTGCGCTTGCGGACGAGAGGTTACCGAAAAGGGCGATGCGATGCGACTCTGGCGGTGCGAGTCAAAGTGACGTGAAAATGGAAAGAGCGGTGTTTCTGGATCCAGTCCAGAAAATTCGTCGAGAATGGGCGCTCCTGCGATTTCAGGAATGCGGTTGGACGTTGTTGCGGGAAGGAGCGATTGAGCAGAGAAGAATGCGGCTTCCTGCTATGGGAGAAGCAGATGTTGTCTCACGGTATGGTGTATTTTGGATTTTAGATGCTTGGATCGGTGTGTATATTTTTTGGTTTGTCAGAAAAATAGTCCTGCTGGAAGAAGAGTCGCGCCTGCGACAAAATCGAAAAGAGTGTGAACTGTGCACGTTGCGTGCGACGGTGGGCGGAACTCAAAGGAGAGACGGCGAGCAGCACTCAGTAAAAAGGCGAAAAGAAGGGAAATGACGAACGAGAAGAAACGATGAGAAAGGAAGGAATGGTGACAAAGTAACCGTGGTAGGGAAAGGGTAGAAAGAGACGAGAGGAAAGAAACAAACCCGTCGCGGGAAACATTCCCATATGAAGGAAGGACGCGGCCAACGCCATGGGTGCGCAACGCACATGGCGATGCGCTCTATCTCGACTCTTTCCTTTTTCGCTCACGGTGGTGCCTTGAGCCTTTTTGCCCCTGGATCGCGACAAGTATATGCTACCACGGCCATCGCCTTGCTTAGCGTGGGTTCACAGGTACCTCAGTACCTCGCTAGATACCCCACGCTCAGGGGAAAAACTCGCTAGGCAAGGGCTAGGCTTGCTAGCGGAAAGAGAATTTTTTAGTCTCTGATCTGGTCCTCTCCAGGCGTCGACGGACGTCTTTCTTTCGATCGGCTGGCGTTCTGGAACTGTCCTTTTCCCTTTTCGCCCATTTTGCCACGTTTGCGACTTCTCCGATGGCTCAGCAGGCACAACTCTGGGCCTCAGCGTTGGTGTGTGTCTGTGTTGTGCCTATTCAATTTACTTGTTTTGGATGTGCAGACACGTCCGATAGCTCATCGATAGCTCGTCATGTCACCTGATGTCCACCAGCCGTTCTTTCCCCCAAGACCATGTCAGTCCTTTTATGGGTGCGCTGGTGCGGTTCCTGACTTTGCCCACTATGCTGCAACCCATCTCCGCTGAGGAAGGAACCTGGCTCCATCGTCACTGCGAGAATCCCCATCCGCTTTTTGCTGCGCCCGAGCGGCCAGTTTCAATCTCTCCCCTTTATCCCTGTCAAGGGTGTGGGTCGCCAAACTGTGGTTGGTCCTTTTCCAACTCTGGCCAGGGGTTGTCTTTCTTTGCTGATTTTTTCCCCTTGTCGGCTTTGGGCTTCTCGCTTCTCTCTTCCCGTTGGCCAATGGGCAAAACGGGCCTGCAAAAAAGATGAGCAAAACAGCCAAAAGATGCAAAAGACCTAAAAGCCCAAAGACCGAAAAGGACCACCCAACCAGACAGACACACGCCTTCGCAAACCCACCCGCCCACTATCTATTCTTTTTAGGCTCAGAAACCCCTTTGCACCTTGCACAGCGTGGGTGGAGTGGAGAATATCAACCGCCAACAGACTCGAAAGGAAGCATCCCTCTCTTTTTATCCATTCCCCTTGCAAGTCCTCTACTCCGTTCATGTACATGCTCTCCCTAGTTGGATGCCATGTGTGCGGACAGCAGTTGTTGATGTGGCCAAGCAAGTCAAGCAAGGCCTTGGTGCGCGATTGTTGCAGACGGGGTTCGCTGCAAGCTGACGTGGTGCCACAGGACTAGCGGCCAGTGCGATGTCCGGACACATATCGAATGACCTAGGGATATCGTGAAATGGATGAAGAAGAAAGCGAGACGCCAGACTCTATCCGTGGCCGACCGGATGTATCTAGAGTCCAGACGAAGAACAGGGCGGTCTCGCGAGCTGAGACGAACATATCCGATACGTATGATGTATGTGTGCCACTCGAAATCGCCCCGGCTTGCGTACCACAAGCGAGATGCTTCATCCAAACCGTTTGCCTCTGTCGTCCTTTTCGCAATGGACACGACTACCTTTGTGGCCAGCAACAATACGCGAGACTATGGAGTACATGTAACTCTAAGCCATGACGAAGCCCGGAAAGCGGAGGAACAGTGCACCTAAGAGCCTGGGGGAAAGAAAGCCAGCGAATATCTGGCAAGCCTGTCCGCTTTACCGGATGACCTGAAGGAAAAGCTCAAGAGGCCCAAAGAGGAAAAGTGCGATCCTTGAACGCTAGTGGTCCTCAGGCCGAGTTGTTCCTTGCAGATGAAACATGCCCCCTGGGACCGCGCCCGCATCGCCGTCGCCCATTGGTTGGTTGGCCCCAGGGTCGGCAGCTCATTGGTGCACTGATCGAAACAAAGTTTCAAGATGACAGAAAGGTGAGTACGAGACAGCGCCGTTCTACTTCGTATCGAACCATCAGGGAAGCCATCTGGCAGTATCCAAGGCCAGAAGAGGCGTGGGAACTCTCAGCGCCCTTTGAGCCACCTGCACGGTTCGAGCGCAGGGAGCAAGCGCGAGCGCCTTGCCGATAAGTGCAACGTCTGTTTCAGAAGGGAGAAACACCCGCAGCAAGGGAAGCGATCATCGTCGCTTGTCGGAGCATAAACCGTGCAAGCTATTGATTTCTTCGGTGAAGATATGCAGCCATTTGGTGGCCAACTAAGTCAACTGCATCCAAGTTGAGCTGGCAAGGGAGACAGCAGATTAAACGCATAGACAGCTTTCGACGTTGTCGAGCTGGTATGCAAATCGACCTCAGATTCAACCTTCGCAGCACTGGAATGAAATGACGAAACAGCAACCGACGCACATGGAGTCTCAACGGCTGCTCCAGATGCCATACATGCCTCAATATTTGTCTTTCAGTCACATTGTTTCTGCTGTTTCTGCTGTTACTGCAGCTGAAGAGAACACCAGTCCGAGGATTTTCGTCAAGGCATAATTGCAGTTCCAGAAGACGTCGCGGAACATATCCATCCCAGGAAATCTGGTTCCGGTCCTGGGTTTCCTGCCGTCTGCGGAAAAACATGGCAGAACACAAACAGTAGGAGTCAGCCTCGTACGCCAGGTCGCTTGACCGTTGCAAGTTACTTCGTACGACGTACGCTGCAACACACAGTCAGAGAGGATGCGGCACTGTGCGGTCCGACCGCCGATGCGCTGCAAATCAATCGCTTCCCGCTTTTGATGTGCCCTGCCATTCCCTGTTTCTCGAAGCCTGTGCGGCCGAACAGCGTGACAAATGACGAGAACAAAGCAAAAGAGGAAAAGTTGAAAAACAAAGCAGGATGACATAAAACAATGTGACCAAATATCATTTCTAGGTTCATCACGGAGTGTCTTCCGTGTATCTATGTTGAAGATAGCCCTGCCCCGCTGGCAATGTAAACGATGAGACAAAAAAGCACAGGGGCAGAAAGGCAGACGTCATAGACATGTGTATATCAGATCCCAAGCCAGCAACCGCCCGAGCCCTCTCCAAATGGCGCTGTCCAGAGTCGGCTCCCACATTCTCGGAACACCGATCGACAGCCACATTCTATGCGTAGCAAAGGTTGAGACGGCGCGAGCGCTGAACGTGGTCGATTCTTCGCAAGTTTTGTTGTCTGAAACTGGGTGCTCGTGCATCAGCGGGCGATCCAGCGATCAGAGGTATCTATATGCCAGCAAGCACCAAGATAAAAGCTGGCATACAGTGGGCCACGCATGGCAAACGAAACGACGGAGAAAAGCGCATCCTTTTGCTGATGGCATGAACACCAGCAACCTGCTAAACCGTGATTGCCGTCCCCACGTAGCAGAACAATTTCCGATCTGTGATGGAGCTCAGTCCTCACCCATCGACTCATCGTCGTCGTCATCGCTGCCCTTGCCAACAGCCACGCCGCCCTCGCCCTCCTCACCCTCCTCCTCGTCATCGGAGCTTTCCTCGCTGTCGTCGTCCTCGACGCCAATCATGCGCTCCTCCACGTCGCCGTCGGCCGCGTTCGGCAACTTGGACGCAAATGCCTGGCGCACGGCGGCGTTGGTGCTCGTGTCCCACACCGTCAGGTTGCCCTTGCTGCCGGCCACAGCCAGGCGGAAGGCCACCTCCGGATCAGGCGCAAACTGCGTGGAGAAGACCTTGCCGACGTCGAGGGTGCGCGACACGACCATGCTGGGACCGGACGCCTGGATGTTCCACAGCTTGACGGTGCGGTCGCCCGAGCCGGTGGCCATGTAGCCGGGAATGTGCGGGTTGACATCAAACGACGACACCGACTCGTCGTGTGCCTGCAGGGTCCAGACCGCCTTGGTCTGCGTCGGGTCGGCTGGCGCCATGCGCACGTCGTGGTAGTGCACGATGCCGTTCTCGGTCGACACAAAGAAGAAGTTGGGGTGGTGGGGGTCCCAGCGGACGTTCTCGACGTCGCTCTCCACGCCCCAGCGCGGCCGCGTGGCCTCGGGCGCGCGCATGTCGGCGGCCACAATCGTGCGGTCGTAGCTGCCGCTCAGCAGCACCGTCGACTCGACGGCGTGCCATGCCAGCGAGCAGACCTTGTCGGTGTGGTAGGTGTAGGACTTGGCGCACGTCGCCGTGTTGAGGTCCCAGAGCTTGACGGTCGTGTCGGCCGACGCCGAGGCCAGGAGGTTGCGGTGCTTGCGGTTCGCGGCGAGCGACAGCACGGCGTCGACGTGGTAGTGGTCGTTGGCCTTGGCCTTGCTCTTCTTCTTTTTCTTCTTCTTCTTCTTCTCGTCGCCTGCGCCCGCAGAGGCCTCGCCGGCCTTGCCGCCCTGGCCCAGGATGGCGTTGGGATACATGCAGTCGACCGTGTCCAGGTCCCAGATCTCAATGTCCGGGTCCATGGTGCCGACGGCAACAAAGTTGGCGACGGCGCCCGCGGCCGCGCTGGGCTTGCCGACGGGCAGGTCGAGCCACTCGACGCACAGCGGGATGGCCGGTAGCATGATGTCGTGGTGGACGTACAGGTTGTCGGCCTCGTCCTCGTACACGTAGACCTCGAGGTGCGCCAGCTCGTCCTCGACCTTGGCAGCCAGCACGAGGTTGTCCGTTGCCAGCACCTGCAGGTCCTCGCGGTCGTCCTCCTCGTCCTCGGCGTTGGCGTCCTGCAGCGTAATGTAAGGGTCGTCTTTATTGGACTCGTAGTAAGCCAGCGACTTGATGTTGCCGAAGATGGACATGGGCTGCCCGTCGCTGACACCGCCGGCGGCGTCGTCGTCCTCGTCGTCGTAGTTGTCGAGGTTGTACTCCTTCAGGTCGTCGTCGTCAATGTCGATTGTGGCGGCGGCGGCGGCTACGTTGGCTTTTGGCTTTTTGCTCGTCTTGCCATTCTTCGCCGCACCCTCGGTCTGATCCTCTGTCTGACCCTCGGCCTCGCCATCATCCTCGCCTTCACCCTCCTCTCGTGCCTCGTCGAGGTCCTCTTGCGCATCCTCCAGCTGCAGCTTGGCTAATTTGGCGATGCGCTCAAACTCGTCCTCGTTAAACTCGTACTTTTGGGGGAACGGGGCCGCGAAACCGCGCGGCACCCATGCCGTGGTCGTAATCATGGAAGACATGGCGGTGGTCGCTTGTCGTCGCCTGTCGGTAGAAGTACGAAATCAAAAAAAAGCGAACGACACAAAGAAAACAGAAAGAAAAAACAAGGCTTTGGATTCACCGATTCTCAGTTGCTGCTGTTTTGCGAAAAAATCCTCCCCTCGAACTTTTTAGCGGGTCCAGGCGCTAGCGGGGCTTATCTTATCGAGCTTCTGCTTGGCAGGCGCTAAAAAGTGGTTTGCAGCACTGAAACCGCATGCTCTAGCGCGCTTCGACCACTGAACATTTTCATACCGCCAGCTGAATTCACCTCACAACATCTCTACTGGTGTCTCTCACACACACGTTGACGAGCCTCGTCTCGCATCTCTACGCTGCTTGCCCCCTGACACCACGGTATCAAGCGTCTGACGAGCACGATGGATCGGGACTACGGACGCTACCGCGAGAGGGACCGCGGCGGACGGGACTACGACCGCGACCGTGGCGGCAGAGATCACGATCGAGACCGTGACTTTCGCGGCCACCACGACAGAGACAGCCGAGACAGCCGAGATGGAGGAGGCAGAGGCCGCGACGGCGATCGGGATCGGGACCGAGACCGGGATGTGGGTTACGGCGGAGATCGAAACGACTGGAACGACCGCTCTGATCGCAACGGCCGTAATGAATCCGATCCGCACTTCAAGCGGCGCAGGCTCAACTTCAACCGATCCGTTCGAGACGACGGTGGCGGTGGCGGCGGCGGCAGCAGCAGCAGAAATGGCCGTTTCGATCGGGGACGGCCACCACGAGATGACTACAGCAGCCGGTCGGCGACACCAAGGGGCGACCGCAACCGGCGCGACGCGACACCCACACAAGAAGAGTTTGGCGCCACGGGCGAGGAAGGTGTCTCGGCCGAGGACGAGAAGGCACTGGACCGCGACTGGTACACGGGCGACGAGTTCGGGCACACCTTTGGCGACGAAGACCACAACCCGTTTGGGTCCTACGACGACACCTCGTGGGCGGACAAGGAACGCCAGGAGCAGCAGATGCTCGAGAAGAAGACGGGCCGTTTCGACCGCGTGAACCCACGAACACTACAGAAGCAAAAGGATGTCGACGCCTGGGAGACGAACCGCATGCTGACGAGCGGCGTTGCGCAGCGGCGGGACATGGGTGCCGACTTTGGCGACGACGAAGAGGCGACGCGCGTGCACCTGTTGGTGCACAACCTGCGGCCGCCGTTCCTGGACGGCAAGACCATCTTTACGAAGCAGCTTGAGCCCGTGCCGGCCGTGCGCGACTTCCAGAGCGACATGGCCGTCTTCAGTCGAAAGGGCAGCAAGGTCGTGCGCGAGCGGCGACAGCAGCGCGAGCGGCAGCGCGCGGCAAAGGACGCGACGAACGCGGCAGGCACGACGCTCGGCAACCTGATGGGCGTGCGGGGCGACAACGACGACGACAGCGCGCTGCCCCTGGCCGGCGAGGAGGAAGAGGCGAAGAAGAGCAAGTCGGGTGCCCACCCCGACGCCGCCGGCGCAAAGGGAAGCAACAAGTTCGCGGAGCACATGAAGAAGAACGAGGGCGCCAGCTCGTTCAGCCAGAGCAAGAGCCTGCGCGAGCAGCGCGAGTACCTGCCGGCGTTTGCGGTGCGCGAGGACCTGATGCGCGTCATCCGCGACAACCAGGTCATTATCGTCGTGGGCGAGACGGGCTCGGGCAAGACGACGCAGCTGACGCAGTTTCTGTACGAAGACGGCTACGGCCACGTGGGCATGATCGGGTGCACGCAGCCGCGGCGTGTGGCGGCGATGAGCGTGGCCAAGCGCGTCAGCGAGGAGATGGAGGTCAAGCTCGGCAGCACGGTGGGCTACGCGATCCGCTTCGAGGACTGCACGAGCAAGGACACCGTCATCAAGTACGTGACGGACGGCGTGCTGCTGCGCGAGTCGCTCAACGAGCCCGACCTCGACCGCTACTCGTGCATCATCATGGACGAGGCGCACGAGCGCGCGCTCAACACGGACGTGCTGCTGGGCCTGTTCAAGAAGATCCTGCAGCGGCGCCGCGACATCAAGCTGATTGTGACGTCCGCCACCATGAACTCGAAGCGCTTCGCCGACTTCTTTGGCGGCGCGCCCGAGTTTGTCATCCCCGGCCGCACGTTCCCCGTGGACGTCATGTTCCACCGCACGCCCGTCGAGGACTACGTCGACCAGGCGGTCCAGCAGGTTCTGGCGATCCACGTGTCCATGGGCCCCGGCGACATTCTCGTCTTCATGACGGGCCAGGAGGACGTCGAGGTCACGTGCGAGCTGGTGCGCGAGCGCCTCGACACGCTCAAGGACCCGCCCAAGCTGAGCATCCTGCCCATGTACAGCCAGATGCCGGCGGACCTGCAGGCCAAGATCTTTGACAAGGCCGCGCCGGGCGTGCGCAAGTGCATCGTGGCCACCAACATTGCCGAGACCAGCCTGACGGTCGACGGCATCATGTACGTCGTGGACCCCGGCTACTCCAAGCTCAAGGTGTACAACCCGCGCATGGGCATGGACACGCTGCAGATCACGCCAATCTCGCAGGCCAACTCGTCGCAGCGGTCCGGGCGCGCCGGCCGCACAGGGCCCGGCAAGGCGTTCCGCCTGTTTACGGAAAAGGCCTTCAAGGACGAGCTGTACCTGCAGACCATCCCCGAGATCCAGCGCACCAACCTCAGCAACACGATCCTGCTGATCAAGTCGCTGGGCGTCAAGGACCTGCTCGACTTTGATTTCATGGACCCGCCGCCCCAGGACACCATCACGACGTCGCTGTTCGACCTGTGGGCGCTCGGCTCGCTCGACAACCTGGGCGAGCTGACCAGCCTCGGCCGCAAGATGAACGCGTTCCCCATGGACCCGCCGCTGGCCAAGCTGCTCATCATGGCCGAGACGTACCGCTGCAGCGAGGAGATGGTCACGATCGTGTCGATGCTGTCGGTGCCCAACGTCTTTTACCGGCCCAAGGAGCGCCAGGAGGAGTCGGATGCGGCGCGCGAAAAGTTTTTTGTGCCCGAGTCCGACCACCTGACGTACCTGCACGTCTACACCCAGTGGAAGGCCAACGGCTACCTCGACAGCTGGTGCACGCGCCACTTTTTGCACGCCAAGTCGCTGCGCCGCGCCAAGGAGGTCCGCGAGCAGCTCGTCGACATTATGAAGATGCAAAAGATGCCCATGACCAGCTGCGGCACCGACTGGGACGTCCTCCGCAAGTGCATCTGCTCCGGGTACTACCACCAGGCCGCCAAGGTCCGCGGCATCGGCGAGTACATCAATCTGCGCACCAGCGTCACCGTGCAGCTGCACCCGACCAGCGCACTCTACGGACTGGGCTTCCTGCCCGACTACGTCGTCTACCACGAGCTGATTCTGACGTCCAAGGAATACATGTCCACCGTCACCGCCGTCGACCCGCGCTGGCTGGCCGAGCTGGGCGGCGTGTTCTACTCGGTCAAGGAAAAGGGCTACTCGGCGCGCGAGAAGCGCGTCATCGAGACGGACTTTAACCGGCGCATGGAGATCGAGTCGCAGATGGCGCGCGACAAGCTGCGGCAGGACGAGCAGCGGCGCGCCGAGGCCGAGCGCGAGGCGCGGGCTGTGCAGCAGAGCGCCGACGCTGGCAGCGGCACCATCATCGGCGGCGGCAGCGGTGCCCATAGCGGCGCCGGTGGTGCGGCGGCCAAGAAGATTGTCGTGCACGGCGCTGTGCGCAAACCTGTGGCGAAAAAGCGCGGACGCGGTTTCTAGGGTGGGGGGAACTTGGAACAATGAAAAGACTTTTGCAAAACAAGACTTTCACTACACTGGCCCTTGCATTCCACTCAATGCTGAATCTCAAACGTCGCATCACCCTCGACGACGTCCCGGTCCTCCCTGTCGAGCCGCACCACTTTGGCCATTGATGGCCCGCGGTCCAGCTTCTGCAGCATGGTTGCAATGGCCGTCTCGTCGCCTTGTACCTCGCCCTCGACCTACGTCGGGTCAGCAAGGACCGTGGAAGACGATGTATAGAAGAATGCATGGCACCAGCGATACACACCTTGTTATTGGGCAAGTTCCGCACCCAGCCGGTCAGTGCTAGCTGGTTGGCCTGCTTCCGCGCAAAGTAGCTATGAAGTTGTCAGTCAGCTGAAGGATGACACTTGGATTCGATGCGTGCCGATCGCCAGCTTCACATTCACGTACCGATAGCCAACACCTATAGCCACTGGTTAGTGGGTGTGTTAGGAGAGGAAACCAAAAACCAAGACAGGAGAGTTACCTTGTACCTCGCCGCCGTGGGCGAGAAAGTATACCTGGAGCGGTAGGTCAGTTAAGTCATCTAGAGGTGCCGGAAAAGGTTGGCGATAAGCGATGGTCGATGCGCAGGTTTGGTGTTTGTATATATACCCGTTTTACCGCCATGTCAAGGCAATAATACAGATAGCCTTTGCCTTGAAAATAATATTATATCAAAGGAGTGCACAGTCGCAGAGCGTGAGCCGTCATTAAAATGATGATCATGGACACAAGATGTTGTGGACGAGTTGCCACTAACTTGTTCGAACTTGGTATTGCTCGAATGCGTAAGAGTTATTTTCACGTGACTAATCATGTGCAGCTTTCATTCAAAATGATGTCAGCCCTGTGCTAAACTCATAGCGCGTCACTCCCTGTGGCAACCTTTTGCGCACATCGCAACCTCACTCCGATATCAGTACTTTCGCGCCCCGTGACGTTACTTGCAGCCTCGTCCTCGGGCATACACATACGGCACGCCGATATCATGGACCCGTCAAATACAGAAGAGCCAGAAGCTTTGCCTACAGTCGTGTTCGGCCGCTCAAACAAAAAGCGCAAGGCGTACCGGCAAAGAGGCGGCGACTCGACACAAGCAGACGAACCAATCGCGACAGCACTGAGCCCCGAGAAGACTGACACAAACGAAGAGACAGCGACGCCCACACAGCCACGGCCGGCTGGTGGCGACGACGACGAAGAGACGAAACCAGAAACGGACGACGGCGCCAAAGGCTACCAGGACGATGACGACAGCGCGGTAGAGGAAAAGGACGACGACGACGCTGGCGACGGCAACGGCGACGACGATGCTGCGGGTCTGACGGTCGCCGAGCTGATCCGGCGGCGCAAGACCCGCAAGCCCAAGATTGGTGGGGTGGAGTTCCGGGACGAGGCTGCCGAGGCCTCGTCATCATCCGCACTATCGCGTTACGCCGACATGGCCGTCGACGGTATGGACCTCGACATTGCGTCGGATCCCATGGCCATGGGCATGCAGTTTGTGCCGCAGACAGGCATGATCGGCGAGCTCGTCAACAAACACATGTACGGTTCCCTGTCCCTTTTAACTCGCTCTCCCGCCGGTAGCGAGCAATCCTCTTGATACAGACACTAATCCTTCAGGGAGGAGTATGTAGATGCACAGTTGGCTAAACGACACCGAGCAGAAGCAGAACAAGCACATCTGCCGGCTACCGGTGGGCTGGCAGGACCAGAGCCAAGCTTTGGTTCCAGTGCCGGTGCAGGCACATCCGGTGCTGCTTCAACAGTCGACGCGCGCCAGCAGCTCGCCACCAAGGGCAAGCTGCACGAGATTGACCTGGGCGCCGAAGCGCGTGCACGCAATGTCGCCATGACCGAGCGCGCCACACAGCGGCTCCGCAGCACGGGCGACGCCGGAGGCGGTGGCCCAGCAGAAGAGGGCACGCAATCCGGCCGCGGCGGTAAGAGGCGCCGCGGCAGCGACGACATCAAGCGAGACCAATTGGTTGAGCAGTTCCTGCATGAAAACAGAAGTAAACCACCCCCACTTCCCATTCCTCGCCAACCCTGTTAATGAACCGATAATCACATTTACTTTATACTAACAACCCACCCAGTGGACGTTGACGTCTATGATGCATCTCGCGATGCAGCAGGCACATCCGCAGCAACCACCGAGGGCCGGCCTACAGACGACCGCGTCGCCGAGCAGTTCCGCCGCGAGTTCATGGAGGCCGTCGCCCAGCGCATGCGCCGCAAGCGGAAACCACTGGGCCCGCCCGCCAAGCCCAAGACGGCCCGCAACGACGAAGAGATTCTGCGCGGGCCCAAGCTGGGCGGCAGCCGCAATGTGCGGTCCGTCATGCGCGACAAGTTGCTGCAAAAGCAAGAGGAAGAGCGCCACAACATGCCCAAGTACGAGCAGCAGCTGCTGGAACAGAAGCGGCGGATGAACCGGCGGCGATGAGACGGCAGAGTCAACGAGAAGGAATGTTTTGGCGTCGGCGTACCGTCTGGGAACTTTGAAGAAACTGTTTCTACCTTTTTTGCCTCGGGCATACTACGGCTGTATTCGCGATGCTCTCATCCCAGAAACAGTTGCCAAGCGCACGGCAACGGTCCAAAAAAAAAGATCCTTTCATTCGCACACCACGCTGCCACTCAGTCACAGTCATCCGCATGTACTGGAAAGCTCACCGTTGGGTTCAGTGCTATCAGGAACACTCTACGAAACAGGTAGAGTGTGCGTATATGGGGTCTGCAATAAACTGTGTACTGGCGGGCCAACGAAGACGCTGCGTTGGAAAGCTCAACTTGTTTCGGCGGTAATATTGAGACACTCTTCTGATATAGACGTTCCGGATCTCGGAGGTGTTCATGAGCCCGTCCTTTCGGCAGTCAATTATGTTATGTGGGCCAAATAGAGGCGGAATGTAGAAAAAGAACGCCACTCGCACATACAAGATCGTTATATGTGCCCCCCGTTTTGATGTAACAATGATACAATTGAAATATGAACAAAATACTCATTTTTTCCAGGTCAAATTGTCACTATTACTTACGATATTTCCCATGAAATGGTCGGTCTATTTTCACTTTTATATTTATTTGTGCTTTTTTCTTATAAAAAAAGCCAATAGTCAATATTCATGAAACGAAGAGGCGTTGACAGTTTGCCAATCTGGGAAGGAGCAAAGAGGAGCCAGGACAACATGATTCTTTCAACTGTCATATGAGGCAAGAGCAGCCGTGCGTGGAGATCAATCAAGCAGGTGCACTTGGCGTGTTTACCCCTTTTTCTGTGTTATCGACTGCAGTGTCTATTTTCTTATGACATTTCATCGCTCCTTCCTTGCATGTCCTTCCCAGTACCATTCTATCCTTGCCATCCCAAATTCTGCCCCTTTTCATCCCAATTGCTTCATTTCTCCTGTTTTCAGACCATTCTCGAGCGTCTCATTTGATTCTGCTCATGTTCCTCCAACGCCCTCGATCCATCGTCTACCAAACATCAGAACGAACATTGCATATTGTCGATGCCCACTAGCTCGGCTTCACACCTTGTTCAACCAAATGCGTACCGCTCTTGATCCCTCTCGATATGCCACCCACACTTTGCCAATCTGTGGATCCCGCTACTCTGACGCAAGCCAGGGCTTTCCCGCTGCCGCTTCCCGGCATTGGGCAGGATTCTGGGCATGGCAGACCAAGGTTACGTGCGTGCCCTTGGTTTTTGTTTAACGAAAGGCAAGCTCCCTCTGTCTTCTTCCCGCCTCCGCATTTCCACAACAACATGCTTGCTTTGGCTTCTCTCTGCCGCTCTCCACATGGCATCTGAGCCGCATTTTTGACCGTCCCCATCCTACAGCACAATATCAAACACTAGCGGTACGACCTGTGTTTAAGGTGAAATGCATTTCCAATTCCTTTTCTCTTGCCAATCCGGGTGTTCTCACACCTGTCGCACGTACGCGGCCCTCCATCTCGAAAGTCCGCCGAGACGTACAATGCCGCCCTTCCCTCCATGAAGAAACCGTGCCACGCACATCTATTCGATTCGAAACAAAAAAAAACATGACTATAAGCTATTTTTGGTGAGTCGTTTTTCGGAAGGTTTAACCGTCTATCCCTTGACTCTGACTTTGTTCTGTTTCCCCACCTTGACAGAAAACCGACAGATGAGGTAGATGCTGCAAGGCACATTTGAAGAGGCATTACAATATCCTCCGTACTAAGACGTCAAATACATCTACTAGCTAGTTAGTGCCACCCCAGGACCGCCCCGAAGCGGCGGCCAGAACGAAAACGTGGTAGCCATGCGGACATACCCTACCAAACAATGGCGCAGGGGACACAGACTATGTCCGACCAGGACGACTCTTGGCAAGCAACGTGTCGTCTGTCATGGCCTTTTCTGGACCATATGTACGACAAAAATGCGACGGAGGCAGGTATTGCTTAGGACACAAAAGGAGAACGAGATCAAAACTAAAAAGTTACAGCAGAAGGGAGAGCGGCGGCAATAGCCCGCTAAGCAATCCCTGATTAGATCGAGCATTGAAGCGGCCGACCACGGTGAACATCACCCCATTCTGCTCTCTCAGAACCGTACTTCTGACCATTCGCAGACCACATCCGGAGGTTTTATGACTGCATTTATTCAAGTTTCAACCAAGTTCCCCTTGCCATTGCAGCCCGTTAGATTGCCAAGCTAAACAGCCGACGACTCACACTGTCAGGTCAATATCGTCGTGTTGCTTGGCGATCCTGTTTCGCAATCCAGAGCGTCACGACTGACTTGGTCTACGCTTTGCGGTCTTTCATCCTTAGAATCAATATAAATGGCGCAAAATGCACCATCAGATAAACAAGGAGTTGATCTGGCTTCGATTCTCATTGTTAAACGGTACTCGACTAGCAATGCGGTTAATACAGTGATCGGCTGCAAGGATTTTGTCGAGAGGGTTCCATCAGGGATACGGTCGCACTATGCACTGGCGAGTTGCACATATGCCTACCCCCGTCAATATGCTGGAAACTTGACCCGGCGCAACAGAACGACAAACCCAAGCAACTCGCCAATCACACCCTGCCACTTCTCGATACGGAGTGTCTCGTGCCTGGCCTCCACAGCCCCAACGCCTCAGGAACTCCGTGCGGGTGCCTCCCCGAAACCTCGCCTCCCATTACCTGTTTTGTGGCCTGATGAACCCTCCACCAGTTCTGCGTTCGCATTCGACACTTATTCACACAGCCCTTTCTCCTCGTTTCATTTCGGCCCTCAAAATAGAAAGAAAGCCCTCTTCATGCTGGTCGATCCAAGCAAGGCATTGCCTCCGTCCCACGTGCACCCTCCCCGAAGAAGTGCAACATCCGCCCTCGCACGTTGCGCCACGGGAAAGCGTCCCGTTTCGAGCGCAGGGACATCAACTGTGGTCGAGTATGTCGGCAATTGAATGCGGTTAGAGCCTGAAGTCGACATCTTAGAAGAAAGAAGACAAGAATCTAGTTATGGGGCTTTGCTCTCTGTTTCTAGCCTTTTTGATATTGGGTGCATATTGTTGCTGATGTTTGCATCCAGACGATTTGAAGAAGCGGATCGTCTTGTTTTATGGTATGGATAAAATCTTAACATCCACACTTATGCGCACCAAACAAAACGATATGAAAGGGAGAACTGAAGATCAACTCCTGTGATGACCAAAAATACGAAAGAAGAAAATACACGCATCTTTTGTGCCAACACCCCTGTCTGCCTCTCTCGCCAGCACAACAAAAGTCAGTCCCAAACAAGTGGGCAGTTGGGAATTGTCTCTCAGTTCATTGTTACAGTTTGCATTGGGCTGCAGCCCCGCCGCAGAAACATCAAGCACGTCCAGGTGCCATGAATTGTCCGATACAGGGCGGCGAGCTTTGTAAGTGTCCGTTTCACATTTGTCTAGATCTCTGCGGTCATTGTATGCACCCTGTCAGGTTTCGCATACTGCTATGATCGCCAAAAGAAGGTGTCTTGCCGAAGCGTCAACCACAGCAGCAAGGATGTGCAATTGTACTTACCCTAACCGAAGACTGCCAAAGGCTTGGATGTCGCGACAGTCTGGGTTGCAGTCCATAATGCAGCAAGTTATTTTTAACATGTCGATGGTTGATACTGCTGCAAACGGGTTTGCTTCCAGCCTTCTTTGAAGTGCTTCCACCTCATTTTCCATGTCATGTCAACAAAACTTCTTCGATGGTGCTAGAAACGCGCTTGTGCAATTTTCTCTTTCAACAATACCATCTAACACGACCTCTCCCAATTCGCCTACAAAACCACCATCAATTTTTACTGACACTTCTCACCAGCAATTAATCACCAAAAGCAGAAATCAGGGCCAATCTGTTTCACTTGCGACAATAGCAAATACGGGCAATCTATCAAGGCGTCTGTGTGTCTGTGTGTCAGCGTTCCTCGTGTCTGTGAACCATGCCCGCTACATTTGCAGGGCTACCCTCCCGCGAGCCTACCAAGAGTGGAAAAGGACAACTTCAATGTGGAGTAGAACCTTCTTTGGATCCAGCCTACCGTTACATATAAATGTACAACATACCGCAAATGTCTCGTTTGCACAGGCGGAGTCTGGGTCAGGATCAGCGCGGGGGTCTAGAGGCGATGCAGCAACGCTGTTTTATCGATCGATATATTCGACCTACTATCCTTCGCTACGTTTCGGGCAGCACAATAAACGGAACATGCCCAAAGAGCTGGTAGAAACAGCCCTGACAACGTCTCCTGCACACAGTCCCAGATACTTTCCTGTTTACGACGTACGACATACCTTGCAAGTATTACGGAGAATTACGGCACGAAGCTTTTAATCCTGAAGGGGCCCTTAAGTGCAGAGTCTCTACTCTCCACTTTTACGCCATGACCTTTAAGTCTGCAAAACGGAAGCAGGCGATGCATAACAGAGTCACGCATTTGCCTTTATACTAATGCCGGCAAAATGGTTTCTCTGTGCCTCCGACCTCAACAGTTTCGTCAAACTCGAGAAGAGGAGCGGCAAGCAAGAAGCAACGATAAATAAACCAGGTTTGCTGAGCAACGTCTTGTTGGCAACTGAGAAGGACGAAATTCATGACAGCCTGGAGGATCCTGGAAGTCAACCTCCCTCCCCCACCTGACACTATCGACAAAGCAAGTGTTAAAGCGAGATCTCGCCCATCAACGTCCCTCTTGAAGATTAGGACATATCCTTTACCCACCGCTACATCCTGGCCCTCCTACCCCTTAAATGGGGGACTAGACTGGAGGGGGACCCCGCATCATCATCATCACAAGACGCGGCGGACCCCTGTTCGCGGCCATGTCCAGGCTGCCGGCAGGTTGTTCATTTGTTATCCCATCTGGGTAGAACAACACAACGCAAGCCCAAATCAACCACTGTATCCATCGTACGCCAATATGCATACAAATCCGCCTATGCGAAGCAATTGAAGGCTCTCAGGACCTTGCCTGGGCCTAGCCCACAGGTGATAGTAAAGTGTGAACTACACAGTGCAATGTCCCATCTCCGACCTGGTCTAGCCTGGTCTGCAATGGCACTCCAAATTTGGCAAGGGTTTGCAAGCATTTCAGCTTATGCCGGACTCGAATAAGGACTCGAGGATCATAATTCAACAACACAATCGTTCAACTAGACCGGGGTGCCATCCTACCTGCGGCTTCTTCTTTGAACTCTCAACGGAGTTTGATGCTTGTTTTGGGGCAAAAAAGAAGGGAGAGGGGAGAGGGGAGAGGGGAGAAGGGGTTGTGGGCCTTGTTGCCGCAGTCATGCTGGTCGAAACATCTATCAAAGCTGTCTGACTTGACCTGAGCGTGGACTTTTCTGGTCTGCCACAACGTATCATCTCAAGGGGACCTGCGGGCGGCGAATGGGTGACAAAGAAGACAAAAAGAGGGACGAATAAAGAGACAAGAGAGCCAAAGGCACAGGGGTTGCGTGTCTCTGGCCTTGCTCCCGCTATCGGGAGCAACCCGTGTCATGGCCTTTCCAACACGAATGACATCAAAGCCATTGGTTTAGTTGGCCTAGTATCGTCTCGCCTTCCTTGCCTTCTCGTAAATCCACACCCAGGGCAGAGAAACACTCGAAGCAATCACCAGCCTCTGGAAACATGCCAGGGCATGCCGACCCCTCTACCCCTTCCTTGCCCTTGGCCTCGCAGGTCTGTACCCTGAGAGTGATCCTGTAAGGAGTACATAACGTGGCTCACGACCACTTCTTCACCCCACCGACACTCTTCTTTCACTCACCATGTTCTGATTTTCATTCTCTTGATCACCTCCTACCAATTGATCGTTCGTCTTTTCCTATTCCGGCTCTTTGGACGACCAACAAGTTTTCACACAATATACATAGCAAGTACTGCCCACTCTTCGCCTGCTTCACCACCTCCTCTTTCTATCTCAGTCTACCCCAAACGCAATTTCGAGCTTTCGATCGTCGTCAGTCTTCTTTGTCTTGTTTGATTCCATTCGAGAGTAAACTGCAAAAAAAATCCACGATAAGTAAGACGACGGCCGCAACGCGAATCTCCTTTTATTTTTTTACCACAATCGAAGCATCAGCAGCACTTCGCAGCCTAGATTCCCAGTGTGAGAGAATACGTTCAAACAGGAAACAACGTACTTGCGCCATTCCTCGTTACTCTTAATTTCCCTAGCGACGATCTGACACTGGTCTATCGACAAGAGCTTCTTCCGCATGAAAATATCGTCACGTCTGGGACTTCGCCCAACCCCGGATGCAAAACATTATTCTCGCCGCGCCACTTGCCCGCCGCTTTGCCACTGGCTATCAACTGCTAACTAATACTTGTGTAGCGAGCAGCTCGTTCCAAAAATACAAAGTAAAGTCGGATATGGCGAAACTATTTATCGGGTATGCACTGTGGAAAAGACAACCTGGCGATGCTTATTTTCCCACGACGTACTGACGGTTGTGTTTCCAGCGGATTGGCTTGGCACACAGAGGAGACTACCCTCCGCCAAAAATTCGAGGAGTATGGCGCTGTCGAAGAAGCGGTACGTGATATTTTCGTCTCCCGCTCTCCATATCGTTGAACTCTCCTTTCTCTCCCCGAGCCGCTTGGTCTACTCGCTCCATCACTTCCCGTCGGCGAATGTCTGGAACTGTCGCCGACTTTGACCGCAAATGCACGCAGCTATGACTGTGACAGATACAGAGAAGAAGATGAGGCAGAGAGAAAGAGAGAAAGGGAGAAAGAGAGAAAGAGAAAGAGCAACGAACTATGGATGTAAGGTCTTCTAACCCTATTTATCGCCTTCCCCCGTCGATTTTGCACATTTTAGGTGGTTGTAAAAGATCGAGACACTGGTCGCAGTCGAGGCTTTGGCTTCGTCCGGTACACAAATGACGCCGATGCCCAGAAGGCGATCACGGCGATGAACAACATTGAGTGAGAGAGATGCAATCACCTGCTTTTGTTTTGTTTTGTTTCTTTGTTCCTGCTTTTCTTTGTCTTTTGTGGCTTCCCTCAACGCCGGGTAATAGTATTGGGAACAATTTCTGACCTGGATCTTCTCTCTTCCGTTAGGTTTGACGGACGGACTATCCGCGTCGACCGAGCATCAGACACTGGTCCGAGAGGAGGCTTCCCCGGACGCGGTGGTCCCGTTGGTTACGGCCCGAGGGGAGGCTATGGCGGACCCCAACATATGCAGGGTGTCCCATATGGCGTCCCGCCGCAGGGCTACGCAATGTCAGGACCACCCATGTACGGCCAGTCGTATGGTCGCGGTGGCTACCCTCCCCAGGGTCAGTATGGTGGACAGCCAGCTCCAGGTATGATCCTTCCCGTCTTCCAATAAGCTTTGAATTTCAAGCTAGAGATGGATTGGCACACGATTGACGAGGGCAATGGAAACAGCCTATGTGGTTGCGAGAAAAGCGTTGTACTAACGGGTGTATTCATAGGTTGGGGACAACCGATGTACGGCTACCCTGACATGCAGCAGCAAGCCCCTCAGGGGCAACAGGCACCTCAGCAGCCTTCGCAACAACCGCCGCAAGGTGGCCAAGGTTACTAACGTCGAGCCGCATCGACCCTTGGTGAAAGGTGTGGCAGGGATCGAGTGCGTTCTCATTTCGGACCCGAGGGAAAAACAAGTGGAAACTTGCACCTTTCAAGATTCGAAAAGAATTTGGAGACGGAAGAATCAAAACAAAGACAACGACGTATGTTGTTGGTTGCAACTGAAAGAAAGAGTGGGACCTACCTGGACTTTGTGTCTCTCGGGCCCTATTCTATTGCACTTTCTGGATATTTCGTCGTCATCAAACCAGCTACTGGATGGCGGTTGTACGATCACCATGGATGGCCGTTGCTCGCTTCGGTCGATCTGCATGATACCCTATTCTTTCAGGTTAGGAAGCGTTCTTTTTTGGGACTCGGGTTTTCTCCAACGCCCTTTTCCACGACACTTCCGACAACCGCATGGCGATCCCATTTTTTCGGCTCTGCTTCCGCGTTTGTCGGTTTACCATTTTGATTTCATTGTGTGCTGCTTCTCTTCTTTGTCCCTATTTGTTGTTGCTTATGCTTTATTTCTGTTGTTTGATTAAAATGACGTTCTCTTCTCTTTCCTGTTTCGTTTGCCTTTCGAGATTGCAGCATGTTGCTTTTGATTTATGATGTGCCAGAGAACAAAAGAAAAGAGGAAGACAAAAAGACATGACCACGATGCATGTTATAAGGGAAGATCTGGGAAGCAATGAAAACAAACCAGGTGCATATAAGGGAATGGCCAGAAGAGGGATACATGCATGATGGCTACGGGAATCACCGGGGTAAAAGGAGGTTGGGACCGTGGCAATGGATGTGGAGTGGGAATAGGAAGTCGTGGTCTGGATATATATGTTGACGGCATATGCCCCGACATATAATGACAAAGCAGCACAGTTCATGGGCACAACTTGGAGACACAACGTGGACAGGTGAACCGCAACACAATCTTGACTATGGATTGGGGATTTTTGTCTTGGGAATGTTAGGGGTTGGTTAGTAAATAACGAGGGAGACGGGGTAAAGGAAAGAAAAGAAAAACACGAAGTGTGTTGAAACAAAATAAGGGAAACTGCTTTGGTCTTTTTTCAGACTCGTTGTTATGTGGATTCTTTCAAGAGATTTCTCGGTCTCCAATTGCTTGCTCTCAACTACTCTTGCTGGAATCGCTGTGTGTGATCTGACGATCTGATGCTGACTGGTAAAATAAATAGAAGAAAAAAAATAAACAGGAGGAGGCGCACGCATGATGTTGTTCTGCTTGTATGTTATCTGCAACTGTCTTTTTCGGTCGAGCCATACCGCGCCGAGCCTGCAGACCCTTTGTGGGGGATCCTGCAGACTCCTGATTTCTTTTCTTCTCAACACCGCCCATTCGGTTCATTGGTCAGTCGTAGGTCGTCGTATGGATCTATGTTTATATGTCGCCTGTTGCCGTTACTGAGCAGAAGCGTTCGACGTCGCTTCGGCTTGGGCTTCGACTTCGGCTTCAGAAGCAGCCTTGACCAAGGCCCGCACGCGGTTCGACAGGTCTGTGACGTGCTCGTCGCCGCTCTCCGGGCTCAGCTCATCGAGTGCCGTCTCCAGGCCCCACAAGTAGTCCCGGTTCGGCCCACTCGGCCCCGTCGACCGGTAAATGTGCTCCGCTAGCGCCTGAACGTCTTGCGGACCGGTAAACTGCGGATTCTCGGGCGTGCCAATGTATGCCATGGTGCGAAACGCGGCAGTGCCCTTGGACGCAGGGTAAAACGGCGTGTAGTGAACGGTGTAGCCGTTGATCTCGCGAATGTCGAGATACTCGCGCACCTCGGCGGCATGTGCGGCGTCGATGCGGTAGGCGACGCCCCAGACTTTGTCGGAGGCGCAGTCGTGGTGATCCGTCAGTTTCTCCCAAAAGGAGCGCTCAATGAGCGTGGCCACGCGACCGGGTGCCTCGGGGGTGCCACGGTGGTCTTCACTATGTGCGGGGGGCAAAAACGCGTACGTCAATATTTGTGTCTGCGCATCTCAACGACAACGCATCTTTGCCAGCCCTTGGTCCTGTTCCCGTCGACGAGGAGAAGATTGAAATGCTCACCTTGCCTAGTACAAATGTTAGCAGCTGTTCAACTCGGTAGAGGTTACGACGGCGTGTAAAGGAAAAGCGAGATTGCGAGACTGTCGTAACATACCTGCCAAAATCGGCGCACATAACCGGTCACCCATCCTGGTACTCTGCGGTCTACTCCGATCCAGGGTCAGCATCAGTACATCGTCCAAGAGAGCGTGGTCTTTGAGAAACTGTGTCGAGATCGTACCGAAATGTGGTGGCGGCTTCCAGATGAGGCTCCTGTTGAAGACATTGTTGGTTAATGAGCTGAAGTCGGCGCTGACATTCGAGGAATGTGTACGCAGGAGGCAAGTCAGGCGACGCGGGACGGAACTTGGGAAACGAAGGAGATGATTGGAGGGAGAAGTTTTCGGGGAGAAATGGGGATGTGTCCATCCCAGCCAAGTCCGCCAGGGCCTTTGTGCTTTGTGGTGTGTGTGCTGTGACTGCCGTAACTGCGACACAACAAGCGACGTAGGATTAGGGGTGCATGAATTGGCAACAGACAAGCCTCATACGAGGCAGACAAAGCAAACGAGGTCCCCTCAAGGAGAGTACGACAACGCAATACGTTACATACGCATAACCAAATATCCAAAACTCGCCTTCGACGACCGCGGAAGCTGTCAGAGCTGCGTCGAGTGTGCCTTCCGGAACGCCATTCGGCTGTGGTGGCAGCTCGCTTCCAGTCATGGCCGGTCGAGAGCAAGAAGGATGAGGGACGGGGGCTAAGATAAGCAACCTGATGTGCCGTGTCTTGGTGTCTTTTTATACACCGGGGTAGTTCATGCGGATGCGATCGAAGTTTGGTTCAGGGGACGTTGATCAACCGGACGGTCGTCGGAGATGGTTTGCTGGAGAGAACTGTACCGATACATGCAGCAGTATGAAAATGGACGGGATATGTCGAGAGAAGCGTTCGTGGGTTATATATAGAATGAAATGTACGAGAGAGCTTGATTGTTGATATGTGAGCAATGCTGAGAAATTGGTCGGTTAGCAGCCATTGGGGGATGCGATGGCGAGCTTATGGGCCGCCCAGCCACGGCACGATCGCTCTTTCTTTTTTGGCCTGTATTTAGCGCATGACTCTTTCTCACGCTTCTGACCGTGATACGGCCAAAATAGGGGAACAGAAGGAGCGACTGACGGACAAAAGATGAAGACAAGTCATGAAAGACATAAGGGAGGCCAGACATAGAAAGAGCGATGTGACAGTCGATCACTGTCTTATGCAACATCACGGACCTCTAACGGTAAGGTACCGATGCTATCTTACAGGGCTGCCGGCCAATATCATCAGACCAGCGCGGTGAGACGGACACAGGGACGTCCGTCTACGGATATACCGCGGGGCGCCTTTCGCAATCTTCCGGAGCGGCTCTCCGTTGTCAAGGAGGACGGACGAAAAAGCTGTCGTGAACGACCTCGTCTACCTTACCTTGCCCACCATGCGCCATATTAGTGGGCATCGAGGACGAGGCAAGGAGGTCAAGGCTACGCAACTGTACACAGTGCACGCAAGTGATTAAATGCAAAATGAGCAAGAGCGACTGACAGCATCGCTTGGTGCCTCTTGCCTGTTGTTCAGTCTTGACCAAATCCATCGGGCAAGAACGAACGGCTTCTCTTCGCGGGCAGGAGCGCGAGGCAGCAAGATTCCAAAGCCCAAACACATTTGCTCGTCAGCTGAACCCTGTAGCACGAGGCACTGCCCTTCTCGTAAGTATTGATTTTGCTCTTTCGGCCGCAGCCTGCGCGCCACAAGTTTTTGGGTTATCTGTGCCAGGGCCTTTCCCATCGCCCCTCGTGATTACTTCGTACTCCTGCATCAGTCGTCATCGCAAATGGAGCTGCCAAGGCACTTGCGAGGCAAGAGTCCTTCCCTGCTATTCCTCTTCGTTCGTAAAAAGTCCATCGCGCCTACCCTGCGAAGCCTGACCCGTTCCCACCCACTTCAGCCCAAGTATGGAAACTGCGAGGAGTGCTGGGGAGGCTCAAAATATCACTCCGTCGCTCCTGCAGCTGCGTTTGGCTTTCCCCACATCACCCCTCCATTTTGCTGGGCTTCTTTGGCTTTCTTGGCCAAGCACGTTGTAGACAGTCAGACAGTAAAGGAAGGAACTATTGGCATCGAAAGGGGGAAGGACCAAACTGCCTTGGCCATATCGAACCTTGTTCTTATTTTTGCGACTTTCACTCTTCTTAACTTCCACATCGTTTGAAAGGCACAGTTTGTCATAATCAAGCTGCATGTGGCTGTTCTTTCTCCGTCATATCCGCCCGACTATCTCATCTCTAATACAATAACGTCACCAAGCTGTCCACACGCCAGTCGCACAGCGATTTGGCTGCAGACAACCTCTCGAGAACCAAAACACAAATCCACGCCGCAACGAGCTTCCGGTGACCCCTGCGCCCCGCATCCTAGATCACCTCCTCGGCACTCGACAGTACGAACAACGACACGATCTTTGTCATACAGAGTCCTTTCCATCTTCCGCCAGGCCAGCGGCGCAGTACTCTGCACACTGATCTGAAACGTGCGAACTACCCCCTCAGAGAGCAGGGTTCCCTACAGCGCCATACCCCTCGAAACTTGGGGCATCGTTCCGTGCACCGAACTCCGTTCGAAAATCTAGCTGCCCGAACGCTTCTTTGCGACATCTACCTCCCACCTCGACTCTTTCGAGGGAAACACTAGAGGACACGCCAAGGCTCACCATTCAGCATTTTCGAGCGCCGCCAGCCGACGATACTGATACAAGCATCGAGCAAGCTCCTCACGTTTGCCTCCAATGGCCTACCATAACCCCAACAATCCGGACGCGCTCCCGTGGTAAGTCTATCTTCTCTTTTCGCCCCCTCTTTCTTAGTGGCTGCGCTGTCCTGCGCTCGTCGAGCAAGAGGGATTCGCTGTATACCGGCACGAAGAGCGTCCCCGATCTCGAAAGGTTCGCATACTGACGACGATCTCCCCGACAGGTTTGCCGAGCCCGAAAAGGCGAGTTCCCTCCCGTCGACATAGTCATGTCTGTCTTGTGCGCCGCGATGTGCCCGCAGTCTACGGCCCCCACGTAGCTGTCACAGAGAAGCAGTCACTAACATGAACCAAACATACAGAAAGGGGGCGACAAAGTCAACACCAACCAGCAGCCGCCACCTCAACAGCAAAACTACCGGCCGCAACCGCAGCCCCAATATCACCAGCCGCAGCAACCTCAGTACCACCAGCCACAACAGCAGCAGCAGCAGCAGGCACCGCCGAGGCGGCAGCCCGAGCCTTCATATCGTCAAGATGCACGGCCGCACTCGCCGATGGGGCCCCCGCGTGATGGATACAACAGTGGCGGCGGTGGCGGCGGTCCGGGTCGCGTAGGCTTGCCTAGCGGACCACGTGCCGGTGCCAACATGCAGCCACCACCACGGTCGCCCGTCCCGCCGCGGTCGCCCGTCCCGCCAGCGAGAATATCGCCCGCTCCTCAGAGCCCGCAGTCGCGCGTCATGTTCCAAGGTGACGAGGAGCTGACGACGGACCAGCTGCGGACCATTTTCGAAGGACTGGATACGCATCGTGAGTCTCCAATGTGTCCTTGTATTGCAGTACTTAGCATCCAACTACTAACAGTGTAGGCGTCGGCTACATTACCGAGAAGCAGCTCGCGGAGAACCTCGTCAACAGCGACCGCACCAAGTTCGACACCTACACGGTCAACATGATGGTCCGCATGTTCGACAGCGACCGCAGCGGCGACCTCAACTTCCAAGAGTTTGTCGGCCTGTGGCAGTTTCTGGACCGCTGGCGCACCATCTTCAACCGGTTCGACACCGACCGCAGCGGCAACATTTCCATGGACGAGTTCAAGAACACGTTGGTGTCCTTCCAGTACCGCTTGTCGGACGGCTTCATTGAGTTTCTGTTCAAAAACTACGACCGCGAGAACCGCGGCGTCATCACGTTCGATCTGTTCATGCAGTCGTGCATCACGCTCAAGCGCATGACCGACACATTCAAAAAGTACGACGACGACCGCGACGGCTACATCACCATCAACTTTGAGGACTTTGTGTCCGAGTTCTTGCGGCAGATGCGGCGTGTCATGATTGTCGACGACGGCAAGAACCAACCGCCGCCGGGGGCCTACTAGGCCGGTGCTCCGGGGGGGCAGCTCTCTCTGTGCAACGTCTGCTGTTCAGCATCTCCTTCTTAGAACGAAGGTACCCTCCCTCCACGCCCTGGGTCTTTTGAGTAGACATTTTTTATCTTTTTATTATGCAATGGTACTTGGTTATATTTTTTTTTCTGGTTTACTGTTTGTTGCATTCGTTTTAGTTGTCTCCGGTGTCGAAAAAGACCATACACAAGCAAATTCAAATTTATTGTATCAACGTGACGACAACAAGGCGTGGGCGGGCATGATGGCTATTAAGGGAAGTCCTATCAACGCTCTGATCATCTGTATTTGATAGGCCCTACGACTACTGTGAGAAAGCTACACGAGAATAGAAAGAGCACCTGGTTTTGAATGATGATTGCTGTGAGCGATACGACGAAGAACATTTCGTTAGACGCTCCGTCACGATGCATTCCTTTTTGTCAGCTCTCGAGAGCTTACTTAGGATCGTCGTGGTGCTCCGTCAATGCTTCCCCCTATTTAGGAAAATGAGTGCTGCATGGGCCGGATTCACTCAGCTTGTCCTGCATCGATCATGAACATATCACCAAATGCACGAAAGGGAGCTTCCTCGGCTTCTTCAGCTCCCTCAGCTACATCAGGTACATTAGCTGAGCTCTGGGACTTTATTTTCTTTGTTCTGGCACCTAGACTCCATCGTGTCAAGACGATCGTGGGGACTTCCATTACGGCCAATCAAAAGTTCTGAATTTAGCCGGGCATTATTCACACCCCCTTCAAAATACCAGCTTTTTCCTGCGTCCCACGGGAGCTTGGGGACAGCTCTCTTTATTTTGTGGGTGCCCCTTCAAACGGCAATTTAAATGGAGACCTCGAGCTTTTATTGAGGCGGTGAAGATGTTTCACGAGCTTCTCCTCCTGTTGCAGCACGGCCTTGCTCACTCGTGTCAACGGCCAGTGTATGCGAAGCATCGTCATTGTGCTTCATTGTTCAGCCTTGTGGATGGGGTACTGCAGGTAGCCAAAAGAAGGGTTAGTAGAAAGACAAAAACGAGGAATAAGCAAAAAGGAAAAAGTGTGGCATGGACAGAGACCCCGGATACCGGGAATGAAGAAAAGTGAAAGAAAAAAAGCCCCAAAAAAGGGCGATAGCAAGGGTTCGTCGCCACAAACATCGCAGGACGGCAAAAAAAGGCAGAGGCGAATGGGCAAAAATGAGCTCGGTCAACGAAAGCTTTCACCAGGAGATTTTGACTGGGAGGCAACAAACGCTGCCGTCCTGGTCTTGGGTAAAAGTAAAAAAAAAAAAAAAAAAAAAAAAAAACGAAAAACAGATGGACAAAAAAAGAGGGGCCCGCCGCCTGAATAGCGACGGTTTGAACAAAGAAGAATAAAAGTTCTCAGGGAAACGGCGTAACCGCCGAAACAAGCGAAACGATTGCCCATGGCAGTTACCGCTTCCGTCTTCTTTCTCTCTTGTCGTTCAAAGAATGTATTGCCCCAAAAAGGGAAAATCAATCGGCCACTCATTTTAGGAAAGGCACCTCACATCTCAGACCCGGTAGCTCGGAGGCGAGTGGCAATAGAGCACGCGGTTCGGGCAATCCACCAAAACGTGCACTGCACATAAAAGACCAAGGGGCAGATGTACTGTTGTACCTCTGTAGCTTTCAGTGAATATAGGACGGTTGGTATGCCGCGATAAACGCTGGTTTCTGAACGGCCAACCAAAGCTCGTGGCCGAACGGTCGAACAGGAGTGGTGTTCCAGGCTCATGAAGACACTTCTCTACGAGCAACTTTCAAAGAGCTCCCAGGCCTTCTATCTGAATCGGCCAAGATTTGTAGCTGCAGGGGGCAATTTTGGTGGGCCGTGGAGAGAAAACAACGAAGCTCGACTCCGAGCGAGAGTAAGTGACTGCCACAAAGAGAATGGCGGTGTCTGCGGTGACAGTCCCAGCAGGTAGTTTCGCTGCCGTTGGCGGCGCCGGTGGTTACTGGGGTCTTGACGTGACAAAGTCTTGCAGAATTGGCAGAAAGCGAAGCTTCAAGCTCCGGCATCGCGAGACACAAAGAGAAAGGGAGTGGGTAATCTTTATGTCGTGCAGTGGCACTTGTAACATAGATGCAGTCATTGGCCGGAGCGACTTCCTTCCATTGTAGCTCAGAGCAGAAGGAAGTATCCAAACAGCAGGTGCGGGGCCATATTGACGCTTGCTTGAAGCATGTGAGGCAATGCGGAAGTCTCCATTCGGTAACAGTAAAACTTCCCTTTTGAGATAGGTCTCGAGACGAAGGGGACCCACTGCCGGTCTCGTCTGCCTCGACCATTAATTACCTGCCACCCGTCAGTTAACTATTCCCGCAGATTTTGGTACCCTTTCCCTTGTCATCTTTTCTTTTTCGCTACCTCAGTTTGTAAGTCATCGTTAAAGGCTCTTTTTTGTCTCCCCACCTGGGATTTGAATTTTTTTTGTTCTATAGCCTTGGGCCCCGCCCATGAAGTTGCTGGAGAAGAACTAAAACAAAACGGTGGAGCGCCACCGAGAGTCTGGTCGTTTCTTTCCTTTTTTTTTTCTGTTTCGCCTGTCTGTTTTTTTTTTCTTCTTTAATTTTCGCCTAGAAGGCTGCCGCGTACACATATATATTTGCAGGGTCCAAGGTAACGTACATTCCAGGTGAAGAATTCACGAGGCCAGGTTCAAAGGCAAGAGGGGGCGAGACACCATTCGTCGCTATTCAAAGACAAAGTTTTAAAGACCAACGCGCAACCGACCGATCGATTGATTGCGCCTCCCGCGGCCTGCCGCCGATTGGGATTCCACAGCTCATGGAAATGGACAATTGAAAGGGGTCTCGGAATCTGTTCCTGGTCTACCAATCTGACCTTGTTGGCTGACCATTTGTTGCCACCAAAGTAACAAGCAAGTACGACGTACTCCGAGCTTGTAGCTCCTTTTCTCTCGGAGCGCACTTGGACGCCTTACTCGCTGGCCACAAACGGCAAACAAAGAGTCATAAGCTCTAGTAAATACCTGCTTGTGACTTGCCCGTTACAGGGGGTGAGCAAGACACATCTGACTCGCCTCTGAAATGCTTCTGTAGCAGGCGAGCTTGAGCTATTCTTCAGTAGATGGCCAATCAGATAGCATTTCCCGCTACCCAACTCCTGGCTCCGACGTCTTCGGTTTCCCCACTTGGGGTGTTCTTTCTGTCGCTTTTTCCAACGTCGCAGGAGCGAAGAGCGAGACTTTTTTTATTTATATAAAAAAAAAAGCTGACTCCCTGGGTACCGGTGGCCAAAAGCGACAGACCCCCTCCCCCTCTAGGTCCCCTTGTCCCCAAACTTCTATCGGCTATCTTTCGAGAAATTGAGACGCTGAAAACTGCACACCTTTACATCTCGAATCTGACGACCAAAGAAGCAAAACTGTGAAAAGTGACCATGATGGAGAGCTAGCTCAGGGCCTATTGCCACGCCTTGTCGTGAGCTCGGCTATGTGCCGGAAAGAGGAAGGAATCAACCGTTCAGCTTTTGCCTTCTTGCAGACGGAGAAGCCCGACCGCATCTTTGCTCGAGAGCACAGGCTCGACATGGCCACTTCACAGCTCTTTCCTTGCCTCGACCTACCCCCTGCACTATTTTGTCTCGTACACACCCCCTCCCACTCAGCCACCCGCACACCCCTGGCAAGCCCTGACGACATCAAAAGCTCCCCTTGTTCCTGCTATCCGTCTTCCACTACGGAGTACACTGTCGTGTCCCTCTCTGTATTTCTGCACCTCTTCTCGCTGCCCTCCCTTCGTTCATGACTCTGTTCCCGTCTGGACGCAGGCACGGCATCACTGATCTCCATCCCTTCTCCATTCTGTAGGTCTACTATGCACGACGTATTATTTCACTCCCGTGTTCTCTCCATCGTCCGTGTGAAAGCTGCCGCTTGTTGGCCGCCAAACCTGCTCTGTGCTCTGTGGTAAACCCCCTCGCCTTCCTTGCAGATTGCTTTGCATTAAGTCTCTTTTATTAGCCAAACGGCAGACCCATGCAGTCGTAACGTTCTCGTGCATTATTTGGCTGGCCCCTTCCCTTTCTGTTCCCTCCCATCATCGCTCCCCTCTTCGTCCCGCTCTGTGCACCAGTTTAATCCCACCCCCCCTCCCCGCCCCCTCTCTCGAGAATCACCCACATCCATTACAAAAGCGGAACGGCGGCCTTTTGGCCTTCAGTGGATTGACTGGGCATTGCGGGAGGGCATTGATTGGGGGAAGCTGGATTGGACGTTGGCTGCTCCGATAGAGAGAGGGACCTGCTAAGATACAACGAGGCCAGCAAGAGCTGGGACGCAGAGAAAGGCGGCAGGTGACAGCTCTACGGCGCGTTCTGCGGGTTCGAGTCGCAGCTTCCTTGCTGCGAGCTACGACTTTGGCGGGCATGGGCTCCATTTGTTCAGTTCCTTTCGCAGTAACAGAGAAGCTCCGTATTACCATGTGCATTTGCACCAGTAGAAACACGTCCCCTCCTCGCTCACAGCTTGGTTGCGCCCACCGCCTTTCGCTGAGCCGCTGAGCCATGCCACCGCCAAACCGCTAACTCGACCGACCGACCTTGTGACTTGGCCTAGCTCTTTCATGCCCTCCGTTCCTTCCCTCCTCGAGCCACCTCCGGCGCTCTTTTCTATCTCGGTCGTAGCTTTTCCTCGTCTGTGCTTTTGCCCCTGGTCTTTCTCTTATTGTCTCGCTTTCGTTGGCCGCTTCCCTCTTTTCTCTACTTGCCCGCGCGCTCTCGCCTTCCTCCCTTCTTATTTCCACACTTCCGTCTTTCCCATTCGAGCCTCGTCCTTTTGTGCCAACTTTGCTCATAAGCTTCTTTGTACACAGCCCATTTGCTCTTTCCTAGTGCTCTTCATTCGCTGTTCTCTACTTTTTACCGGGTCCCGCCTGCTTGATTATCTATTATCGTTGCTTTCGGCCTCTCCACACCCCATTGCTCATTGCTCCTTCTCTTTTGGCCGTCCCATAGTAGATACTTACAAACTGATGTTGCTCTTTCCTTACTACGACTGATCTGCTTAATGCTCCGTAACTTCTCTTCGAATCCTCTGCCCACACGTTTTCTCTTCTTCCTTTCTTCCACCTACAACCTCGTTGTTACGCCCTTTCTTTCTACGAATTGCTTCACGCTACCCGACGTCCATCTTTCTCCAGTCACCGTACGCCGGACAGCTATTATCTCTAGGATTTCCCCTCACCATCTCCTTCTCAGCTCTTTCATGGCTCTGCATCTCCTCATCCCTCGCACAACGCCTTACAAACCTGCATAACGCTACGTCTGCAAAGCTCTTTCAGCACATTCCAACAATTCAAAACATCTTCGACACGTTTCCTCTTATTCGGGCTGCCTTTCCTGGCCGAGACGGCCAACCCCGAAGCACAACTTGACCTTGACTCAACTCAATCTTCGACCGCACCGTTTTTTGTTTCTGTTCCCAGCCCGCTTTCCCAGTTGAGCCACTTGCCGCCCGCGCTCTCCGAAACGCTGTTTGTTACAACCCCAGAAGCTTAAAAAGGAAAAAGGCCCAGCTTGCAACCGGCGATCGAGCTCCTTGTTCTTCTTTTTTAGTTGTTTCCGGGAACTCTGTTGACAGCAAGCAACGCAATCCAGGAGCTTGGAGCTACCGCCCATTGCTCATCCCCCGTCGCTCTCCCTTTCCTCCCTGTTACGCCCGTCACGAAACACCGCCACTTTCGACGGCTTGGGACCAAGACTATTTGACTAAACAAGACCACCAAGCACCAAATAGAGAACGGGAACCGAAATCCGCGGCATGAACACATGCCACCCAATGCATATAGCTCGTACACACATAGCTTGTTCTCCTTTTGACCTTTGCTCGTCGCCTCTTTTCTTTCCTTCTTTTTCAACCTTCAAACCGCATTTCACCAAATTCATTTCACGGCCGCCATCTTCCGTCGACTAAATGCGCCAGCAACATACAGCTACTTGAACTCCTCCAGCTTGCCTTTCGCCGACCACTTACGAATCCACCACTACCTCAGTTCGTCAGCTGCTTATCCTTTTGCGTCGCTGTTGCCCGCTCATCCTAAATCACCATCGGTGCTGCTCACACCACCACCATTATCGCAGGCGATACTTGACGCTTTTTTTCGCGCAATCGCTGGGACCTTACAAGCATCCCTTTTTGTTTTTCTTTTTCAGTGCCACTATTTCCCCAACCGCCGCTTCGTGACGTTTACCACGAATCGACCGTTATTTAACAACGACGTTGAAGCTTGTGGATATAACTTATACGGACAACAACCGCCACTATCGTCACCGCCTTCTCCTCTCGTCTTATCGGAAAGTTACTCTCACAAGCAAGTAGCAGCAACACCACCTACAAGCTCGTCCCGCTGTTGGTGCCCGCAATTCATTCATTCAATCATTACGAACGCCATAAGCGATACAACAGCTTTTGTTCTCTCAATCGTTTCCCATACGCCGACGGAGCTGCAAGCTTTCTAGAATTCTAGAAAAAGCTTAGATTTTACGACGTGCGGTCAATTTAATCAATTGTCCCTGAACTTTGACATAAAAAGACTCAATTTCCCCAGAGTCGTCATTGCATGGTGGGGTCAAGATGCCACCCAGATCCTCTCTCACTTCTTCTTTTTCTATCACCGACTCGAACAACGAAGTCGTCTGCCCCTTGAAGAATCAAGATGGCTCAAGTTGTCGCAAGCGATGCATTGGCGTAAGTCTTTCCAATTTCTTTTCGTCGCTTTGTTTTTGTAGGTATTTCCGTCGCTTTCATGAGCTCTTTCTAATTTTATTTTCTCATTGAAGGAAAAGAGATATCGCTCCATGCAGGAGCATATCCGTCGCGCGCATCCCGAACATTACATCTCAAAGCTTCCGGCTACCGAAGAAAGCTTTCTGCTCATGATCAACACACCACCGAGCGAACGCCTGCCGAGTCAACAGAATGCGGGGCCCGCTCATCGCGGCATGTCCGGCAGTAGTCCCGGAAACTTCAATCCCGGCTTGAATGGCCCGCCAATCCACAACTCCATGGGCCATGGGACCATCCACCAGAACCAGAACAAACCGTACCTGCACGACATCAAGCATGGCGCCCCGGGCATCCCAAGAAGTACCGACGAATTCGTTGCCGGGTCTGCGCTGCCGGCCGCAAGTGCGGCCGCAGCTCTCGCGCAACTTCACAACCACAAACTTGATCGCGATTGGGACGAAGGGGTAAGTTTGTCAATGGGAGATGTAAGCCGTCTACCTTTTCTTTTGTCTGCAATGACCGCCTTCTGCATCGAGATTGGTACGCTAACACAGCTTCAGGGGTGGACGTCCGACACAGAAAAAGGCCGCTTGTCGCACTCGTCTATCGAGCTTCCCCCGATACATATGGCCAACCCTGACATCACCAGCGAGCCCTTTCCCGGTATGAACATGAATCGGCAGCGTGAGCTTCTGCCCTCCATTCTGTCCGGTTCGCCGCCCGGTCGCTCGTCGACACTTCCTCCGCTGCAACGTCCCTTGGGACCCTCGCGGCCAAGGAAGCAGTCCATCACCAAGCGGACGCGCGAGACCCACCATAAGAAGCAAAGGTCTCGGGGCTCCGCATCAGACTGGCTGCGTCGTATTCAGAATGAGTCGGCCGTCGATAGGCTACGCCCCGGTGGACCTCTGAAGGCAATGTCGGCTGAGCCATCTGATTTTGGGAAGCGGTGGGAAGACCTGATCGATGCTGCGGCTTCCGCAACCGAGGACATTGACGACGAGCGTACTCCCGTGCCGCAGTCGCCGATTTCCATCCACCGCGCCTCCTTGCCGCCTTTCCCACATCAGGCGTTCCAGCACCACCAGCAGGCCCAGGGTGGCTATCAAGCATCACCGCTGCAACAGGCACTGACACCGCCGTCATACGCGCAAGAGATGCCCGAGCCATTCCCCTCTGTTGAGAGCAATGAAAGTGGCGATGTTTTCAACATGGAATCCCGTGGCCTGTCCGACTCATCTCCCAGCTACTCTTCGCAGAACCCGCAGATCTACTGTGCGGCGTGTGGCAACATCTCCCAGCTCCGGGAATCGTATGCGTGTACCGAATGCATATGTGGTCTCTGCCAGGCCTGTGTCGAGGTCTTGATGGGAGAGCAAGGCGCCAGCAGGAAATGCCCGCGCTGTCACACAATCGGCGGCCGCTTCAAACCTTTCCAGCTGGATATCCGGTGATCCTCAGTCGTTCTTTTTGGATTGTTTCTTCCACCATTCTTTTCACCCCCCCCTCTTTTCCTTGACATCATTTCGTACGTTGCCTTCTTTTTTCAGTTTTTGGTATCACGGCATCTGCTTTTCATGCTTTTTATGATTATACTTGCCTGCCACCCCGTATTGGCACAGTATACCGGCGCATCTGCACACACTTGGGGACATCCTCTGGGAAGGTTGATTTTCCACCTATTTGGTCATTTACAAAGAGGCATTTGTTGTTTCCACGGGCTTTACAGTTCAAAAGACGCTACCGGGATACAATGCACAGCATCTTTATCAGGCGGCGGTCTACATCGATTACGGGGTTGTTTGCTTTTGACTTTCTTGGTATTTTGACTTTTACTTTTCTTTCGGATTCGACATCCTTGTTTGTCCTCGCTTCTGGATATGCTTCACTTCTTTTCATCCACGTACCTTCTGGTGGTAGATGCATGCAGACATTGGCTGCTTCTCCTTGGACGTTCTAGATGACCCTCTTTTTATCATCCCTTCCCCCACGGCGTTACTATATCGGCTACGACATTTGAAAGGCGGACAAACTACACCTAGATGACGGCGATATTCATCGGGACCTACCACGATCGTTACCCACACCGGCACACACACGCGCTGTTATGATTTTTGATGATTTTTCTTTGCGAGACGGGCCACAAGAACGGTATAACACAGGAGTTTATGAGACCGAAAGCCATCGTTGTTTTGATTATGATGGCTCTATTAATTTGGTCGGCAAGAGGGTCCCTTTTTTTTCTGATTTTCATTTTTCATGGTATGTCTTTATTTGCTTTTTCTTGATTATGGCTAACAGCTTGGGTCGGTGAGCAAGCCTCCACCAAAGACTTTCGCTATTCTTTGTTCTATGTTTTATGTTTTTATGTTACACTTGACCTCGTTCTGGGTATTTAGGGAATTCGAGGGAGCGAAGAAAGTCTGCAGCTGTCCTCCTCCGTCGTACATATCTTTTATCGGCCCATTTTATGCGCGTCGTTTGTCTCGCAAGGGCTTACATAGTTTCGTTCTGCCGCAACGCTCCGTTCTGCAAGTAGTACTCTCTTGTTTTCTTTATGTTACCACAAAGTATGCATTACACTATCTTCAGTCTACAACGAGATATGTGAAATCTACGTACTGTGAAGAAACCATACAGTCGTGAAAACCATAAACAATGGCAGATTCAAGCTGAAATTACATACCCCGTTCCATATTATATTGTACAGCCACAGGCTATTCTCTAGTTGACGAAATAAAATTGTTTCTTTGCCCACATGAAACGATGTCCCCAGAAAACATAAAGAGGTCAAACCCGACATCCAAGACCCAGTTTGCTGTGCCGGACCGAAGTGCTGATATCAGAAAAAAAAACAAAAATAGTAAAGACGCCTTGAAATCAGTGGTAGTTAACAGGTTTTTGTTTGTGTCGTGTTTACGATGTGCGTCGGAGGGTATGTTCCGTCCCTTTCGCGTATCGAGGGTATGTATGGTCGTGGCCAGTCGAGGCAGCACCTTGACCACGACAAGACGGATTGTCCTTGAAACGATCGAGGCCGTTGGTCTTGTTTTTCTCCTCTCCCTGTCTCCCCTTTCTTTTGATTCGTTGTGTCGTCATATGCCCAACCGTCACCTCCCCACAAGTCTACCGCCCAAAGAAGCGACTCGCCATGCCGCTCGCAATCGACCCGGCCAGGTTCGTTGACGAAAACGCCGACCCGGCCAGGTTGGAGGCTTGGCTGAACTTGTCGCACCGCGAAAACGCCAGGGCGTTGGTCACGGTCAGCGCCAGCGCAATCGCCAGCAGCGGCAGCCACAGCACGCTGAAGCGGAAGAGGGCAAAGACGGCGAGCGCGGTCCACGACAGGGGCTGCGCGTAAATGGCCAGCCAGAAGAAGCGGCTGTCGGTGGCGTTGGGGACGCGGTTGGACGCCGGGTCGCTGCTCTCAAAGACCCACTTGGAGTCGCCGGTCTCGGGGTTGACCTCGTTCCACCAACGCAGGCCGACGAGGCGGCGGCCGGCAATGTTTTTGAGGTAGTAGAAGTCGGCGGCGAGGAGGAGGACGGTGATGATGAAAACGAGGACCCTGCAGAGAGGCGGCTGGGGTTAGTTTTTCATTGGCAACAAGGAACACGGTCCACACACACAAAAGGAGACGGAGGCACGCACTTATTCCCTGTAAAAAGCAAGCCAAAGAGGTAGACGAGCAAGCTCCCTGGAGATGCCAGTATTGTTAGCAGCGGAAGCTATGGGCAAGCATGGACCAGGTCGTTATGCCAACGCACCAATGCGGAAGGCGAGGAAGGTGAGCAGCGTGATGGGGTGCGAGCTCAGGCGCCAGTGCAGCGCGCCCGGCTGCGGTGGCGCTTGCTGCTGGGGAGCGTCCATGTCGATGGTGCGGTCGGCGTGTGCCGTGTGTGTGGATGGACAAGGAGAGCCGGGTGCTGCTCGCGGGTGAAGCTGAGAGACAGAAACGAATATAGACGAATATCGCGAATCGGTATGCCAAAGTATGTTGGCGTCGAAGAAATCTGGGAGGTCGCCGAGTCGCAGTGTACTCGAACTGAGGGCTTATCTTGTCGTCGTACGCGATGGCGATTCGCTGTCGGTGGCGTCGTCGGTGTTGTTGCCGTCAAGGCGCTGTCGCTAAATGGAAGGTTGTCGTGTCGTTTTTGTTCCGCATTTGGAGAAAAGGAGACAGACACGATACGATAAGGGCGATGCATACGTGTAGCTCGTCCCCACTTTTCCTTATGAGAGGTGCCTGTTGCTTCTAGAGGAAGGCGGTGATAAATGGCAGAAATGAAGCTGACGTTTATAACGCCGTCTGTCATTCAACGAGTAACTCAAAGTAATAAACGTAGGTGCAGCGAATAGTTTCCAGTATTATGAAACTGTTACGAGGCATTCCCATCGTATTTAACATAGACAATGCAGAACTATAAAGGGCTGACTGGATTTGGTTGGAAATTATCACTTTTATGAGCAGCACGCCATCACGTGAACTATTCTTATTAGTAGAAAATGTAGTATGCTCGCTAGACGCTGAGGCAACTTACAGCGACCTCTCCACTGGCGTATCCTTGCAGGTCCACTATGTAACTGTCGCCGAACTGCGGGGAGTGAGTACAGAAAAGCATATCGGCTATCAAGAAGCCGATATAAACTCGCCGTATGTCATTGAAGAACTGCGGAGCAACCGCATCTGTGTTTCATTTTCGTTCCCGTATTTGACTCGGTGATTTTTCTAGAGAGTCTGTCTCGAAGCAACACTCATTTGATTTAATTCAGCCTAGCCGGCCACTCGATATTCAAAATGGCGGCTCCCGTCCTGCGACGGTCTCTTCTTTATGGTAAGGTGTTGTCATTGTTGTCGCGTTATAAACCGGCTATGTACGAGCCCGTTTACTCACCTTGGTTGCAGTCCCCGCATCGTCACCCAAGATGCTGGCCAAGTCCCTCACGCTCGCCTCGGACAACATCACCTACGACCTCGAAGACGCTGTCACCGAGACGGCCAAGCCCGCCGCCCGTGCCGCGCTCCGGGACCATTTAGAGGCACTGGCCCAGTCCAAGATCAAGACGCCGGCCAACACGGAGATTGCGGTGCGCATCAATGCCGTGTCGACCCAGCACGCGCTCGCCGACCTGACGGAGCTCGGCCCGCTGGCGCTCTCGGCCGTCGGCGCCATTGTGGTGCCCAAGACCAACGCGCCGTCCGACCTGGCGTTTGTCTCGGACGTTGTCAACCATATCCGGCGAAACCGGGGCGATGCGCCGCGCGCCACGGCGGCCGGCCCCAAACTGATTGCCCTGATCGAGTCGGCCCGCGCCATTATGGACCTGCGCGACATCTGCGCGGCCGGCACCGCCCCCACCGCGGGCCTCTCCCTGGACGGCCTCATTTTTGCTGCCGAGGACTTTGCCCTGGACCTGTCTCTGACGCGGTCGCCGTCGCTGTCCGAGTTCTTGTATGCGCGCAGTGCAGTGGTGACGGCGGCGCGGGCGTTTGGCCTCAACTCGGCGCTGGACCTCGTGTGCACGAGTTTCCGGGGCGACCAGGGCCTGGCGACACTGGCGGAGGAGTGCCGGGATGGACGAGGGCGGGGATTCACAGGCAAGCAGTGCATCCACCCAACGCAGGTGAGCGTGGTGCAGCAGGTGTGGGGGCGCATGTACGACGAGGCGGACCGGATGGAGCTGGCGTGGGCGGTGCGGGTGCTGATTGCAGAGGACAAGTCGGCGGCGAGCGGGCGGGGTGCTTTTACGCTGGACGGGGCGATGATTGATGCGCCGGTGGTGGGCAAGGCGCGGCGGCTGTTGGACCAGGCTGAGCGGTCGGGCGCCGGCGAGTTCATCCAGTCATTGCGTGAGAAGCACAAGGATCAGGAGCCGGAGTAGATGGGTCACTCTTGAACTGGTGTGTTCATGTATATATTGTTCTGCTTTCCAAAAGCCATGCTTCAAAAACAAATAAATGCATTCAGTCAAGTTCATTTTTATGGCGATCCATGAATCTGATTTTGCCACAGATCATTCCGCGTATCCAAAATGTTCAAAATGAAAAAGCACGACCAATATAACAAAATGCTTGCGCTGCTCTACCCAAAGAACAGTGAACGAGGGTGTATCTTGATAAACAAAACGAAAACGAAGAAGCTTGAACAAACCACCCGCAGTAAGAATATAGAAGTATCAATAGATGAATGCCAACGCCAAGAAAGCCTCAGTTGAGCTTGTGGGGTTAATCTGACGTTTGAAGGTGAAAGGATGAAAATAACAAATAATAGATGGCTGTTTCATTAAAATAAGCGTCAAAAGATTCTTCGCCTCATGCAAAACGATGTCTTCCCGTCTTCCATTTTTTTTTCTTTACCGGCTTGACGCAGCCGCCCGGTTGCGAATAGCGTTCTCGATATCCGCGTCGAGCTCGCGTTCTTCTGCCTCGAGGCGGGCTACATCTTCGGGCGTCATGTGGTCTTCAATCAGAGCTGCCACTTGGCCACGCAACGCAGGTTGAGCAGCCGTTGCGGAGCTTGTGCCTGCACCTGCACCCGCCCCTGCACCGACTGGCGCGACCGGCGTTACTGGTTGTGCAGACGCAGCCACAGGAGACACGGCTGGCGTGGCGTTTTGCGCTGCCCGTACGGTCGGTGATGCTGCAGCGGACGCGCCTGCGGACGACGACGTTGGGACAGGCCGGGTGGGAATGATCTGCGGTGTGCTGTTGTCGTCGTCGGTATACGGGCTGTGCGGGCTGTTGGGTGTATCGGGCCCAGCAAAGCGGCCAGCCGCGCCAGCTGCTCCAACACCAGCAGCACCGACCACGACTGCGTCCTTCTCCATCAGGTTGACAGCCGTGCCCGAGCCCATACCGTCGTGCATCGTGGTGGGATGCATATTGGGGCCAGGGCCGCCGAGATCCGGGCCAGGACCAGCGCCGCGGTAAGGCTCGACGGAGCCGGAGAGAAGAGCCGAGTTGTACGCCTGGTTGGCTGCGCGGTTGCGGTTACGGCTGTGGCGGCGCAGGAAGAAGAAGACGAGGGCGGCAATAATGGCAATGGCAGCGACAGCGCCCACAACAATACCGGCAATGGCACCCTTGCTTATGCCGGAGCTGGTGCTAGTGCTGCCACCGCCGAGAGTGGGTCCGCTCATTGAGCCATTGCCATCCGTGGCCGTAGGTTGGGATGTTGCGGAGGTAGCCGTCTTGGCAACGGCTGCTGTCTGCGAGCCTCCAATGCGCGACTCGACAAAGATGGGGTTCGTGTTGGTGTAGTAGGGCAGGACAGTGCTGATGATGGCCGTGGAGCTGACATAAGTAAATGTGCGGCTGAAGGACGAACCTTCGACGCCTCCCTCCTGGGTCCAAGTGATTTCGAAAAACAAAGGGGACCCATCAAGATGGTTGTCAAAAAGCGTGCCCGAGTCGACAAGCGTGACCGTACCCGTCTGGGTTCCGGTGCCGGTGGGTTGGACACTCACTGTTTTGTTAGAGCTTTTTGCATATAGAAAAAAAGAAAAGAAAAAAAACAAAGGCGAAAGAGAGAGGGAGAGGAAGAGTGGGAAACCTACACGTAATGACAACAGTCTCCCCACCAATGCCTTGACCCTCGGCTCCGTTAGGGGATGCCGTGGCGACGGTGGTGCCTTTCACAGTATCCCGCAGCTTGGCGCCGGTCACATTGTAGGCAGTCGAGGCCACAGTGAAGGAAAACGATTTGCTGGGCTGGGCGCTGTTGGCAATAAAGACGGCGTCGTCGGGCTGTGAGGGATCGTAGTCGTAAAAGTCGCCGGGGGTGAATACGATGACGGAGTTTGCGGGAGTGCCGCCGGAACCAGAACCGCCGGAACCAGAACCGCCAGAACCAGAACCGCCGTTGCCGCCCGAAAACCCGGTACCGCCGTTGCCGTCAGGTGCAGCGGTGGTTGCTGCTGCCGGATGGGCATCAAAAACGCCAGAGGTTGACGTCGTAGCGGCGGCCGCGGTGGCAGCGAAGCCGAGTGCAGCGGTGATGGCCGTGGACAGGGAGATGTCGCCGAAGAGCCGGCTGCGGACAGACCGCATGATGGGCGAGGGTTTCGTAGGACGAGGGACGAGGGACGCGGGGTCAAGGATGTCGATGTTGTCGAGTATCACGGAGAGCCGCCAAAAGAAGAACAAACTCAGCGGAGGGAGAGGAGAGAGGCAAGAGAAGAAAACAATCAGCGGAAAGAGTGCAATGACGCTGGCACTCTGCTCAATGTTTTTGTTTGCCCAGCTCTCCAGTCGACAAGGCTGCAGGGAGAGGCGAACAAAACAAAAGACGGCCGCAAAAGGAGAGGAGACGAACGAAGCCAAAAAGAGCCTCAATGTTGGTGAGAAGCAGGAAAAGGCAGCAGAAACGAAAACGGCCAGGGCAAAAAGCAGCCTGGGGGAAGGAACGAAGCAGACCAGACAGAGAACAACAGGGGCAAAGACAGAAGGAGCCACTGAAGGATCGGGCACAATAGAAGGAACGAGGTGAGAACAGCGCAAACAAAGCCAAACAAAACCAAACAGAGAAAGACACAGGGGCAGAAAGCCAGAAAGAAGGCAAGGAAGGGAAAGGATTGCGAGCTGCAGAGTGGGTCGACGCCAGATCAAGACGGTAAGGCTGCGCGCAAGGGTTCCTTTTTCTCGACGGAGGTATTTCTCTTTGCTCGGTTTCCTCGTTTTTCGGCTCTGGACTGACTGGGGCTTTGGCTTTGGCTGGGGGCTGGCCTTGGTTGGAAGGAACGGGGATGGGGGGGGACCAGGGTACGTCAAAAGAGGAAAGAGTGGAAGGGAAGCCGCAGTGTAAGTAATACGTCGTACTTCGTACAGTCAGAAAGTGCTGTGCAACGATGGGGGCAGAGCAAGTGTGGCGCCGGTCGTTCTTTCTGAATTAAGATGCAGCTGAGAAAATAAACAGTCCGCCTCCTTTCCCGTTTGGGGGCCCAACGAAGGCCACGATGGACGCGGTTCTGTTCCTTCCCGAAACTACGACAAGACAGGACACGACACGGTGTATGTTGTAAATTACAAGGAAAGAGCAAAGGACGAGCCTATCGACCGTCTAGAAGGGGGTTTTGACAGCGCCAAGACAAAGAACATCGAACACGGATGAAAGCAGTGCAAAGTTGACAACGACAAAAGGGGAGAAGAACAAAGGCGAAGAACGCGACACAGCCAACTCCAAAGCCTCCAACTCCAGCGCGGTCAGCCCTGCGGTCCAGAGTTGCAATAAGCTTCAAGCCGTTGGCAAATAGGGGGTGTGTGACGGTGGGGCGCGGCCGCACGTTTCTTGGTCGTTTTTCAGTGACAAAAAGAGGAGACCAGCAGACAAGCGGACAGAGGACAGAAAGGAAAGCTGCAACTGGACCTCTGGACCAACCGGAAACGAATGGGTCGGTCTCCTTGTTGAGGCTAGTTTCTTTGGTTGGACACGGCCTTGCGCCTCGACAAAGGTCGACCCCAAAGACGGCAAGCATGCTGGCCGTCTGCGGCGATCCAAAGGCGGAGTGGAAAGGGATGTGGTGAAGTCTGAGCGGTCTTTGTTGCCTTTTGTTTTGCAAAACGATACATTCCTGCTGGGACGATGGTGCGCAATCCGGGACGGAATTGTATTGCAGAGAGAGACGGAGGCGGCGAACCGGTGGGCCACCGTAAGTTAGCCGCATCTCAATTTAAAGTGCGAAATAGCGGCGAAGCCAAGACTTCATGTATTGGTTGACCCTGAAAAAACGCCTGGCCTAGGGGTCTTAGTATCGGACACTAGCCGTAAGGCTTGCCGGGCGAAGAGGCAAAGCCCACCTGGGAACATGAAAGGCTCGACTGGATCATAATAATAGCGCACTGTAACGGTTGTTGGGGTGCGTATGGGCAGTAATATCTTACGATGGCAGAGGCATTACGAAATACGTCGTATTTGTGTGGCTGCTACTCACTGTCGTACTGTTGTTTTCTGCAGGACTTTTTTGTATGCAGCCATTTGTCCAATACAGTCAAAGATGACAAAGTGCGGAGCAGTTACGCCGTACAAAAAATGGGAGAAATATTAGGTGTGCTGTATAGCGAGGCGCAGTGCAGTGCGGCTGTCTCAAGGTCGGTTGAGTCGAGTCGAGTCCAAGTCGACAGATGCACAGCAGAGATGGTGGAGAGCAAAGATGGAAACATATCAGCGCCTACTTCGTAGCTGCACTGTTGGCGGGTATTTCATGCCGATGACAGACAACCTGTCGACCACTTTCTTGACAATTTTTGATATCTCAAGGCGGCTCTCCTTTTACACGTCGACGTCTATTTGTGATCCTGCCTGACACTTATCACCACTTATCCCGCCTTGCCCATTGTTCTCCCTTGCTGGCAACGTACGATTTCTGTCCTTGTGGTTCTCTGGCTCGAGACTCACTTGGTGCGACCAGCGTGGCTCAAGTGTCTTGTTGTCGTCGTGGCTGAGACGACGGTGAGATCTCCCAGAACCTGCTTTGGCCGACCAGGGTGCTGCCACCTGTCAGCGCTGTAACGCGTACAACGAATGTATTGATATGTCGTTCATATGTACCATTTGGTATACATTATACGGAGAGGTACACACTGAGGACCAACGGGGTAAGACCGCTAGACAAAATATCCCATAAATACTCCATATTCTCTTCACCACTGGAGCTATCGTTTGGTGAGACACTGGAGATACCTGTCAGAAAGCTGACGACCGAATTTACTCGACGTGATAAAGAGGAAGTCGTACTATAAATACGTCTATTGACCCACGGTGAGCGAGCATGCGTCTGTAAAGAGCCCTAAGCCCGCGTAATTGTCTCCACGAATACTATTCTCCACAACTGACACCAGCCTCTCTTTTGACCCTCTGTACCATACTTGGCCCTTTCATTTGTGAACTTGGGAAGGGTATGATATTATATGTATAATGCGTGTCTGGTCTGTATGACGAATAGAAATATGTAGTAGTGGCGCATAAAACAAACGCAAAATTACACCCGGTTAAAAATATCACTCCTGCTATGCAAATGTCATGGAAATCTCCTGCTCCTTGCCAAAATCGTCGTCGTCGTCGTCGGCACCCTGACTCCACGGATCCGTCAGAGTGATGGCCGGCACCGATGGCGACGTCACGGCAACCGCAGCGGCCGCTGCAGCGCCAGCGGCCGCACCAACGGCAAGCCCACTCGACGACGGCCCGGCGGCCCTGGCCGGTGGTGACGGCGTGTTCTTGTACGCTGGGTCCTTGGGCGGTGGTGGTGGCGGCGGGCCGGCTGGTGAGAACGGCGTCGGTGGTGTGAGAGGCGATGCCGAGGCGCCCGTCGTGCCCGTGCCACCCGTGGCACTCGCCGACCGCGGCGGTGCCGGCTCGTCGTCGTAGGCATAGTCGAACGTCATGGAGATGCCGTCGTTGCCGTGGTCCACAACGTGCGGGGACACAGCCCCGGTCCGACTATACGGGTTGTACGAGCTGTACGAGGGCGACGCCGCCGCCGCTTCGTCGCGTGGCGGCAGCGACATTTGCCGGCCCAGCGCCGTCGGCGTCCGCTCGTCTGAGTGGCGGTACTCGGCCGAGGTCGGCGTCGTGGACGAGCGGCGCGACGAGGACGACGACTCGCGGACATCGTGCGAGGCGCGGTAGGCGACCGCCGTGTCCGTAACACGGCGGTTGTTGCTTTGCAAGTGAGGCGCGTTCTTGGCGAGCCCCTTGGGCGTCGTGGCAGGCGCTGGTGGCGTGAGCGCAGGGCTCGGCGCCGGCGAGTAGTCGAGCTTCATGGGCGGCAGAGTCGACTCGAGCTCACGCACCTGCAGCTGCTCCAACTGCAGATCCACGTCGCCGCCGTTGTGCTCTTTGGCCAGCTCGGCCCGGATCGCGTCCACGTCAAACAGAATGCCGTGGTTGTTGCCCTCGGCGTCCTCGGTCCGGCCGCCCACGGCCGCCAGGGAGGCCGCCGCACCCGCACCGGCGCCCGTGGCGCGCTGCTTGGCCAGGTCCTCGTAAATCTCCCACTCTTGTTTCTCGCCCTTCTTCTTGCGGCTAAAGAAACTGAACGCGCCGCCCTTCTTGGAGGCTTTGCCCTCCTTTTCGAGCTCCTTGCGCGCCTCCTCGATCTCGTTGATCAGCTCGCGCTGCCGCTCGCCGTGGTTTTCCGGGTCCGGATCTTCAATCTCCGTAAACTCGTCGCTCTCCACAAGCCAGCCGCACTCGCGCAGCAGCCGCGGCATCGCCGTGCGGTAGTCCATGTGGCCCACCACAAACTCGGTCACGTCCATGTTCTCCATGCCCGGGATGTTCTCGACCGCGTTCAGGCCGCCCACGCGCCGGATGCCGCCGTTGGTCAGGCGGAACAGGTACCCCAGGATCCAGTCGTTGCGGTTGTAGCCATTGACAAGGCGGCCCGCCACGACCGAGCGGGCGCGCATGTACTCGTCCCGCTTGACGACCACGGGCGAGCCGAACATGAAGACGTTCTGCACCAGGCCGTAGGCGCCCTTGCGCGCCAGCTCCTGCAGACACGAAAAGATGACGCGCGAGCCCAGCGAGTAGCCCACGAGCGTGATCGGCCGCGTACCCAGGTTGCGGTCGATCAGCGAGTCGGCCAGAATCAGGCCGGCCATGGTGGCACGGTCCAGCGACACGGCCCAGGGGTTGTCGATGAGGTACGACAGCTTGGTCAAGACCACAGGCAGCTGCAGCGCGGCCATCAGCGACACGAGAATGGTGCTGCCGAGCAGCTGCTGCAGGCCTTGCGTCAGGGCCTCGGTGGCCAAAATGTTGATCGTGTCACCCATGCTGGTCAGCATCTCGGGCTCCCACAGCACCGAGTAAATGTCGCCCATGACCGGGTCAATGGTGCTGTACGGCAGCCGCACGTCGTCGACTTTTCCCGTCATCCAGCCGGACACCGTCACAATCAGGTTGACCCGCTTGTTGTTGTGCAGCGGCCGGTACTCAAACGTCTTGACGGCGCCCGTGCGCCGGTTCGCAGCGCGCACGCCAATGACACTGCCGGACGCGGCCGCGGATGACGTGATGATAGCAGCACCGCCAGCGCCAGCCAGGAAGCTGCTCGTGCCGGTGACACCGATCGTGGTGAAGCCAGCCGCCAGACCGGCGCCGATGACGGGCGCCAGCAGGCCGGCCGACAGGCCAATGACCAGACCGCCACCGACCGTGGCGAGGCCCATCATGACGTAGCGACGGCGGAGCGCCAGCTTACGGCGCTCTTCCATGTGGTCCTTTTCGTCCCAGTTTTCCTTTTCGGCCTGCTGCTGCATCTCCAGCGCCTCGGTGACCTTGCGCTCAAATTTGCAGATGTCGATCCAGGGGATCTCGATGCTCTCCCCGACGCGCTCCAGCAGCACGCGCGACCGTGCATCGTAAATCGAGTCGGCAATCAGCACGAGGAACAGATCGCACAGAACGGTCCACCGCAGGTCAATGTCAATCTTGGCCGTTGTCGGCAGCTGTGAAGGTGTGCGCACATCGGGCAGCGCCTCGCCCTCAATCTCCTTGTAGGGCGGCGGCGGCTCGGCGGCCTCTTCGTCGTCGTGCTCGTCGTCGTTGTTGCTGTCCTCGCTGGCACCGTCCTGCGCTTCTTTGGCCTTTGCACTAGGCTCGGAGGGAGCTGCGTCTTCGTTGACCTCTTCGACAATGCGAGGCGAAGGGATTGGCGCAGGACCCTGGGGCGTGTGCGGCGACCGGGGCGGCACGGGCGCGTCAGAAGTGGCACCCTCCTTGTGAGCCATGGGGTTCTTGACGCGCGCATTGGCCATCAGCGCTGGCGTCAAGTCTTTGGGTTGCACGCCGTGCTCGCTGAGCTGCTCAATCATGACCTGCTCCGCCAGAGAAATGTCCATGTGCGCATACAGGCGGATCATCATCTTTTGGGACCACATGCGCATCGACTCGACCGCAACGGACAGCTCTTTGCGGATGCGCTTCGACGTCGTAGGTGCAGCATCCTCGAGCTCTTTGATCATGTTGTACAGGTGCAGGCGCGTGATGCCCACGTAGGCAATGCGCTGGCCCTCGGTCAGCAGGTCTTTGGTGGCCTCCATCTGCGCCACCGTGTCGCGCTGCTCCTCCTCGTCCTCCATCATGCTGGTACCCGCGCCCGTCTTGAAGAGGTAATTCGTATTATCGTCCATGCTGGTGGCGCTCTCGGCGTCGTCGTCGACCAGCACGCGCGTGTAGCCCTTGCCGGCACCGCCGAGCCCAGAGTATCCATAGCTGTCAGCCTCGGTCTCGACGTGCTCCTTGGCAATCAGGCGGTTGTCGTCGTCGTACATATCGTAGGGCGCAAAAGCCGGCATGGTTTGCCAGCCCTCGTCTTCCTCTTCCTTCTCTTCGGTCTTTTCCGTCGTGAGCTTCTGGTGGGAGAACTCGGACATGGTGTTGCCAGCGCTGCTGGCAATGCTAGTTTCGCGCGCATGGACTGCCGCAAAGTTGCTGCTACCCTGCGAAGGCTTCGGTTGGGGTTGACTGTCGGTGCTGGCGTGGGGCACCACCTCGGTGTCGACGTTGTCGTTGGCCTTGGGTGGTCTCGGCGTCCGCGGTTCTTCTTCGATGGTGTCAGTCGTATTCGTAGTGGTATTCGTATACCCATCAGCCGCCGTACCCCGCTCGGCTGTGGCCTTGTTGGCGCCGTCGACGGGGCTCTCGACGCCAATGCGCAGCGACCATCGCCGCCGTGAGCCGCTCGACGCCCGTGAGCTTGCGCGGCTGTGGTCATTGGGTGTGCCGTCTGCGTCGGACCGACTCGTGCTCCGCCTCCGGAAGCTCCAGGCGCGTTGTCGTGGCTTCTCTTCCTCGGGCTCCGGCGTGTTGTATTGGATAGCCTCGGCCTTGCGGATGGGCAGGCCAAAGTCGTCAAAGTCGCCAGTCGCGGCGGCGGCCGTCGTGGCAGGCGTTGTGGTATTCGGCTGCACTGCCGGTTTGGCAGCCTTCGGCTCCTTGAGGGATCGTGACCGCGACCGAGATGGTGTAGACCGATTCTCGGCGGCACGCTGCTTCTTCAGGACCTTTTCGAGCTTTTGGGCTGGGGACTCGTCGCGGGAAACAGGCCGTTCCTTGTGCGGAGGTTGGTCGAGGCTCGTTGTGGAGCTGGCGGCCCTCGCGGCGATCTCGGCCCCATTGGCTTCGTCCAATTTTGGTTTGGTAGGGGAAGGTAGACTCGATTCGGCCGGCTCGTTCGGGGTGGCTGACGTCGGCGGCACCTCTGTGACCTCGCGGCTGTCACCGGCGGCCGGGTCGTCTCCCGCCGCCATTGTCGTTTTGTCTTCTTCTTTTTCTATCCTCTATTGCAAGGTAGAGTTCGCGCCGTTTTCTCCGTACACCGCCTTGGGGCCGGCCTTGGAGAGGAGGTGTGTATGTCAATGTCGAAGGAGGCGGGCGGCAGGCGGTGCAGGGATGGGAAGAAAGGGAGGGGAAACGGTGAGAGAGGAGAGCGCGTGTTCGTCTTATGCGTGCAAAGTCAAACGTGACCAGCCTGTCGTTCGTCCCGCCAAAGGATGGCCAAGCATGCTCTGGGTCGGGAGAAGGGATGGCAACGCTGCACGCCGCGGGTCTGAAAGAAAACAAAGAATCAAGACAGCAGTGTCGTTGTTGGTTTGCGCCCGCAGAGAAAGGGACGAGGATGTCACGGGATGGCGCACGCAAGCAGCTCGGGGCAAGACAGGAGACTCAGGCACCAGCAAATAGACACGGGAGAGGGAGAGTGCGTCAAACTGCTGGCGGATTTTGTTTCGTCAGTGGGCTTGGCCCGGTCGGAGCTTGGACTGCGATCGAGCCGTGATGTCAAGGTGGTGGTGGCAGAAAAAAAGGGTAGTCGTGCGTCGTAGCCGTCAAGGGGTCGCAGAAGAAAGGGGTTTCGAAAGGTGGGAACGTTTCGCCCCACACTAAACGGGCAAGAGTGGGAGTGGAGGGCAGGTGTCAAAGAACAGAAACAGGAAGGAGGCACGTTTCAAAATTGCCAATATCTCCCCCGGGAAACAGAAGGGGCGATCAATGATGTCCGTATACAGAGAAAGAACGATGGGAATACTTTCAAGTGGCACTTTGCACTTGCCTTGAGTAAAGCTATCTCTACATCGCTCCTTCGGTGTACATTTCTCAACAGGTAGTTCTTGCGCTGAGTCGACGTCGTGAACAAAGGAGAAATGGGGCACACAAATGCGCTAAAGCAATGGGGCGGTCGCTATCAATTAGCGACTAACACGGTAATTACACAGACCATTGTGCACTTGAATCCGTACTGTAAAATTGGCCATATTTCGATACGCAACTTTCTACTTTCATAGCGGCGCCAGTTATTTTTATTTTATTTGTTCAATTCGGAATCTGAATTGTGAGGAGGTGGTGCAACATGCAGCTCAATGGCTCTCTGACTGCAAGATCACTGCTCGCCGCAAACGGTGGAAGTTATCCAGTGGAAGTTGTCCGGCTCGCCGACATCTGCATCGTGCACGGCGAGTCTCGGACAATGTGACTAAACAGAGTCCGGAAAGCTCCTACGGGGGTGAAAGTGACCACCTAGGGCAGGATTTTCAAGACAATTTCCTGTCGCATTCCATTCGTACTATTGAATAAACAAGTATAGATTGTGGCAGTTGATGTGTTGACGTAAAAAGGCACAAAATATGTTGGTTGATAAAAATAAAATTATAAATTAATAAAATAAAAATAAACTTTGCTATAAAACATTTACAAGAGACTTGACACCAGAATCTTGAAGAGGCACAAGGAGATTATGTACAGTATGATGTCCCGCCGGTTCTTGACGAGGCTGAGAAACTGGTCAGCCGAATTCCCAGTGGCACATTTCTCTTCAGCCCTGCCATTGATCCGACGAGCATCTGCTCGTACGAGATACCAATCTGCAGTTCAATGGTAGTCCTCTGCTTGCGCGGAATGGAACCGCCTCTTACAACACGAGACGGATCATGATATTACTGGTGTCCTTGTATGGACAAGGCAAGCAAAAGGGCAAAAGTTGCAATTTCGGCGCCACCCGGCAGAGGTTGAACCATGACCCTTCACAAGAGCGTCCCCCAGTTTGATGTAAGACATATCTTGTAAAATAAAACGGCATACAGGCACTGTGTCCCTCTCTAAAAGGCCCTCTCGTGTTTTGCCTTCCTACCGTTTCTCGTCGCCTTCCTCTTCATCCGAACCCCAAGACCGGCCCAAGACGCTACGGCGAGGGGATTACGTGGGGACCCGGTTCCGCCTGTTCACTTACAGTGGGCGGTTGTCTCCTTGGCTGGTTCGACTGGTCAACAGTTACTCTGATGACAACTGCTGATCGCCCGTTGCACAAACAGGAACAAAGGTATTTCGTTGTGGATGACGTAATTCGCAGTGAGGGAGGTTCCCGGTATGGGACAAGCCTCGACGCGACAGCTTTGTGGACAACGAGAACAAGGGCTCACGAAGGGAATAATGTGTTTCTGATATTGTGGAGAGGACAAAGAGCATATGGATACACATACAGGCGAGTTACTCGGGGTAGCCTCATCGGCGAGTAGCCTGCCTTTCACCTTACTGGGTCTCGGGCCTGCCGGAGAGTCAAACTCGGGCGTAAGGATTGCTTGGGTACGCGTACTGAGGAGGATTGACGCGCCACTCTACAACGTATATCCAGAATATCCGACCAGCAGAGAGAGAATGCAACATAAAACAAGAGAAGGAGCATCTCCGTATTGACTCTCCGTGCCTGTCAGATGTCATGTCAAACCAGTCCATCACCCAAAGTCTATTTACGTCGTTTGGTTCGCCTATCAAAGACGCTCGTCATTTCTTTTGGGTCTCTCATTACGAACTGGCACGCCTTGGCGCTCGTATTTGACTCTTATTTTGGTCTTGATATTAGGGGCCGGATCAGACGGTATGACGCCGCCCCTCACGCCCAATAGCGCTGCATATAGCGGGCCATCCCGCCTAGGCCTTTGAGTATTATTAGTGCTTGTTTGCACGCCTGCATCTGCTGCGCATTTTCGGGCACACAGATGTGCATTCAACTCAGGGAGGAAATGGTAGTCACCAAAACAAGGCAAAGCCACATCATGACGCTCTAGTCTTGTGGTGATGTGGTGATGTGGTGATGTACGAAGTAGTGGTGTCGTTGTGGGTGTGGCTCGTTTCTTCATAGCGCGACCCAATTGCTACTTTGAGAAAAGGTCCGATGATATCGTCTCACGGCTGCTGGCCTGCGCGGTCGCAAGACGGGAATGCAACTCCGTTTCCATCGTCTGAATAGGGTATCGTCCATGTGGACGAGGGCGGAAATATGCGCAGTTGGGTTCGCGTTAGTGTGCTTGTTCGGCAGAGAAGAACGCGACTTACGCACTATATACGGCACACCAGTGAGCAGTTTATTACTTTATTTCGTCGCCTCATCGTCTTCCCGCCATTTTCTGTTTCCGTATTTGGCGCACGTTCAGGTTTCTCACTAGACGTTCCCATGCAACACGCCTTTATGCATGCCAAGTCTCACTGAGGCCTCTTTTGTTTGTCTCTCTGCCCCAGCAGACTGGATAGCAACCGGCAACACTGCAGAGATAGGGATGGTCGGTGGATACGGTCGTCTTTCACCGTCAATCGCGAACTTTACCATTTGCGGACGAGATGCCGGTGCCCGACAGAGTTTGGAGTACGAAGGAAGTACGGTTCAAGTCAAGCAAGGAGTGCGAGGGAGTGGTGGGAGAAGGAGGAAAAGTCATATTTCGTACTGAGCACGTTAGAGGTTCCGTTCCTGCCAAGTTCGTATACGGCGTATTTCGTTGCTCCCTCCCGTCTTGTCGTGTCCTTTATGTGCAATCGTTAACGGTCCATTCCTTCTACTCATTTATGAATGTATCCGTGACGGTGACATCAAGAAAGCTTGCCGTAGCCACAGCGGCAGGTCCCAGGACACGAGCGCTGAGCCCACGTTCCCATCTGCATGTCTGTCCTGGCTGAGCCCAACGTTACAGTCGCACTCCCTTTTGCGCCGGTTTTTGCACCGTTCGACGTCGATATTGGCGTCTTTTCTCCAGCCTCTTCAATATTTCAAATGGCTAAGGACAGTGGTGGGCTCACCTCTGTCGAGACGCGTCCCCTCGTATTTCGGACGGCTTTACAGCCCCAGGGCGGAGTTCAGTCGTGTCCAGCAGGCAGCGACATTATGGTCAGGGCAGTGGAACCGGGCGGCAAAAGGACGTCGCACCAACAATACGAAAGACGCAATACTCCGTAAGCACACGCCTATTGTTTTGGGGCATGTTGAAGCATACTCAAACGACAGGCCGGCAATGCGCCATCAGGGCAACATCCTTCCAGACTGATTGGCTGACGTTTGCTCACATCTGGCAGCACGGCCTCTGTTCCTGCGTTTCCCTCCTGTCGACGCATACGTCACAGGCTGTGTGTGTTTTGCGTATCTTACGTGTCTTTCTTTGTTGTCCAATGCTACCGTAGAATGCATCTTTCGTCGGGCGCTGTCAATTGACGCTGCGGCGTATTGTAAATGCGGCATACTCCGTACAGAGCAGTAATGTCACCTTTGGATAGCCCTATGAGATCAGCGTCTTTTGCGTCCAACAGTCACCGCGTTCTCGGCTCTGCCTCTAAAAATAAAATAGACAGCTAAACTCGCTTGCCTCGCGATCGACCAGTGCCGGGTCCTGTCTTTTCAGTGTGGATGGCCACCCATAAACTCACCGAAGCCCGTCAAATCCATCAATGCCGATCTTGGCCACATTCTCGCTAGGCGGCCACAGAGCCCAGCATACCGCGTATTATTACGTCGCTGGCGGCCACGGCCTGCACCGGATCGACATCATAGAATAACAGCACCTGTCAGAGCTCGGAGCTCTCGCTTGCCTGTGAATTCAATTCTGCTCTCTTCAATAGCGCCTTCTTCAGCAGACGCTAATTCGAGATCTCTCCTGCCATTTTCATCTTGCCAGCCAACAGTTAGTGATAATCTATCCCACGCGGCGCTAAAAAGTAATGCCCGCTTCCGCCCAACCACTGCGTCACTTCTACTCCGGTCTCAAAGTCGTATCTTACCCAAAAATCAGTGGCGTGCGTCACGACTGCGACGCTTGCCAAATTAGTCTCAGATTCTTGTAGAGAGAAAACTAGAACAGGTCTCTAGCACCATGCACGTGTAATTAGAGAAGGAACGAGACAGACTCAGACAGACGGTTGGCACCATAGACCTTCAGATGGTAATGTGCAATGGCCGTTGAGATATACGAAACGACGAAACACACGGTAAGTTATGTAGCGGTTTGGCCTCGTATCGTGTGTTACAGTCGTTTGGCCCCTCGCTGAAAAGAAGCAGAAGACGACGACACGAATGCCAAGCCAAACAAACGCACCCTGAATCAGACACCATCAGACAAATTTTGCAGCTCCAAACACTGTGAAGATTTGTACTGCACTTCACCGAACAAATAACGAGCTATCCGATCTATCCGCTTGGCGTTTTGCCCCCTAACCCGGCGCGCCAGTTTCGTCCCCCCGGGAAAGCAAGGAAAGAGTCGATTCCATCACAACACGGAAGTGCAATACGGGAGTCGTGGGCAAGACTCGTCCACGGACGGCACGGAGCTCCTGAATAAAACCAAGCTGGTTGCCACTTTCCCCCCGTCTGTTCCTCGTCCCTTTTTTGGCTTTTGACGTCTTTCGCCTCTGTTCTCGATTTACCGTACTTCTGTGCACGTTAATTTCGTCTGGTCGTCACCGGTCTCTTCACCAGCTCATTAGTTACAACTTGCTTTGGCACTCGCCTATTTGGTCGCATTTCTCCGTCTCCTTCCGCGCTTTCCACGCTGCGCATTCCACTCGGTGCGTCGGCCCTGGTCAGCCCGTCCCTCTTTCCTCCACCAATTTCCTTTGTTATCTCGGTGGCCTCCCTCTCTCTCCTACGGTTGCTTCCCGCCCGGGCTCTCCCCTTATTCATCTCCGCGACCTCATGACAATGCGAGGGCCACTTTGCGTTCTTGACAAAGCCTGTGACGCCCCCAAGTGCGATTTGCGCCCCAGTCTGACAAAGGAAACGGAACAATAGCGGCCGCAAAAAGCTTTACGACAGCTCCTTTGCGTTAACCAACGACGATCGGCCCTGGCCAGCTGCCGCTCTTGTATTTGGCGACGATCGTTTTGTGAGTATTGCGTAGCACAGTCGTTCTCCCTTTACGAAATGCAAATTTCCAAGACTTTGTACGGAGCACAGTGAGAGCTAAAGAGGCGGTGTCGCCGACGAATGCGCCGTCCGCATTGTCCGCTCTGTTTACGTATGAGCGCAGTGCATTTGTGTTTTCTGTGTTTCCTGCGTTGCGCCTTCCCGGTTCAATCAAAGTCGGCACAGCTTCCTTCCCCGAAACCCGAGCTTGTTTTGCCCAGCCTGCCCAGCCTTCCAAACCCAGCTTCAGACAGACGAGAACAAGAAACACACAAACAAAACTAACAAAGAAGGAAAGCACGAACAGCCTCTCTTCCCTCACGCCCCTTTTACATTGTGAAGACCTCGGCCTCCAAAGTACGAATATCTATTCAGCCATTGCCGTCCACCTGGCCCATTTCTTCTTTTTTCCTCCCCCTTTTCCCCCGATACCAACAAACACAAAAAGAATCTTTGCTCGAAACGACCAACAAACAACTCCCGTGACAAAATAAAGCAAGGAGGTCGTGCTCTGCCTCGCCCGTTGTTCCACCTGTCATTGCCTCACGTCCGGTTTTTCCACAAGACACCAAAAAGGGTACAACAATTGTACCATGTACGTTCCGCGTACTCCATAACAGGTACGTATCTCTACTTACGCGCGCGTCAGACACCCAGTCTTTTTGCTCGTCGACTACGTCAGCCATTCCGCTGTACCTTGCCGTTTTCCCTACCGTTCCTTTCTTGCTCTCGTTTTCGCTCCTGCACATCGCCTTTCATATCCGTTCCTTTCCTTCTTTATTCTCTTTTCAACCTGGCTTCGTTTTACCCTCGCATCTCCTCGACACCCTTTTTCCTGGCCTTCCGGTGTGTCCTGTCGCTTGTTGCTGCTTCCCCTGCTATCGGCGTGCATTGGAGCATTGGAGAGCTTGTCGTCACTAGAGGCGAGAAGAGGAAAGCCTCTTTCGTTAGCTTCTTCTCCCAGCCCGATTCAGAACAAAAACCCTTGCCACCTTTCCACACCTCAACCGCATTGTGTCGCTTTGCTGCAGGCGGTCTGGTAGCTTTGGCAGGTAGTTTATTCGGACACATTTTGCCCATATCGTCTTCCCGCCTCTTTTTTTAATCTTGTTTGAGCCCTCTATTTTGTATTTTCTTCCTCTTTTCTTCTTTTCGATTCCCTCTTCTCACGACGTTTCAGCTTTCTTTGAGAATCTCGCCGGTAGCCCCTCGTCTTAACGACCTCACCGAACCCCTGTCGCACGTCTCAGCTTTCGCCACGACCGATTGATCGATCAGCAGCAGCAACGCAGAGCTAGAGAAAACCAAAATCCCAGGGAAGCAACAAAACGGCCTTGTTCCCTCCTCCTGCCCTGTCGGTCTTCCCACGTCGCACGTCTGACGGCCTGCGTGCCCAGCGGTCGCATAAACAAGACAATTCTCGACCAGCCACACTACTTTGACTGAACCAAGAACCACGACACACCCACGCCGGGTCATTGCGAAAGACCCTTCGAGGTCCTATAGGCCAAGATGGGCCGGAATCGCGGTACGTGTTTTCACTATGCTATACATTTCTCGTGCCCTGCTATTTGCGTTCTTATGGTGGTTATTGCTATGGTTTTCGGCGCAGCATATTACTCTGTCGCCTTTATGCTGCCCATTCCGCCGCCTATTTTGCCTCTTCCTAGCCCTCCGTACAGTTTCAATCCTTCCCACAGCCCTCCTCCCTCTTCCACGTCCTCATTCCATATTTCCAGCTTTTGGCAAAGTTGTCAACTTGGGGGTTTTTGTCGTCCGACGCCGTGGCGCTGTCACATTGGCCTGCCTTGGCTGTCATTGGCCCCTCTTCCAGTCTAACTGCCCTTGTCCCGCCAAAATGCCCCCAAATGTGCCAGGCACATGCAGAGGCACCCAGAGACTCCCAAAATTGTCCAAATCGGGTTGGAGCCGTCTAGATCGCCGAACTAGATGTCCCATGGTCGATCCACTGGTTGCATCATCGCCTCTCCACGGAAAGACCAATTCGATGTGCTGTGCGTATGTGGCCATAACGTTAGACTGCTGCACGAAGAGACGAATGAACAAGAGCCCAAATGGAGAAAGAGAAAAAAGAAATGCCCAAAATCATGCGCGTCGCCCATGTTCGGCCTTTCTCCTCCAACCGTTTTACCTGCTCGAACAAGCCACTTTTCAAACCGGTTCAGCCAACCATTGCCTTGCAGGCCGTCATTGCGTTGCTCGGTCTATTTCTGGCTTTTGCGGGGTGACCTTTGGTTCGTTCTCTAATGCATCACTTGTTCCTTTATGGCCTTAAGGGACTTTTCCGTGTCTTTTCTCATTTCTCGGCTGGTCCTACGAACACAGTACTTGTACTTGGACACCCTCCAGTACTCTCTTCACCTTGCCTGGTGCCTCTTAGCCCCAAATTCGTCACTCATTTTCTGAGACCCTTTTTACAACCGCATTTCCTTCGCATCCCTTATTTCTGTCAACCTCTCTGTTTCGCTTTCTTTCGTTTCGCCCCATTTCCTCTTTTCAACGTCTCATCACAACTGTTTCCCATTTTCCCTCGTCCCCATATTAACTCTCTCGCCCAGTTCTCTCGTTTATGTCCCAGCTGTCTGGAGGCGGCAACAGAGACTCTCGGACACCATCGCCTCCCTCAACAAACAACGTCGACACCTTCACGAACATTAGCAGCGCTTTCAACTCGCGAAAGCCCGAGCAGACACTGACACCACCTCAGAACCAACCCGCCGCACCAACAGAGCCGTTCCCCGACGTCACATTACCCACGTCTCCGACCCGCGGCGGAGAGGATGGCCTTGGCGCACTAGGCAACGACTCACAATTTACGCCAGGCCCCGGTCGTCAACGGAGCTCATCGCGACCCTTGTCTATGATCCAGACCTACCAGCCGCACGTCATGGATACCAACGACACAATCCCCGAGCTGCAGCCCGTCTTTACGCTCCTCAATAGCCATGCCAACAAGCTGTACCAGGAGGGCTATTTTCTCAAGTTGGACGACCAAAACTCTCGTACGACAACCTCCTCAAGAAAGAAAAAAAGAAAAAAAGAAAAAAGAAAAAAGAACAGAAAAACGTATAAACCCTGTGTTTCAAGTACCAACTAACACCTGCTTCTTTAGAGGGCCGCCCGAACCCGGATAGAAACTGGACCGAATGCTTCGCTCAACTCGTCGGCACCGTGCTGTCTCTATGGGACGCCGCCGAACTTGACACGGCAGGCGAAGACGGCGAGGTGTTACCAAAATTCATTAATTTGACAGACGCCGCAATCAAAGTGGTACGTCATACACCCTTCAGCCACTCGGCTACGACGGTGACGCAGGTGACGCGAGTTGTAACGTTAAACTAACCGTTTTGTCCAGATTGACTCCCTCCCGACACGATCGCCAAACGAGCAGCCCCTGCAACATGTTCTTAGCGTCTCTACAGCCGGCCGCAACCGCTACCTCTTCCACTTCAACTCCCACCACTCCATGATCCAATGGACCTCGGGCATCCGCCTCGCCATGTTCGAACACTCGACTCTGCAGGAGGCCTACACCGGTGCCCTTATCGCTGGCAAGGGCAAGTTGCTCAACAACATCAACCTGATCATGAGCCGTTCCAAACTCACCACTGAAGAGTGGGTGCGTGTGCGCTTCGGAGCCGGTGTCCCTTGGCGTCGGTGCTGGTGCGTCATCTCGCCCCCGGACGAGAAGGAAGTCCTGAAACTGCAAAAGGAAATGAAAAAACGCTCCGTCTACGATCGCTCGCACGCGCCGCAACTCAAGGGCGACATCAAGTTCTATGACAAACGCGTCGAGGGCAAGAAGCAAAAGAAGGCCAAGCCCATTGCCACCGTCTCCAACGCCTACTCCGCCTATGCAATCTACCCGCAGTCCAAGGCCCTCATCGACGCCTCCTCTCTCATCAAGCTTGAAGGCACCATCACCATTCACTCGGATCCGGTCTCGACGACGGAAGGCTTTGTGTTCATGATGCCCGAGGTGCGGCCCATGGTTAGTGGCTTCGAAATGCTGCTACGCGCTCTCTTCCCCATCTGGGATACGTTCTGCTTGTACGGTCGCCCACAGCGCCTCGTGGCCAGCACTCTGGACTCTCGATCGCTCATGTTTGCCATGCCTAAGCACCGCCGCTACGGCTACTTGGAGGTTATGGACGTTTCTACCCTCGTTTTGACCGACGGCAGTGGTGCCTGGACCGAGCGGGAGTGGCGCAAACGCCTCAAGGACCTGACCGCTAGGCGCCTGGCTGCCATGGACGAGAGCGCCAGTAGTGGCTTTGAGAGCGAGCGCACATCGAACCGTAGCAGCAAGCGCCTCAGCTTCGGACCTGGTGCCGCTGCCCTTCCCATGAGCAACAGCGCCGGTGTGCTGGACGAGCGCGGCGCCCCGGCCCCGCGCGCCCGAGTTAACTTTGCCGACGAAGGCGACTCTCTACGACCGGGCCGGACGGCCGCGTTTGCACAGAGCTCGAGCAACCGCACCGATTCCGCACCTCCCGCTTCAGAGCGCCAGCGAATCCCCTCGTCCATGGCGCAGGCAGCGACTATTGCCCATGCGCGCAACAACTCGGACATGGGCGGGGGTGCACCGGCGGACAACAGCCAACGCCCGTATGGCGGTCAGCCGGCAGCGTTTTATGACCCGACCATCACCAGCGGCGGGCCCGGTGGTGCTGGCGGTGCTGGCGGCTACTACCCGTCCGGCGCCTCACCCACACCGCACGGCCGTGGCTACGTCAATGAACTGGCCACGACCCCGGAGCGCGTTAGCTCCGAGGACGATGTCTCCTCGTCTCGTAACGTGACGCCTCCGCGCGACCTCGGCGACATGCAGCGGAACCTCCAGACCCCCGAGCCTGTCTTCACACCGCCGGCCGCGCAACACCTGCCCTCGTCTCGTCCGGCAGCTACGCCGTTCCACTCGGCCGAGCTGCGCAGAGCCAACAGTCGTCTGTCCAGCTCAACCCTAGCGCACATCGTCAAGGCGAGTGCCGTATCCAACGAGTCCTGGCCCATGCCCGACAACCAAGAGCACAGGCCCGTCAGCCAGGGCAGCGGTACGAGCCGGGCCGTTGGTGGCCAGCCTGGTACCAAGCTGCCGTCCTCCGTATCCGGCCCGTCATTAGGCCAGCCCAGCCCCAACTATTCACAAGGCCAATGGGGTCAAGGCCAGGTTCCTTCCAGCAATGCAGCGCACCCGACCTCCTATTCGAAGTCCCCTCTCAACCAAGCACAGAACATCCTTACTCCAGCATTTGATGGCACAAATGAGCCCCTTTCCCAACCCGCAGGTTCGGGTTCCAAGCCGATTGGTGGTCCTCAGCCTCAAGTGCCACCGCACGCTGACCACTTGCCAACTCACATGCACGGCGCCGAATCTGGCCGCCAGGTGCTTCTAGCTCAAGGTCCTAACCCTCCCAACCCCTCTCCAAACTCCCTTCCCTCCCAACCCCAAGTATCCCAAGCATCTCAAGAGGCTACTGCCTCTTCCTCCGGGCCACAACCCGAGCGGCTGCGGACGCCTCCGCCGAATGCCAGTCGAGCTTCCATTCCTGGGGCTCCTGCGTTATCGCCGATTAAAACGTCCCCCTCTATCATAAGGAAACCCGTTCCTTCGAAAGCTGACACCGTGCAGAGGTATAAGGCGTCGGCAGCTTCCGAGCCGCAGTCGGCCATTTCAAGCGCAGGAAGCCTGCAGGATTACTATATCGATGAAGCAGCTCTTGCCAAGGTCCAGCTCGCCGACAACATCTCCACCGATGCCAACGAGTTGCCCACTCGTCAGGTCGTCCGCCAAGATACCAAGCGCAGTGAAGCCAGCAGCCGCTACGATGACGCGTCGTCGACGACCACGCCTGACTATGCCAGTACCCACGAGTCTGTGCGGACACGGGAATCCGTGGATCGCCCCCGTGCCGGCGTCCTGCGCACAGTCGGCGAGGCCGCTCCACCAACTCCGCCCCCCCACGAAGCCCTCGACATCCCTGAAGTCAACTTCGGTCCCACCTACAATTATGCCTCTGCCAACATCCCACGCAACAAGACACCGACTCCGCTGGGTGCCGGTAACTCGACGAACCAGCCGTCGAATTCGTTTTCACCCTCTCCCGGAACGAATGCAGCTATGTCCGGTCCAGCCAAACTCCGCAAGAGCCCGGGGCAGGCCCAGGGCCACAAGTCGCGTCCCTCCGAAACCAGCCATTATCGCCAGGAATCGGATGACACCCTCCGCCGCCGCAGTGTTGCCTGGCAGCCCGGCAGCGCCATGGTTGGCACGACTGCTAATGCCAATGGTGATGGACGTGCCAGTTCTATGACCCCGGAGCAGTTTGTGCTTCAGCGCGCCCAGGCCGCCCAAAGCTCGAACCCCCCATACCCGCTGCACCAGAGAAACCCGTCAAACAACTCGCTGCTCAACTTGCGGAAGAATACGCCGCCACCGGCCATGCGACGGACCTCCAGCTTCGACATGCTTACCAGCGCCGTACCGAACCCCCCGTACCAGCAGCAGCAGCGACCCAGCTCACAAGGCGCCATGACGGCTCTTGGCAGCCATGCACGCGACAGCTCCATGGATGTCGGAGCCCACTTGTCGGCCCGCGAACAAGAACATCTGGCCCGCATGACAGGCGCACCTCTGATCAATGTCGTAGGCAACTCCCGCAACAGCCAGCAGCCTGCTGGTGGTCCTGGACTTGTCGGCGCCATTGCCGCTCGCGAGCGTGAAAAGCAGCAGATGAAGGAGGGTGTCAGCTCCCAGGCTGTGCAATACGCAATCAACCAACGCCAGCAGCTGCAGTTCCAGCAGCAGCAGGTGGCGCACCAACAGTACTACCTCCAGCAGCAGCTCCAGCAGCAGCAGCAGCAGCAACAACAACAGCAGCAGCAGCAGTACGCCCAAATGTACGGCACGCCTAGCCCTCAAGGCGCTGCCAGTGGATACGGCGGCTACCAGCTTCCGCCGGGTCACGGCCCGCCGCAACCCCGGTTGTCGCCGCAGCAGATGGCCACCGCCCAAACCAACACCTATGTGCCCCAGCAAGGGTATGCCCAAGGCGGCATACCGGGCGGCTGGCCAATGACCCCGCCGCAGATCCAGCAGCATCCTCGGCAGCAACAGGGCTACTTTTCGCAAAGCCAACACGCACAGGGCCAGAACGCGCAGAGCCCGGCCGGGTTTGTCGGTACGCCGCGGTCCAGAACACCGGGTCCTTAACTGTCGGGCAAGAACCTTCTTAGAGGGAACTGTCTTGCAACAACCCCCTACATGCTATTTACTCTCATTTTTATTTACCTTTCTTTGGCGTCTATTTCTCTACACATGTACTCTGTATTTGGTTTTCTTTTGTCAGCCATGGTTTAGCCAACTTTTGGTATTCAGGGCACAGCTTGTTTTTTATGTCCTGTGGGTTTTGTCCATTGCCGCTTGTCACAGGGATGGACGACTGATTCTTTTCCTGCAAAAAACTGACCTGCATATTCTTTATGATTATTTCCAGGCGACTTTGTTCATTTATCTTATTTTCCTTGTTTTCCTTGTTTTTTTTTTTTTTTTTTTTTTTCTTAGTCTGTCGCATGATAGAATTGCATACATAGAGTGGGTTGCTACGGTGGCAATGCTATGCTTTTTTTATCATACCCTCCAAAAAAAATTTGTTTAGATGATTGTGAACAATGCAAGTGATGGAGTTTTTTGATATTGTAATTTGCCTGGCGATTTCGATTTCGATTTTGTCAAAAAATAAAATAAAATAAAATAAAATAAAATAAAATAAAATAAAATAAAATAAAATAAAATAAAATAAAATAAAATAAAATAAAATAAAATAAAATAAAATAAAATAAAATAAAATAAAATAAAATAAATGCGAGCAGATTTTTTTTTTAAATGAACACAAAACTAGCCGTGTAATGTTTTTTTAATAATACTAAAATACGATATTAACCCAAACATGTGCACTGCAAACGTAAAAGAACCCTTTTACTACATAGAACAACTAAATAGGATAAACATGTTCAAATGTCGCCAAACGCTCTCGACTGGAAGATGCCCGGCTTATGAATGCAACAGCCAAAGAAACCAACACGAAACCAACAATCACACAATAAATGCAACCAAAAAAAAGACCTTTTGCTACCCACCCCTGTGCGAAATCCTACTTTCCCATCCTTCCCTGAGACGCTGACCATGTGCCGACCAATTTTTGTATTTTTTGCAAAGAAGAACAAACAAGAAAACAAAACACCAACGAACCGTATCTTTAGATAACTTCAAAACGTGAGGTCAAACGACGGTAACCGACTACTGCCTGGCCAGTCGTCCTCTGGGCGTCTGGGACGCGGTGGCTGACGGTGTGGGCGTAACGCTGCTGCTGCCACTGATGTCCTTCCTGTTATTGGACCGGTCACCATCGCTGCCGTTGGTGTTGTTCGTCAAGTTACTCGATGTCGACACGAGCACCGTCGGTGCGCTGACGGGCGACGCGGCGAGGCGGGGCCGTCGCACGCGGATTTGCAAGCCACTGCCACTGCTGCTGCTACCACCAATGTTTCCCCAAGCAGCTAGAATTTCGGCACGCCGCTGCTCAAACTCGGCCGACCGGAGGCGCTCCTGGTCGATACGCGCCACACGTTCAGCCATATCACGATCGGCTTCCACAAGACGGCGCCGGTGCTGCTCGCGGTGGGCCACATACTGCTCGGCGCGCGAGCAGGCTTTATCGAGGCGTTGGCTGGTGGGCTCGTCCACAAGACTGACGGCCGCTAGGGACGCCGGTACAAGAGACGCACGCGGCTTGGCAGAGCCGCCCCAGTTGCAGCGGAAGAGCAGTTCTGTGCGCAGCGGTTTGGCGGCAGAGGCAGTGTTCGGATCGACCATGATGTACCAGACGACGACGAAGTCGCCATCGTATAGACGGGTCCAGTTTCGTGATGCGCTCTGCATGTTGCGTGGGTCAGACGAGTTGATGGGGGTGCCATTGACCATGATGCCCTGGCGGGCCTTGGTGGAGATGTAAAAGTGGTATCGGCTGGCAATCTCGCCGGTCGCGTCTAGCGCCACCTCGCCCGCATCGTCCCGCCGTTCCCATGGCCGCAAGTCCGTCCACGGTTCGGACCCGGCACCGCCGTTGGCGTCGCTCCGCCAGAGTAGTATCTTGAAGGCATATTTGGGCACCTTCAATTCATTGACTGGCAGAAACACCTGTGTGTTGTCCGGATGGCGGCCCCAGGTGGTGATCGATTCCGTGATGGGTACGGAGATGTTGGAGACGACGGATGCGGCCGTGGATGTGAGTCGTGCTACGGGCGGGATTTGCTCGGTCACAACTGGCACAACAATTTGAGCTTGTGGCGTCGGTTGCAGGTAGAGTTGAGGGGATGCGGAAGGCTCGTGGGGCGGCGTAATGACTTGCTGGAGAGCAGCAGCCGTGGCTGGGCTGCTCGATGGCATAATGTTCTCCTTTTGGTCGATGTTGGCGTCATCGCCGATATCGATGCCACTGGAAACGGCCGTGTCAGAGATGTGCGACGTGGAACGGGAGCGCGACCGCGGCTCCGACCCGGACTCGGATCGACGGCCGGCAGCCGAAGAGACCGAAGGTGGGAAGTGCTTCATGGCCAAGTTCCAAAGTGGGCCCGGGCCGGGCCGAAACTCCTCACCACGCGCCTCGGCGGCATCTTCAAAGGCATTGAACTGCAACTGGGTCATTTCGGGGTACTGTAAGTGCCAGCTGGACTTGTCGTTGTGAGCCCAATAGACGGACTTGGACACGGGCATGTCGATTTGGCGGCCGCCCTTGGGATAGCTGATCGGCTTCACAGCGGAATAGACGGCAACATCTTCGGCTGTGATAACATCGTTGTCGTCGTCGTCCGATTGGACAGAGGCTTGCTCGCTGGTGGCGCCCGTGTTTGTGCCCGTGGCGACCAGGTTCAGGTCCGACGCAAACGCGGATTCCATATGGATGTCCGACTTGAGCCGCTTGATGGTGGGCTTGTCCTGTTTGTCCTGTTTGTCCGTGGGACGTGCGGCGCTGCTCTCAAATTCATCGCTGGTGTCCGGTGCCGGCTTACGTTTGCTGCCCGTAAAGTCGGTGATGGAGTGCTTGAAGTTGGATGCGGCGAGTGACTTCATGTTCAAGTTGCCTAGGATGGACTCGGCACCGCCCAGACTTTGCGAGGCCACGTCAAAGGTCAAGTTGTTCAGCTCGTCCACAGAGTGGCTCGTCTGGAAATGGTTCGACTGAGAGAGGGCTGCAGGGACATGGGCACTTCCATTCGAAGCACCGCCGGTACCACCGCCGGTACCACCGCCAGTACCACCACCTGCGCCACCACCTGCGCCACCACCACCCGAACCGCCATGAGTCGTTGATCTCGGCTGGGACCATTGATCTCCCGGTTGAAGCGACGGCACCTGCTGTCGCTGGCGGGCCCGCGGTGTTAAGAAAGTATTATCCAGGTCAGAGCTGTTCGCTGAATCGGGGGAGTAGCCCCGTGGCTGGTGGATGGAGCCTCCCAGGTCCGACAGTGGCAGGTTCAGGCGGTCTTCGGGGATGACGCCAGAACTACCAATGGCGCTAACGTTGACTTCGCCAAAAAGCCGCTGCTGTTGTTGTTGCTGCTGTTGCTGCTGTGTGTTCAGGTTCTGCAGGCCGCGGATAGTAGCCGCGTCGCCTACCTGATGACCGTCATCTTGTGAGCCGATTACACCGTCCATGCCGTCGAGAATGTCATGGACCTGGCTTTCGCCCCCGACATAGTCGTCATCGTCGAGGATCTCGTCGTCGCTCAGTTCGCCCACCCCGTCCAGACGCGTGTCGGGCAACGGATCAGCGCCGTGACCATCGTTAAGACTGAGCTGCGATGCGCTCTGTTCAAGTGCCTCGGCCGACGCGTCGTCGATCCCGGTCAACCATGGGTGCCGTTGTAGAGTTTCGATGGTGGCGCGGTTTTCGGGCCGATTCCGAAGCATAATCGAGAGGAAATGGATACATGCCGGCGAGGCGTTGACGGCACGAAGAGGTTCTACGTCAATGGGTCGGGTCATGATCCATGCCAGAAGTTCAATGTAGGTTGTGCCCTGCTTGACTGGGAATGGTGGGCGGCCCGTGAGGCAGTAGAAGAGTACACCGCCAAGAGACCAAATGTCGACGGCGTGGTCGTACCGTTGACCCGGCGCCCGGGTCTTCTTACGCGGACGGTTGGTCCGGATGCCGTTCTCGTCGAATTCGGTAAACTCGCCGTAGACCTCGGGCGCACAGTAGAGGAGCGTGCCACAAAAGGTTTGCAAAAAGGTCTGCTCGTTGTCGACCATTTTGGACAGTCCAAAATCGGTGAGCTTGACGTTGAATGGCGCAAGCGAGTCAATCAGAATATTGTCGGGCTTCACATCGCGGTGGGTGATATTTTTGCGGTGCAAGTAGTCCAAGGCGTCAATGAGCTGTGTGGCCATTTCCCGGACGGCGGCCTCTGGGAGAGCCCCGCGGTTCGTGATAAGACTGCCGAGATCGCCCATGGGCACGTACTCCATGATGATGATAAAGAGCCGGTCGTCAAAATCGAAATGCTCGATATAACGAACAACATTGGGCTTAGTATGCAGTTAGGTCGTGCAACAAAACAAGGAATACAGCGAATACGAATACAACGAAAAGAACAAAACATGCAACGTGGGCGCAAAGGAGGACAAAAGAGGACAAAGGAAGCGGGCACATACATGTTGGATTTTTTGCATAATCTTCATCTCATTTTCCACCTTCTGGTCGAGGACGCCATTCTTGACGAAGCGGCGCTTGTCGAGCTCCTTGGCGGCGTAAGGCTTGCCGTCGAACTTGGAGGTCACCTTGTGGACGGTGGCGAAGGCGCCCTTGCCGATCTGGCCGACACGGTTGTAGCTGTTGGAGCCGTTCCACTCACGCGGCAAGCTCTCGGTGGACGCGGGCTCGAAGCGTGGTGGGGGCCGGCGGGCGGGTCCTGTCTGGGGAGGAGCTGGAAATAGGTTAACAATGCCGGCCGGTCCAGCGCCAATGATTTGCTGTCGCTGCGGCTGTGGTGGTGGATGCGTCGTACCAATGCTTTCGTCGCCGTCCGCGAGCATGGCGAGGCGCTCAAGGTAGGCGTGCAGGTTACGCTGGTACGCACTCTCGTACTGGCCCTCACGGCGGGGCACGCGGACAAGGAACTCGAGGTCGTGGGCGTCGTTCTGGAGCAGGATGGAGACCTTGGTACCGCTGTTAAGGGTGCGTTTGTTAGACATGCCGGGGCGGCGGTGCTTGAGCAGCACGTCGTCGACTGCGGTGCCGTTGGTGGACTGGTCTTGCAGCATGAGCACACCGTGCTCGTTGATGTATATGCGGAAGTGGATGTTGCTGAGCCGTCGCAGGGAGTCGTTGTTGAAGCAGACATCACACCGGCTGGGGTTGCGGCCAAAGGTGAAGCCCTGTACGGGGTCCTTGACCTTGGCGGACAGTCTCAGGACAAAGGCGGGGCCGTAGCCGGGGCCGGCGGGCGACAGGCCAAAGTTGCCGGCATAGTCTTCGTAGGCGTAGTCAACATCGACGTTCTGGGCCTCTTCACGGCCGATAACGAAAGGAGAGCCCTCGCGGGCAAGACGGGCGGCTTCGTTGCGGGCGTTGATCGAGTAGGGGAACAGGAGGCACACGATGTCGGCAATGTCCTCGTCGGTGAAGCCCGAGTTCTGCTTGCCTACCCGGCGTGGGTCGATGACATTCTGCGTGGCTATTGCAAGGTTAGTACTCTATGCAACATTCGAGACAGAGCGAAAGCAGTTAGCCCAAGAGAAGATGGAGAGCCGCGTCTACCTGGCTGCGTTGGCTGGGACATTTCACCGTCCATTTGGTCTGCAGCCTGCCCGCACGGCAGGCTCCCGGGAATCTTTGGTGGAGCAGTAGGTGCTTGGTAGAGGGACTCGGAGCCGAAGAGGCTTGTGATGGTCGGGTTCTCGTGCCCGGTTAGCAACGGCGGCAACCCAGGCGGCCCCGGCGACCGGCTATAGCCCTGCCCATACAAGACAGACGAGGAGCTGCGGGGTCTTCCGTTGCCACGATCGTCGCGGTCTTTGCGGCCGTGCGTATTGTCCGGCCTGTGCTGCCGTTGGTCTCGTTGTTTGCTCTCCCAAAATGACAAATGCGGTTTTGGGATGTTGGAAAGCTAGGGCCAGGCGGCGCCTGACAGAGCTCGGGTCAGGCCGACGTTTTGACGTTCGGTCGGAAGACGGGGCGAAAATAACGAGAAGAGGGAGGATGTGTCGTGCAGTGCCGTGTTGTGTCGTGGAGAGTGAAGAAAGCCGGGACTGGCCTCGAAATCCAGGAATGTCGAGGATATTATGGTCGTTTCGGTGAAGCCGAGTGGCTGTCGAGGCACATTGGCTCGAGCGAGGAAAGGGCAAAGGACGGCCAGGGACAGGGGCCTGGGCCCCTCTGTTTGGTGGAAGGAGCGCAGGTGGGCAAAAACTACAACGTACGTCTGGGCCGTTGAACAGGCAATTGCAGTGCAGCGTACAGCGGGGCAACCGCCAACCAACAGCTTCAAGAGGAAAGAACGGTCGGCATGCACCTGGTTTGTGCGAGTTTGTACGTCGTGGACTTTGAAATTTAATCAAAACGGAAGGAGCACTTGACAGGCTCACGTTGCACGGCGCGTGCTGCAAGGTGCACACGGAAGGTACGGAGCGACAGGAGTAACAAGGCACAGGGAAAGAGTGGTGTCGTGGTGAGAGCGTGGGTGGGTTGCAGTTTCCTCGTGTCGCGATCTTGCGGTCAGCAAGGAAAGCGCAGAACTGGGCCCAACGATTGGCTGCCGATGCACCAAAACTGCTTTTGAGGAGCCTAGCGGCTGCCACGCTAGCGACGGTTTTAGGGGGATATCGAAGTAGACGTGTGTTATTTCCTGTCCCGTAGCGCGCCGTATTACCGTCCGTCCACTGGTGTTTAATCCAAGTCTTAGTGCGACGGCCTGTTCCTGGGGGATCAGCCGCTGTGGGCTTGACGGTTGTGTTGTGTTACCCGTGACGGATGCAGGTGGACAGGGCAGTTGACGGACAATTCATGGTTTAAATATGAGTCGAGAGAACGACCTCAGTAGATCTCATCCCGTGTGGTTGCCTATTTGAGGTGCATGCGCCCAATGTATTGGTTCCCGAAAGTGGTGGCTCATTGCCTGACTTTGCTTACAGCGTCTCGTAGCGATCGTATTTCCCGCGGAACCTTCCATGTGCTTCCGGTGGTGTGCACGCGACGTGCAGGCACACCTTTTCGACGCCTTCGCGACGCCTTTAACACGCCTTTGTGACGCCTTTAGACGCCGCCGCCTTTTGATTACGAAGGCTTTCAGGCGCCTTCTGTCCCATGATACCCACAACGTCGCCCGTGACCACATATCCAGCGCCCGACGTAGATGGACTTGCACATTTGCGTCGTTTTATTCTTGGACAGAGTTGGAGCTTTTGGAGCTTGGCACATAAATGGGATGTTCGCTGGTATCAAATTCTAATGCAAGTATACTATTACAAGAGCCTAAACTGCCAAGACATTAGGCCTACTCGTCGCTGGCCGCCTGTGCCGCTGCAGCAGGCGCACTGCCCTCGCCGGCGGGCTGTGCCTTGTGTTTCCGTATCCGCTTCTTCTTCGGGGCGCCGTCGTCTGTGGTTTTGGGTTTGGCGGCCGCCGCTCCTGCGCCTGCGCCGGGGGCTGCCGTCTTCTTCTCCTTCTTCTTCTTCACCGACAGAGGGTTGGGTCCCTTGACGCCAAATGCCTTTTTCTTTTTCTTCTTCTCCTCGCCTGGAGCCTGTGCAGCCTTTTGTAGTTTGTCGCCGTTGGCATCCTTGTCGTCGTCGCCGTCGTCGCTGTCATCATCTTTGTTGTCCTCCTCGTCGCCCGCATCGTCCCGCTTCCGCTTCGCGCCGGCCGACTTGCGCAGCTCGCTGCGGAACTTGGCGCGCTCGGCGCTGGCACCCACCTGGGCCGTCACCTCCGACATGGGCTCCATGATCATGACGCTGCGGTTGATGTAGATGAGCGGCACGCCCGAGACCGTGCGCATGTAGCGGCGGACGCTCTGGTCCTGCGTGGCGACGACGTAGCGGTGCTTGTTCTCGCCGCGGCCGTCCTTGTCGACGACGTGCGTCAAGCACTCGAGTGCCGAGAGCGCCTCTTCAAAGTCGTCGGGGCGGTGGCCGCAGCGGCGGCGCTCAAACGTCTTCGCGAGATCGATGGCGCGGTTAATACCGGGCTCTTTGGGCATGCTGTAGAGGTGGCGGATGCAGCACTGGGTGATCATGATTTTGACCTTGCCGTGCAGTGTTCGCTCGAGACCGGCCTGGAGGTCCATTGTGAACCGTTCGGCATCGCGTACGAGGTCGCCGTCGACTACAAATGCTAGTTAGCAAGTCACTTCGTGGAGGGAGACGGCTCAAACGCTCGACTTACCCAGCACTTGGTAGGGCTCGCGGAAGCCATGGTGCAGCTGGTATTGTTGGACCAGCTTTTTGTACTGCTTTGACCGTTTCGCACGCATCGTGGTCGTGTGTGGTGTGGGAGGCCGAGGGAGGGCGGTCGCGCAGCAAAGGTCGTGACAGAGAATCTAGCGAGGCATTCGACAACGTGAGGCTCGAGGACGGTTTTCTGCGATAAGAGAAAAATCTCTTATCGGTGCATTGTCTTTCTGCTGGGACCCACATTTCCCATCTTGAGCCAATACGAATTACAGAATACAGAATACAGCGAAACAAAACGGGAAGTGGGCTCGCCAAATGTTGCAATAGGCGGCTGAGGCGCTAAAACAGGCGAGGATCTGTCTCTGATTGTCGGGTTCTCTCCGACGGGCAGATGATGGCCTGGCCTAGAGGCCACAAGCCAAGTAAATGTGACCAAAATCTCACACTCCTAGGACGGAGTGCCCCGAAAATAAAAACTTCAAAGGGAAAAGGTGGAACGCCACTCAAAATAAGGTACAGTAATAACCCCGAATCCGCCTTGCCGGCTTTTGTGCCAATTTCGGACTTTTCTTACGACTGTCGTGCAACGCCCCTGCCTCGCTGTGGTACTCTCGTACAAAAGCCATTGCCTTGGAATTGACGGGAAGTGACGACCGGCACTCAAGGCGAAGCTGAGAAACGATAATTTGTTGGCCGTTGGTCGTTCTTTCCTTAAACGAGAACCCATTCCAGTTCGGGCAGGGGCCAGGCTTGTGACGTGCCGCAAAGAAGCGCCGATTGCACGCTAGAATCCGCCTTGAAAGCCGGCTTTTTTGGGAGGGGGGGGGTGAGAGCCTCTTTGAGTTTTAACTCTAATTAGTGGGTGCTGAGGTTGCATAGGTCTGTTCGCTCTTTCCAAGCCGTGAAAGGAGACTTACATTGGATGTTCGTTTTCCTTATCGCTGGCCACACACAGCCCCCCTTTGCACCTTCCCCTCAAAAAGCTTGTCTTGGCTCCCAAGTTCTGCTAGGCAGGCTCTTTCCGCCTCAGCGTCGAGACATTTCCATTCCCTTTTGGGGCATGCGAGGTTACACTTGCAGTTTACAAATCCAACTGGGCGTCGCCTTCCCAATCGGCTCCTCCTTCCTCCTTCTCGCGATGAGTAGTATTACCTAACCATTTTGTTGGGCTTTTTGAGATTATTGGACTTCTCGGGATATCGACGACGACGAAAACGGCGACGAACGCACGCACGCACATTACACATACACAGACTCACACACACACACAGACTCACACGCCCACACGCCATGCCGCGAAAGACAACAGGCTGCTGGACCTGCCGCGCGCGCAAGAAAAAGTGCGATGACGGCCAGCCCTCGTGCGATGCCTGCGCCATGCGGTCCATCACATGCTACGGCTACGGCGCGAAGCCTGCCTGGATGGACGGCGGCGACGAGGAGAAGGAGATGCTGCGCACCATGAAGCAGCGCGCCAAGGAGAGCTACAGCCAGCGGCGACGGGCCCGCGCCATGCGCAGCGCGGGCCACGAGGCCATCCCGGCCATGACTGCGTCGACGTCGACAGCGTCGCCCGGAGGCATAAAGAGCGAGGGCAGCGACAGCCCGGCGACGTTGACGACGACGACACTCAGCGGCGGCAGTAGTCGAGACCAGCAACTACAGCAGCAGCAGCCTCATCTTGCCCACGAAGGTCAACTTCAAGATCTGGATCACGATGCATATCGAGATCAAGATCAACATCAACACCAACTGCATCAACCGGATGGCCAACACGATATGCAGCTGGACGACCAATCGCCGCCGAATAATGACGCCCAACGCAACTACCCGCATGTCCCCCATGGCCCCCACGTCCTTCACGATCATTACGACAGTCACAACAATCCCGACCGCCATGGTCTGCATGCCTTTGCACACAACACCCGCAATCACCCGGAGCCTATGGAGCCTCACATGTCCTACACTGCCCATCCATCCTCTTATACCTCGCATCCGCAGCACCAACCGCTGCCTCCGCAACATCTCTGCGGTCTCCTCCAGTACGAGGACACACCATTGCCTGCCATCCAGGAGCCCACCAAAACACTGCCATACCAGCGGCCCCGATCACGGTCGCCACCTCCACCTCCACCTCCGCCTCCACCTCCGGTGCCCCGCCCGACCGGTCGCTCCGGCTCCGACTTCCCCTACAGCGAGAAGGAGCTGTCGCATCTCATGTACTACTTTGACCACGTCTTCCCACGGCTGTGTCCGTTCTTCACCTATTCGGCCGGCGACAAGGGCCGCGGCTGGCTGCTGAGCCTGTTTCTGCGCACGAAGCCGCTGTGTGCAGCGGCCATCTGCATCAGCGCGTGCGACCAGGCGCAGTTTGTGCTGGGCCCGCTCAGCGACATCCCCGAGCGCACGAACCATGACCTGGAGATGCAGCACATTGAAATCGTCGTCGACCTGCGCAACCATCTCGCGCAGCTGTCCCAGCAGACCGGCGCCAGCCGCATGGCCGTGGCCGTCGAGGCTCTGGCGTGCGTGATGCACTTGATTTTATTCGAGGTATGGTTTTGCCCTAGAAAAATGAACTACATTGTTGTGCTCCCGCTGACCCGTACCAGCTCTGGATCCCACGGCACGGCGAAGTCAACGACTGGGTCATGCATCTGGACGCGGCGGCCGCGTTGCTGTCGTCCGTTGACTTGACCATGGTCAATGGCAGCAGCATCGCCTCTGACTCGCCCATGTCCATGTCCATGACCATGTCGACGCCATCCGACAACAGCGGCGGCGGCGGCATCAGCAGCAGCAGCGCGGCCCACAACAACGGCGACTCCATCGAGTCGTTCTTCCCTGTCGAGTTCCTGTCGGACGGTGAGTTGTCGGCGTTCAAGTTCTTCCTGACGCAGTACACATACGGCTTTGTTGCGTCGGCCGTCGGGCACGAGCTGACGCCTCGGTCCGTCGAGTCGATTCAGCGCACGCATGCCATTTTCCACAGCAACCAGTCCAAGATCCGCGACATGTTCGGCCTCGAGGACTGGGTCTTGACGACGATGCTGGACGTGGCCGTGCTCAAGGCCTGGAAGCAGCGCGAGCGCAGCGCCGGCACGCTCAGCCTGCGCGAGCTGACCCGCCGCGCCGACGTGCTCGAGGCGCGCATCAGCCAGGGACTGGCGCACATGGCCGCGTCGGGGACGGCGGCCGCCATCCTGGCGTTGTCGGCCGAGGCGGCCAGTTCGCCGCTGGCATCGTCGTCGCCGACCTCGGACGGCGCGCGTCGGCCGACGCGGCTGACGCGCGATGAACGGTCCTACATGGTCACATCGGCCTTCCTCCATGCCACCCTCTTGTTTCTACACATTGTCGTGTCCGGCTTTTACCCGAACCTGCCCGAGATCCGCCGCGCCGTGCTCCAGACCATCGAGGCCCTCGAGTTTATGCGGGCCAACTGCGACAACAACATCCCCTCGTGGCCCTACTGCGTCGCGGGCTGCCTCGCTCTCGAGTCCGAATATCCACGCATCCGCGCGCTGTATCCGGTGCCGAAAAAGGGCCATCACCCGCTGGTGCTGACCCAGTGGACGCTGGCCATCATTGAGCGGTGCTGGCAACTGCGCGCGGCGCAGGCCAACCAGACGGAGGAGACGGTGGACTGGGTCACGGCGATGAACGATTTGGGCACACGGCTGCTTCTTGTGTGAGGCGGACTCGGATCGGAGGACAGGAGGGCAGGAGGGCAGGAGGACAGGAGGACAGGAGAAAAACAATATATACCCAAACGGTGGAGGTGACGAGAAAGAACGTAGCAAATAATATTCTTATACACACTACAATACCTTTCATATGGCATCAACATACCCTTTTTGTGTATGATCCCTACGACTGAGCCAAGGCTGTCGAGAGCATTTCGACAAGAGCGAGAATCTTCTCCTCCTGGAAACGCCGACCGACGAGTTGAAGCCCAACGGGCGTGTTCTCCTGGACCTGTGGGTTGTCTGTGTCTGTTAGTGCGTGCTCTGGTTGGGGATGGGGGGGGTTTGATTGTCTTTGGAGAATCGGTGGTCAGATCGTACACTCTTCATGGATGGCCTTGTCCAAGTCGTTGAGCGGCGTGTAGTCCTTTTCCACAACGTCAATCGCCGGATCGACCCTGGTCACAGGGAACACGGCTGCTGTGTAGTCGAGCGTGTTCACCCAGGGCGTGTATCCTACTGCAGGATTAGTCATTCTTAACTGTCTGAACGAGATGGAATCGAAATAGGAAAAACCAAGGAAACATCTTTCCTAACTCACCGACGTGGAAATTCTTGTTGTCCAGCTCAACGGCTGCGCCGGGCGCCACCGGCGCCAGGATCGCATCCACCGGCCGACCCGACTTGGTCAGCGCCGCCGTGCTGTTCCAGTAGTCCATGTAGTCGCGCCGGTACTGGAACAGCTCCAAGTTGCCGTCAAACAGCTGGTCCGCCGTCGTGGGCGCCTTTGGCGCCGTGCCGTACAACTCCGCCACCCGCCACTGCAGAGGCTCGCCCGAGAGCCCTATGTGGTAGTGTATGTCGATGCCGCCGTCCGCAATGAACGCTTGCATTGCCAGCTCCGTCGCCCGCGTGTGCGACGGCGGTGTCCACTCGATCGTCTGGTGGCCCAGTGTCTCGATGAGCGCTTTCACGGTCGCAAACGCCCGCTTGACAGGTGGCGTCGGGGCCACTTGGTCGTCGCCCTCCCACAGGCCGAACGTGAGGACCTGGCCCAGCTCGGCGGCCGTCGCCGGCAACGCCGCGGCCAGGTTGTCGCGCCACGGCAGCTCGACGATGGCCGGGTCGTAGAGCCAGGGCTGCTGGGCCAGTACCGACTTGAGCACGAGCTTGAGCGTGGCGGCGCTGCCGGCCAGCGGGCCACAGACGGACGGAACGGAGTTTTGACCGGGCATGCTGTTGGCGGCGCCGGCATACGGCAGGCGGCCAAACGAGGGGCGGATGCCGTACAGACCATTAAACGCCGAGGGGATGCGGATGCTGCCGCCAATGTCCGTGCCAAACCCCACGGGGCTGCCCTTCATGGCCACGAGCGCGCCCTCGCCGCCCGAGCTGCCGCCGCAGGTCATCAGGCGGTTGTTGGGGTTGCGCGTGAAGCCGACAATGTGGTTCCAGGTCACGCCGCTCATGACGGTGTGCGGCAGGCTGGTCTTGCAAAAGGGCACGCCACCCAGCGCACGGATCTCGCGCACCAGCTCGCTCTCGACGACCTTTTCCTTCCCTGTGCCCTTCTTGCCCTCAAATGTTCCAATCCACCCGACGTAGCCCATGGTCGTCTCTACGCCGCGGACGTGGAACTGGTCCTTGAAGCTAACGGGCACACCGTGCAGCGGGCCCGAGGCCACGCCACCGGAGGCGGCAAACTTGGCGTCGAGCAGCTTGGCCTCGGCAATGGCCTGGCTGAAGAAGATTTCATGAAGGCAGTTGGTCTGGACATTGTGTTAGAAGGGTTGATGTATGGGGTGGCCACTGTAAGCACACACACTCAGAGAGAGAGAGAGAGAGAGAAGAAAGGAGAGGGGAGGATATACCAGCTGATGGGCAATGGCGGCGCGGTGGCAAAAGGCCGTGACGACCTCGGTGGCCGTCCAGGTGCCTGAGGTGGTGTTGGACACAATCTGGGTGACGTCGGCCTCGGTCAACTCAACCTCGCGCGGTGAGAGGAACTGCTGCACATAGGCGCCGGTGACGTCCTTTTGATCCTTCGGCGCCGGCAGCGGCTGGGGCAGGCGCCAGGCGACGGGGATCAGGTCCAGGACAGCTTGCCGCTTGGCAGCGGCCTTGTCTTGCCAGCTAGGTGCAATCGATCCCATGTTGAGTCACAGTAAAGGAAGCAGGAGAGAAAGCAGTTTGAAGTGGATGTGAAGAAGGACGAATGTTGTGTGAGGAACTGCGGTGGAAGCACTCCGTTCGAAGACGAGGAACGTTGTTTTATATCCTTGGCGGTTGTCGCGGGGCTGGACGGCGAGGCCAAGGTCGAGGCCAAGGACGACGTGGACGACGAGGGGAGCGTTCCAGCAGTCGCCGCGGTGGTGGTTGCAGTCGATGAGCTCATGGCAGTCGTTATCAACGTGTTCATGGCGGGTGTGGCCGGCGTCGATTCAGTCGCGGGATCCTCCATGTCCATATTTTCTGGGATTCGGCGCTTACGGGATGTAAATCGGCTTCCGAGATAAGAGCTGGATAAACAAGCTTGGAAGAGCTTGGGAAAGAGGGGATCCGCGGAGGAGATGGTGACACTGACGGCGGGTAAGGAATACGCGAAGATGCGTCCGATATTCGAATGAGGGGTCGGAGGTTGGGTAAGTGTTGAGCAAGTGTTGGTGACAGGACGGAACTATCTTTGATGCTGGCGACGTCGGCAAATAAATGGGTTCTCGAGATAAGGACGAATGCCGTTGCATCCGTTTCACAGTAGTCAAGGCTGAGAACAAACGAGTGAAAGTTTCCGAAAATAATGTGTTGTTTTTTGTAGACATACGAAATATGCCTGGATAGCCGTTAAGCTCGCGTTATGATCCCCTTTGTTCTTTTTTCAGCTTCCTCTGCGATTCGGACTAATAGGTGTTGCCGCACTTGGTGTTGAGACCCCTTTCTGTGCAGAATGGCACGCCGTATTACATCGCGCAGCCATCATCTTTCCGTGCATGGTCTTGGCTTTGAATTCTCGGTTGTCCCAAGTTGCCATAAGGCGCATTTTGTTGCGGCTGAGACCAACCGCGCCAATGCTTTCAGTGTCAGCCCGCACCGTCATTCAGAAATGTGCAGAATTCGCTCAAGAACATCTCAACAGCGGCAATGCGAACTGCGCCAAACCCCAGGCACCAAGTTCACCGATGGCTCTCCAACAGCGGTAACAGCTCCCATTAAGGTTTGCCTGGCGGCCCCACGCTATGGCCCGCAAGCGAGCCGCTAGCCGCATAGAGATACCCGCATGTCGCTGCCCAATTGGCCCATTCGTCAACGGTCGACCTTTAATGTCGAACAAAATCAGAGATAAGGAAAGATGCCATAAACTGCAACGTCGGGGTCCGAAGAGACCATCCGGGATAGTCGGGAATGTTGACACCTCCCCCCCGATGTACGGCGTGGGGCTGCACATGGGAGGCCGGGCACGCGTGTCAAGGATGCCGGCAGCTGTGGCGATCCTGGAACGTTGGTATCTGATATCTTTCAACATGGAAGTCAGCGACGGTGTCGTCACATCGCACCCTGACCTAGTTTCGCCAGAGATAACGAATGTGAAGAGAGGGGTCGTGAGACCACCAATCCGTTATCATGAGCGCGGCGAAACGAGAAAAGCGGAAATGCGGCAGCTTCTCGGGGAAGTTGCCGATGCATCGATATGCTCTTTGGCCTTGTCTTTCGGTCGATTCCTTATCTTGTAGATGAGAACTATCCTGTTGTGAATGTCTTCCTTGTCCAACTATAAGACAGAATGGTCGCGAGGCATCTGGTCCAGGGGATGAAATAAAGAAACCACTGGAGATTTTGTTAGACGTCGCAGAACACGCAGCATCATCATAATTATAGTCCTCTTCTACCTTACCTTTCCCGTTTCCTATTCAGCATTTCATTTCCCACCATGTCGAGTGCCACGTTTGGCAAGGAACTGCAGGTGCTGAGTCCAGGTGTGGGCTACGGCATCCTGGCGGGCATCGGTGCCGTCTTCACAATCGTCATGATCGCCACAACGCAGTTCCAGAACCGTTACTCCCAGTTCTCGAGCAAGCAGTCGGAGGAGTTCAACACGGCGTCCCGCAGTGTCAAGCCGGGCCTGATCGTCGCTGGTATCGTCAGTTCGTGGACGTGGTCTGCCACGCTGCTGACCAGCTCAACGTTTGCGTACGCCTATGGCATCTCCGGCCCCATGTGGTATGCTGCACTGGGCACATCGCAGGTGTTGTTGTTCTCGATGCTGTCCCTCATGGTCAAGCGCGACCTGCCCGGCGCCCACACCTTTCCTGAGATTGTGCTCGCACGACACGGGCCCGTGGCGCATGCCATCTATCTGGTCTTTGGCTGGGCCACTAATATGTGTAAGTGGTGTGGCGTATGCACGTTGGCGTGTGGGTGTGTAAATATAGTACCGGTGCACGAGCCACTCCACAACTGTCGGTGTGCCGCGCGTGACAGGCTGTATGAATCATGCTGACTTATTTCCGGGTTCCAGTCGTCGGTGCCACCCTTGTGTTGGGTGGTGCTCAAGTCGTGGCCGGCCTATCCGGTGTGAATGTCTATGCGGCCTGCTTTATTGTGAGTGTCTCCAAGTGCGCACCTTGTTTCTCACCCACCCCCTCAACTTCCCCACAGTATTGATTTCTCCGCGGCTCGACCCGCGAACCGCGCCCATGTTCTCTCTCTCAAACTGTTCACATTCTAGCCGGCTAAACGACTGCAACCTCAACTCCAGATCCCCCTTGCCGTAGCCGCGTATGTCATCCAGGGTGGCCTGCGGAGCACGTTCGTTGCCGACTATATCCACACGGTCATCCTGTTTGTCGCCATCTTCATCTTCGCGTTCGCCTTGTATACGACCGATGAATATGTCGGCAGCCCCAGCCGCCTCCATGACCTTCTCACGGCCGCCGCGGAGGCCACGCCTCTGCCCAACAACAGGGACGGCTCGTGGCTGACGTTCCAGTCCAAGGGTGGCTTGACCTTTGCGGCGCTCATCTTTCTCGGCGGTTTCTCCACTGTCTGGCTCGACCAGGCGTACTGGCAGCGTGCGATTGCCTCGAAGCCGGAGACGAGCGTCAAGGCGTATCTGTTTGGTGGTGTATGTTATGCTGCCTCTGTCCAGTAATGACTTTGTTGCCTTGGAAAATTGAACTAACCTGACACCTTTTTCATCTCCAGCTTGCTTGGTATGGCATCCCGTACGGCTTTGCGACGGCCATGGGCCTCGGATGCGTCGCCATGACCAGTTCGCCGCGTTTCCCTACGTATCCCAATGCCCTCAATGCCGCCCAGGTAAACGGCGGCTTCAGCGCGCCGGCCACGGCCATTGCGCTGATGGGCAAGAACGGCGCGGCGCTCATGCTCCTGCTGCTCTTCATGGCCATCACCTCGGCCACGTCGGCCGAGCTGATCGCCGTGTCCTCGCTCTGGACGTTTGATGTCTATAAGCTGTACGTGAACAAGGGCGCCACCTCGTCCCAGCTGGTCGTCCAGGCCCACACCAGCATCATCGCCTATTCGCTCGTCCTCGCTACCTTTTGCTGCGGCCTCAACGCCAGCGGCATCAACATCACCTGGATTCTGACCCAGGGCGGCTGCATGATTGGCGGCGGCGGTATTCCTCTCGGCCTGATTTTATTATGGCCCTCGCGCATGTCGACGCCTGCCGCCATTGGCGCGCCGCTCATCGCCATGCCGCTCGGCATCATGACGTGGCTGGTCACCACCTACCTGCGGGACGGCTCGATCAGCGTGATCACTACGGGCGACCTCACTAACAGCGTCGCGGGGAGTGCCACAACTTGCGGCACCGGTGCGGTTGTTGCTGTCGCGTTCTCGTACCTTTTCCCGTACAAGTACACCTCCAGCGACCCGGCGCACGTGGCCCGTTTGGAGAAGATTTGTGGTGTTGCCTCGCTTCAGGGTCAGGTCGTCACAGACGACGCCGAGGCGCGCGCGGAGATGGCTCTGGGTGAGAAGGTCGAGGAGGGCGAGAAGGGCGACAAAGGTGGCGCAGGCAGCAAGGAGGAGACGTACGCTGTGGTGACCCCGACGGACGCAGATGCAACCACGGGCGTGATTGTCCAACAGACGCCGCAGGCGGCGACGCAAGCGGCGACCGTGGCGCCGGCGGGTTCGGTCCCGGAGGCCACAGGCAACGAAATTGTCGACTTTCTTACAGCCAACCACATTGAGCCCCTCGACCTTGATCTGTACCACAAGGTGCGCCGTCTGGCCATCTGGTGCTGTGCCGTTTTCTTCGTCTTTGCCATGGTGTTGTTTCCGTTTGCCTTTTACGGCACTGGCTTCATCTTTACCAAAGCTGCGTTGACGGGATGGGTCGCCATCAGTATGACTTGGGTCTTCTTTAGTGCTATCGCATGCATCGTTTGGCCGGTAGCAGAAAGCTGGAAGGACTTGTTCGGCATGTTCGGCATGTTCATCGACGACATGAAATCGCGGCGGACATGATGCCAGTGACGTTGCTTGACAAATGGCTTGGCTATTGCACAACGCGTGGTTTGTGTGAGAAAACTGGGGGTTCAGATTTCTAGAAATTAGAAGAGCATGGTACAAGGGTCCAATATCCTAGAACTAGAGGGTCCAACATCTTCTTGGTCTACAGACCAAGAGGTCGCAGAGTATAAGTATGAGACAAAAATATCCAAAGAAGCAAAAGAGAAGAACGCCTGACAAGAAACGCCGCGGGCTTTCGCCCTCAGAACCTCTGTTTATGCCCAAAAAAAAAAACGTAAACTCGTAGACGAAAAGATGAGAACAATAATAAGACGCTGATGATCATGACTGTTTCTTCCGTTCGTATCAGTAAAATTCCTGCCCATGTCTCACGTAGCATCGCTGCGACGACACAGCGCAGCAACGACGCTGATGTCGTCAAGCTTCCCTGAGCAGCAGTTAGTATTGTGGCATTGTGGCTTGAACATAGGCGTCCACATAAGCGGCGGGTTTTACTAACCTCCTTCGCTTGCCAGGCCCTCTTCGATGGCATGCTCCATAAAAGGACTCTCGGCGAACGGATCTACCGCAATCACCCGGGCGGCCTCGACCAGCTCCTCTGCAACTGCCGTCATCATGCCCCGGTGCAGATCTGCTGGAGTCTTGTCCTTGGCCTGCCACGCGGCTACGCTCTTGCTGACTTGCTCCACAATCTCGTGTGACCAGAGATTGTCGATGAGGCCGTCCGACATGGCAAGGACAATGTCTCCCACATTGATCGGCACCACGTCAACAACGGCGTTGTCGCGCGGGGTGTCCGGACTGTTCGTGCCCAACTGCCGCGGGCAGTCGAACCAGTGCCACTGTTCCGTCGTCTTGAAAACGATCTTGCCCTCGGCCGGCCGCACCACCATGATTTGGGAGTCGCCCAGGTTCGTCACGTAGAGCACCGGTTCGTTCTCGTCCGTGTATGCGGCCCGGTCGTCGGCTGCCTCGATTTGCCGGTATGACAGAAGCGCGCCTGCGGCTGTCGTCGTTCCCTGCCAGTCGTTGGGTGCCCGTGTTGCTTCGATCGTCTGTTCATATGCGCGTTGCAGGTACTTGATCGGCTCTGGTGCGGTAATAGACCCCGCCGCCACACTCTCGCTCACAGCATTGGCCCAAAAGTGCACGACGAGCCGCGACCACAGTCCGGCGTGCCCCCGAGGCCGCATGGACCAGGCGCCGACACCGTCGTTGGCCGCCACAAAATACTCGCCCGCATACACCGCATCGTCGCCGTTGGTGCAGCCACCTATCAGATGGCCGTCAACCAGTTCTCGGCGGTCTCGACTTCGGTCGTGGGTACTCAGTGGATCGGAGAAAGAGCCCGATGGCGGCGACAAAAAGGGCGGAGGAAACGGCCGGGGTATACGCTTGGCGAAAAGTCCCACGCCTGTGTCAAAGTGGAAAGGAAGCTTGGGGAGGGGATGTAGCGAGGAAGAAGTTGTGTGAGAGTCACATCGGCGTCGTGCGGGTGATCCGTGGTGGTCAATGTCGTTGTGGTTGGTAGCGTCGAACATGGTTGGAGCATCGGTGGAGCCCGAGGCCGAGGGGCGCTCAGTGATGACAGGGAACGACATGTGAGGAGAACCATGCATGCAGCGGACGCGAGGGTGGCCTCCACTGCTGCTACCGCCGAGAGAAAGACATTGTCCTGACAGGACGGGTCTCGACGACCCAGACGGTGCAGGACGGAGCGGCGGAAATCGCGAGGAGGGAGAAGTGCGGAGGCGCAGAGGTAGCCTCCTCATTCCAACAGCAGTAACGTCCACGGCGTCGAGGCCGAGCTAGTAAGCAACGATGCAGCAGGCCTTTCAGACGAAATAGTTGCAAACGCAGGAGGGCAAAAAGACGAAGGGATCGAGTATGACGAGCAGTGAGCTGTGAACTTTGAGCTGTGACTTGGAGACCGAAAGGCGGACTAGGGCGCTCAAGGCCAGCTCTGTGACCCTTTGGTGTGCAGTACGTAGTGAGGAGCTTGTATTGGTCAGAAACGGTTGCGGGCGTCGTACTCTGATAGCATAGATGGCGATTGCCCGGGGGGGACGTAAGGGTGTCGACGGGCTTGAAACCGAAGAAATAGAGAGAGAGGAAGAAGAAATCCAAAATGACAAATTGCGCGACGAAGGGAAATGCGAGAATTCAGGAGAGACAAGGGAGCTGAAATGGCAGGAACGGCGTATAAGGCAAAATAGGCAGGAGTATGTCGCACAGAGTAATCACAAATGCCACATGTGAAAACTATGGGAAGGCGCTGCCCAGATAATGCCACTATGTGCTTCTATGTGACCTCACTGGCTCGAATGGGGAACTCAGAGGCGGCAGGCACGGCCTCTGATGTCCGTAAAAGGCAGTGGCGACTAGCGGCTTGCAGCTAGCTGTTACGTTGCGACACTCCGCGTGGAAGTCTCGGCTTCACAAGGTCTATCGGTGCTGTAAAGGTGCTGTAAACTGCTTGTAATTGCAAGAATTCCCATTCGAGGCGCGACAAAGTCCTCTTTGTACGAATTATGACTTGAGCCGCAGCGTTTCAATGCCCCTGCTTCCCCGACGGGGCTGTTCGCGACATAGAGTGGACGTTGTATGCAGCAGACGATTCCAGCAATCGGCGCGATTTCGGTGGATGGTGTGGGTGGGTTGTGGGTTGGGAAGGCGCGAAGCGCCGGCCGCTCGTCATTGGCGTACATTTCTGGGGCACCTTCTTGAAAATGGGTGGCCAAGGCTGTATCTGGCATCTATCGGCTGTTCCTCGCCAGGCAGGCGCAACCCGACACTTCTTTCCCCCAGTTGTCCACTGTGGCTGGTTTTCTTCATACTCCGTAGACGTGACTATTCCCAACATCTGTGCTTGGCAGTCATCTACCAAAGTCGCGCTTGTCTGACTCCGTGCGCCAGCTTTACGAGTCCTACGGGGAAATAGTGTCAAGGGAGCGACTCAACCGTGAGCAAGGGCCGCCGCGCGTTCCAACAAAACTAGAATCGGCCTCCGAAGTTAACTGCAATACGTCTGTTAACCCGTGGCCAAGCGTCGGGGATGAGGTTGGCTGGACCAGACCAAGATACAACTCTGATGACACTATCTAGTGAAGAGTCAAGACGAGGCCTGTTACTGAGGCAGAGGGAATTGCAGCTAAGTTGGAAGTTGGGAAACAGGCAGCTGCGATAGTTCACGCGACGCTATTGATCGACTTTATATACTGAGTCACCCATGAAGCGGCAAGGCCCTTGTCAGACCTGGGGTAGTATGTCTGGAAAACGGCACATACTCAGTCTAAGGTATGAAGCGAAGTTGATGAACACGTCTCTCCTCTCAGGGTCTATTCGACATGGCTGGCAACACATTCGCTCGTCCCATCTATTTTCTCTGTCCCCAATTAGTTTCCGTCTGTCCCCAACCAGGGTTTACCACGGACTGCTTCGTACGATTCGTTCTCTATACTTCACATCACGCCACCAAGCTATCACGATACACCAAGGCTATACCATCTGTCCGTCTAAATTTGATATTGTACACATATACAGTGCAAGTCGAGGCTAGGAAGGAAGTCTATGCTGATGCTCGTTTATATGCTGTCGTCCCGTCGTCGAGGAAGCGGGCAGAGTTTGCCTTGCCTTGCCGTCGCTTGGAGGTCAGTCCGAGACGAGGTGGTCATGGTTTAGCAGTTGAGATCGATATCGAGAGCCGAGAGGAGGAGATTGCAGATCAAAGACGGCTTATCGAGCATCGAACGTCGAATGCGCTTGCCGAAAGTGAAAGTCGAACGTCGAGGCCACTCGTTATCGTCCGCCCGGGATCCAGCCGTCATCCCATAATCCAATGCCAAAGCCAGGATGCATTTCTTTCTCTCTCCCATTGCCCGAGCCGCCAAGATGAAAACAAAGGGAAAAGTGAAAAGTTTGACGACCGGGCAAGGGCAAAGAGCAAAGAAGGAGGTTTTTGCAAAAAAAAGAAACAAACAAGAAAAGGAAAAACATATGCAGTCCACCGCCCCCAGCATCATCCCATCATCTATCCGCACCCGTCTCTTTTCGAGCCCCTTCAACATATTATGCCATATACCTACAGAAGCCGGGCATCACACAGAGCGCATACGGCTGACTTTGTGCGCTGCGTGACCTCGACAAAGTTCTTCAATCTCGCGCGCAGCCCCATCCTCGTCCTGTTTATGGCTTCTCCTTCATCAGAGCCTCGAAGTAGGCCTCGAGGTCGAACTTGGGGTCCATCGGGTCTTGGTTCACTGGATTAGGCGTGTTAGCGATGCTGCGTCCGGCCCGGCAAGTCTCTGTTGTTTCCCTCCCGTCCGAACACTTACGACCGCTGGACGTCGCCGATGCTGCGGGTGCCGGGGAGCGGAGCTTGGTGTACTCCGCCTTGGCCTGGTTGATCAGGCTCTGCTTGTGCTCGTATGCCCGCTTCGCGGCGGCCGCCTTGTCTGAGGAGTTGATTGTGCGTTGATGGTAGAAGCCGTACAAGACACCGAGGCCAAGGGCCGAGTACCGGAGGACCTGCAAGAGAGAAGAAGGCAATGTCAGCATTCAATTCGGCTTCTTCGAGGTGGCGATCAGACTCGCGATCAGAATCCGGACAGAGTTTCCGAGGCACAGCTTCCGGAGCGCGCCAGTCGTTTGATGCATCGCGCAACAACGGAATCCCCATCAACTGGAAGCCATCGTCCATCCGGAATACCGTATCGGTGTCGTCCTCGGCGGGAACGGGGGGCGAATTGCAAACGTACATTAACACCTGCGTTGGAAGACATTGCTGCGGCTGTGAAGAGGGCGAGAGAAGGGGAGGAAAACGGGCGATGGGAGACGGTATTGGAAAAGTCGTCGAACAGATGGACTGGCCGTGGGTGCGTATCGGGATGAAGAGAACGTGGGCGCGAGATCGCGAAAGTGGTGTGAGATGACGAGGTTGGAGAAGAAGAGTGCTGGGATGCGTCGTTGTGTGGTTCAATTGTGCCAATTGGCGATTTTTTTTTCTCGCTCTTTGCTTTTAGGCCCGGCTGTCCCTGTCGGTCGCGGATGAGCGCGCGTTGGAAATTTCACTCACATTAGCTTGCAGGAGCAAGCCGTAGACCACCGACTGCCTTACTAGCTGCTAACGGAAGAAACAAGGAGCCTACTGAGTTGGTCGGGAAATCTCGCGGCTCGGGCTGGGCCTGCATGGCTCTTGTAATTGCGACGGCAAAGTCACTCTTCATGGAACAAGGGGTGTGTGGGTACCTTTATCCCTTAGCATCTACGAATGTACGAAATACAGGCCCGATGCGATCTGGCCTTCCCCTGTAGCTCTACTGTAGTTGCCTCGTTCCAGTGGAGAGATCCACTGCCTGAGAGCGAATCACGTGTATGGCACGCTACTGTCCGCACCAGTTCAAACTGTCAACAGCTCTCCTGCAGCAAGCTCCACCTATTCTTGGGGGCAAGGACCGCATCAGTAAATTGCTAGCGGTGTCGCGAACGACGCGCATGGTCCAGGGGCACGAAAGGCAGACAAAACGCAGCAAAGCTAACAAAACAACGACAACTACCGGCACCACACACCACCACCAATACTGAGCGTGTGCAACTGGACAACTGGTTGACCTGGAAGCACGAACCTGATACTTACTGGGCTTTCATTTGCTGGTTGGCATTTTGATCTCCAGCCTGATATTTCGGCCTCAAACATTGTTATATTGACGAACCCCTGACGACGCCTTTTGACGATTTTGACCTTGTTTTGCCACAGTCGCGCATCAGGCACACACCGAACACAAGCCACTCGACGACACGACGCTGGGAAAGTCAACAGGCCATATTGCCACGAGCATGCGGCAGACGCGGGCAGGATCGGCACACCGACACACGAGATAGCCATGCAGCAAAGGCGCGATGAGATCCTGGCGAAGAGGGCGAAGCTCGCCGAGCTGAAGAAGCAGCGGGAGCTGAGAACACAGGCGTCTGCATCACGGCAGAGCATAGGACCCGATGTATGTTACAACGAGTCTCGGCCCGTATACTGCTGGGTGACGGCTGGCTAACCAGGCAGCAACTGATTGCACCAACGCCCGGGCGCGCCGACAACCGCCGAGAGATAGAGTCTCTCATCAACAGCCTGGTGGGCGAGAGCCGGCCGGGCTCGACGACAACCGGCGGTGCAGCGTCGCCGGCGCACAAGGGAAGCCGGCCGAATAGTGTTTTGAGTGCGGGCGAGCTGAGCAACGAGACGTCCGAATACGCAGCGGCCGGCATCACGCAAGTCAGCAGCACGGGGCCATCACAGCCGCAGGTCCTGTCTACCGTCTCGCTCACGACCATCTACGAATGCCCTCCGTCCCCCGTCAAGGAAGTCTTTTCGTACAGCAAAGGCGTCCAGACCACCGACGATCTGCTGCCAACAGCACCTGTCGTCAACCGCACCCTCTACGATTCGGACGGCGAGGAGCCGACGCCGGCCACACCGAATAAGAAGCTGAGCCGGCGAGAACGCGAACGGGAAGAGGAGCTGCGCAAGAACATTCGGCAAGAGGTGGAGGACGAGCTGCAGGCGGCAAAGGAGCAGTTGGCTGGCCAGCAGTCCGCACAGACAGCCACTCTGTCGACAAACTACCCGGCACGCGTTCTGTCCAACGAGGAGCTCAAGGCCGTCACGTCCAATTCCGAGTTTGTCGACTTCTTGGAGAAGTCGACCAAGGTCATCGAAAAGGCGCTCGACTTGGAATACGACATCTTGACCGACTACACGCTGCAGGCGTACGACAACGAGGACGAGGACGAGCAGGGCAACGTGGGCGGACGCGGCCGGCGGAAGGTGAAGGAGATCCGCCAGTTTTACGACGAAAAGTGGTCGCGGAAGCGCATGATCACGTCCATCGACTTCTCGCCCAAGTTCCCCGACCTCCTCCTCGCCTCCTACACGAAGAACCCGACGGCACCGCACGAGCCCGACGGCGTCGTCCAGGTCTGGAGCCTCAACCTGCACGACCGCCCCGAGTTTGTGTTCCACGCCCAGTCCGACATCCTGACGGCCCGCTTCTCGCCCTTCAACCCGAACCTCATCTTTGGCGGCGCCTACAGCGGACAGGTGCTTGTGTGGGACACACGCGCGCGCTCGTCGCCCGTGCAGAAGACACCCCTTACCGGCTCCGGCCACACACACCCCGTGTATGCCCTCGACATCGTCGGCACCCAGAACGCCAACAACATCATCAGCTGCAGTACCGACGGCGTGGTCTGCGGCTGGGCCGAGAACATGCTCGCGCAGCCGCAAGAGTTCTTGTCCCTCACCGTGCCGCCGCCGTGCAAGGTCGACGACCTGGCCCCCACGTGCCTGGCCTTCCCCCACGCCGACCCGACCTTCTTCTTGGTCGGCTCCGAGGAGGGCACCATCTACCCGTGCCATCGCTACGACCGCGCGGGGGCCAAGGCCGGCGTCGACGCGCGCGTTCGCTACCGCGGCCATGCGGCGCCTGTGCTGTCGGTCGACTTCCACCCGGCCCGTGGCCCCGTCGACCTCGGCGACCTCGTGCTGTCGTCGAGCCTGGACTGGTCGGCGAAGCTGTGGAAGGTCCGCGCGCCGGCGGCCACGAGCACGATTGTGGGCGGTGGCGGTGTGGGCGGCGCCGGTGCGGCAGCGGAGGGCACGGCGGTGCCTCTGATGGACTTTGTGCGCGAAGATGTCGTCTACGACGCAGCCTGGTCGCCCGTCAAGCCCGGTGTGTTCAGTCTGGTGGACGGTGCCGGCTGGCTGGAGCTGTGGGACATTACGGTGGAGACGGAAGAGCCGGTGGCGCGGATCAGCCCGAGCCAGCGCAAGGACGGCCGGTCGATGCTGGCCAACAGCCTGAACAAGGTGGCCTGGGACAAGAGCGACGGCAAGCGCCTGGCTACGGGCGGCATTGCCGGAACGCTGACGGTGTTTGAGGTGGGCCCGGATCTGGGCGGCAAGGAGGGTCTGCGCAGCGAGGAGTGGACCAGTGTCAAGAAGCTGGTCAACAAGCTGGAAGCGCAGAACGCCAACGGCCCGGTGGCGTTGTAAGTGGTAGGTGGGTGGAGGTGAACGGAGGGTCGTCGCGTACGAATGATATCGTATCTTCTTCTCATATGAGAACAAAGTCTGGTGACCTAGATTGAACAGGCAGCGTTCACTTTGGCGAGCATTCTGACTCGTACATTTCATTTGTTCTCTTTCGTGTACATGCCAAAATACCTCTTGTCGTTTACAATCTACAATACCCGTTCTGACAGTGTTGTTTTATTGTTTGTTGTTGCCTCTTCTTCACGTCTCGAGACAAGCCCAAGACTGTAATGAAAAGGTATTAAGATTAAGAGCCCTCAGTCTCGCCAACAAGACAAAACGTTCGCGTCGCCTGGAAGCAGTGAAATACCAGGGACACAGTGGGAAGAGCAGTCATGGAACAGGCCCAGCGGACTGCTCTTCTCGAGTTGCCAAAGATTTGCGTGAAAACACACGAAAAAGACCCCGTTCGGGTCCTTTCAGCGGTTAAACTGAAAAGAACAGATACTACACTTGATCAGAGCCAAAAAACTCAGAGAAGGTGAGGAGAAAAGAGACAAAAGGGAAGACTACGAGAGAGATAAAACATGGCACCGCCTCTTTATATAGTCGTCAAATATGGTCTGTGCGAGCCTGCCAACAACAAAACAAGGCTTTCCATATAAAGAATCGGCCTGCTGCCTGGTGTTGCATGTCTGCATGATGAGGCCAACCGCAGATGATGAGAGACGCGATGTAAGGTATTGGATGAGGCTCTCACCGCTTTCGAATTCTGCCGGTACGCTTGTGTGTCCCATACAACGGCTAGTGGGGTCAAGCTTCATTCATTTGGCCAATCATAGCGCTGTATCAGGCCAGCCGCTTGTAAAGCCTCCTGGGACGCCAAGCCACCTGTCCCCTTAGTACACCAAAGCCGACGCGGAAGCTCCAGCTGTCCTCTCCACGAAGGCCCGACCAAGAAAGGGAACGTCTGTTTTGGCAGGGGCAATCCATCAACGACCGCACCTTCTCATTTTCGTTGCTCGTCGTGTTCTAGTTCGTCGTCGTGCCTTCCGTGCCTTCTGCCTTCTTCTTACCTTCCTTTATTGAAGCTTTCTTCCCTTTTTCTTTTCTCGTTGCCCCCTCTTTCTTTCTCACCATCCATGATCGGCCTCACGACCTGCCATTGACCTCCCTCGTCGCATCTCTCCCCCTCCTTGCCCCCATCGCCAATCCATCGGCCACAATGGCGTCGACATCGACGACGCCAAATCCGATTGGCCCTCTGGGCGATGCCGGCAAGACCAGAAGTCTGCGGTCGGTGCTGCGCGTGGTGATTCTCTTCCTCATTGCCGCCGCCTCCGTGTCCAGCCGCCTGTTCTCTGTGATCCGTGAGTGAACGCCTGCTTCTCTCTTTGATGCCGGCCTCTGAAACGCCAATTGCTAACGACATGTGTCTATGTGTCTAGGATTTGAGAGCATCATCCACGAATGTGTGTACAATCGACGATTCCACTCGTTATCTGCCTCCCATTGATTCCATTGATGCACAATCGGCCTCGACCTCCCTCGACCCCGTCTGCCCAGTATATCCGTAGCCTCCTCTGCTAACTCGTGCCCTTTCCTACAGTCGATCCTTGGTTTAACTTCCGCGCCACGAAATACCTTGTCGCCAATGGCTTCTACAGCTTCTGGGACTGGTTTGATGACCGCACGTGGCACCCGCTCGGCCGTGTCACCGGTGGCACTCTGTACCCCGGCCTGATGGTGACCAGCGGTGCCATCTACCACGCCCTCCGCGCCCTGACCATCCCCGTCGACATCCGCAACGTCTGCGTCATGCTGGCGCCCGCCTTCTCCGGCCTCACCGCCTATTCGGCCTATCTGCTGACCAGCGAGATGACCACGTCGCCCTCCGCCGGTCTCCTTGCCGCCGCCTTCATGGGCATCACCCCCGGCTACATCTCGCGCTCCGTCGCTGGCAGCTACGACAACGAGGCCATTGCCATATTCCTGCTGGTCTTCACCTTCTACCTGTGGATCAAGGCACTCAAGCTCGGCTCCATGCTCTGGGGCGCCCTCTGTGCCCTCTTCTACGGATACATGGTGGCCTCGTGGGGTGGCTACGCCTTCATTACCTGTCTGCTGCCGCTGCACGCCTTCGTCCTCATCTGCATGGGCCGCTACAGCACGCGCCTGTACGTTGCCTACACCACATGGTACGCCCTTGGTACCTTGGCGAGCATGCAGATTCCCTTTGTCGGCTTTTTGCCCGTCCGCACCAGCGAGCACATGCCCGCACTCGGCATTTTCGGCTTCCTGCAGCTCCTGGCGTTCCTCGACTACGTGCGCTCCGTCGTCCCCACCCGCCAGTTCCAGACGTTCCTGCTGCTCTCGGCCTTTAGCGTCTTCTCCATCGGTCTCCTGGGCCTCGTCATTGCGACCACGGCCGGTGTCATTGCCCCTTGGAGCGGCCGTTTCTACTCGCTGTGGGACACCGGCTACGCCAAGATCCACATCCCCATCATTGCGTCCGTCTCCGAGCACCAGCCCACTGCCTGGCCCGCCTTCTTCTTCGACCTCAACTTCCTTATCTGGCTGTTCCCCGCCGGCGTGTACCTCTGCTTCCAGACCCTGGCGGACGAGCATGTCTTCATCGTCGTCTACGCCCTGTTCGGCAGCTACTTTGCCGGTGTCATGGTCCGCCTGATGCTGACGCTGACGCCCGTTGTCTGTGTGGCCGCGGCCATCACTGTGTCCTCGCTGCTCGATGGCTACCTCAACGCCAAGAGCCCCAGCCCGGCCGATGTAGCTGCTGCCGAGGAGAATGCCGACAAGAAGCCGTCCAAGGGTGGCCTCAAGTCGATGAGCCGCCCCGTCGTCGGCGTGTATTCGTTCCTGTCCAAGTCGTTTGTCACGGGCGCCGTTGTCATTTACCTGATCATGTTTGTGGCCCACTGTACGTGGGTGACGTCCAACGCGTACTCGTCGCCGTCCGTCGTGCTCGCTAGCAAACTGCCCGACGGCAGCCAGCACATTATCGACGACTACCGCGAGGCCTACCAGTGGCTGCGCCAGAACACGCCCAAGGACGCCAAGGTGATGTCTTGGTGGGACTACGGCTACCAGATTGGCGGCATGGCGGACCGGCCGACGCTGGTGGACAACAACACGTGGAACAACACACACATTGCGACTGTGGGCAAGGCCATGAGCTCGCGCGAGGAAGTTAGCTACCCGATCATGAAAGCGCACGAGGTCGATTACGTGCTGGTTGTCTTTGGCGGTCTCCTGGGTTACTCGGGAGACGATATTAACAAGTTCCTGTGGATGGTCCGCATTGCTGAGGGCATCTGGCCGGACGAGGTGAAGGAGCGGGATTTCTTCACCGCGCGCGGTGAGTACCGGGTCGACGACGAGGCCACCGACACCATGAAGAACAGCCTGATGTACAAGATGTCCTACTACAACTACCAGGCGCTGTTCCCGCCGGGCCAGGCCCAGGACCGCGTCCGTGGCTCGCGCCTGCCCGAGAAGGCCCCGACGCTCAATACCCTCGAGGAGGCCTACACCAGCGAGAACTGGATCATCCGGATCTACAAGGTCAAGGACTACGACAACGTGGGCCGGGACCACGGCGCCGTTGCGTCCTTTGAGCAGGGCCACAAGAAGAAGAGGTCGGCAAAGCGCAAGGGAGCCCGCGTCCTGCGCATCGACTAGAAGTGGGAGGAGCGCGTGGTTGAGACGAGGAGACGAGAAAACGCATTTGATGGTGACATCCGGATGTGGGAACTGGAATTTGTTTTGTTCTGCCTTGCAAGGAGTCGGGGGAAAAACCGATTGTGCTTGCTGGCAGTAGATGGAGGCTTTCCATGCCCTCTCTGTATAAAAGACATAAAGGAGAACAAGGACTCCGTCTATGGAGGAAAATTAGAGACGCTGTGGCCATGTGCCTCGCCGCGTCTGTCGTATTTATCGCACCACCTTTCAATACAGATTTTTCTTTTTGTTTGTTTTGCATGCTGTCCTCGCTTGCATTGTGTGAACTACTCCCATTGTGGGTTAACGTCTTATGGCAATATGCCGTTAGACGGTATGCACACTGCTGCCATGTTGCTCTGTGGGCGCAATTGCCGTCAGTAGCTAACAGCCCAGTATGTCCAAAAAAGGAAGTCGCGACCATCACAGACAGGTTGCCGTTTCCTATTCTGTGACTTTGGGACTTCTCTGTTTGCCACAAATATTAACGCGGGTTTTGCACACTCGCACTTTCCCATTATTTGGACCCGTGGATTTCACTTCCTCTGCTTTTTTGTCTTCCCCTTATACGTGTTTTTTTCTTTGCGTCCCGTCTAAAATCATTCTCTCGCCGATCCCTTTCCCGGTCCCTTTACCGTTGACGTTGTGTAGATATCAATTCTGTGTGTATATCTAGTCGCCGCGTCCCATTTCTCCCCCTTGTGAATATTTTGCTTTCGCCACGACCGCTCCTCTTTCGAGGGGCATTTTTCGAAATGCCTCGCATCGAGCGTTCACGGCATCACGAGTAAGACTTCGCTCTCTACCTATCTTGATATCTAGAACACAGTCTAACATTTGTGCCTTTCCACAGTGCTGTCGAGGACCGTTCGAGCCGCCGACTCAGCAGTGGGCGGAGACCAGGCATCATTTCACCGCTTGTCGACGAAGAATGTGCACGCGACCGGTACTATCCGCCTCGCTCGTCTTCCAACATGCCGACTCCATCCCGCAGAGGCTCTTCGAGTCGTGACGGTAGCGGTAGCGGCCATACGTATCGTGCATCCGGCATGATGATGAGCCTGCTCGGCATGCGGAGCCGGCGTGAACGGTCAAGCTCAGATTCGTCGTCGACACCTCACGTACCTGTGGTCGATGACGTCTTTCTCAAACCCTCCGTACCCAGCTACATTCGCAACAACACGGGTTGGGAGAACATGCCCGCTCCACCATACGACAGTTCCGCGGGCGTGACAACCGGGCCTGCACATGCGGGAGCACCTTATGCTCTGTCTAATATCCCAGCCCAGATCTACCTTCTCCAACCCCAACAGTCTCTTTCCACAACTCCGCCCGTCGACAGCAAGGAGAACAACCCAACTTTCATGGACCAGGCACACGTATCGACGCCACCCATCCCTTCTCTGCCCCAATTTGTACCGCCATGCTACACATACACACCCCCGAGTGTATATCTGTGGCCACAAGCGGGTGTTTCGAGTCCGATGATGCCAATGAGCATGCCTGCGCACAGCGTTGTTCCGCCCAGTGGCAGCACGGCCGCCTCACAAAACTTCTCGTCGCAGACCTCTAACCGCAGTGGGCGTACCAAACGACGGCCTCGCAGCCCTTTGTCATCTCAGTCCAGCTCAAGCTTCACTGACAGAGGCCGACGTGAATGTGGTCCTGTTCACCGGCACAGCCGCCGCCAATCTCGGGACCGGTCGTATGACTCCTCTCAGACTGAGACCCGGTACCGGTCTCGCCGCTCGAGCACACCAAGCCGGTCTCATTGTCGCCGGCCGTCTCTCAAGCGGAGCCAACGGCACCGCCGTTCGTCGTCTGTACACAAGAAAGCACTGGCACACCACTTTTGTACCGGCTGTGGCAGGATTCGGTCTCGCAAGTTCCACGATTCGAATCCTTTCCGTCCTGGCAAAAAGAAGCTTATCAACTACTGTCTCAAATGTCGTGAGGTGTTAGACTTGTGCAACGACGACCGCATTGTATCTGCGGACGAGACTGAGCCTCTTGGTCGAGTCAAGGTACAGCCACACACCCTTCCAGTGTTTAAAACTAGTTTACGGTTTGTATTAACAATTGCAATCACCGTTACAGGAGAACGGCCCGGAAATGCAAGAAATACATGAAAAAAAGAAGTCCAGCCATCGGGCACAGGCGCCTCACACGGTTGGCTCGATCAGTTTCATAATGGAAGAGGCCATTCAGTCTTTGCCGAAGCCTTACGCCGCGCACATTGCAAATTCAAGCTCTTCACCCAAAGATTCGCGTCATGAGCATAGCCATACCCAGGAACCAAAGGCTGAGCCAGTTTCGGTGGAAATGGCCCCATCAAGGGAGTCAACCAAAGTCCCCACCAAGCAGCCTCTCAAGACTGCATCCAACAGCAGCTTGACAAAGACAAGGGGGTATCATCCGCCGACAGTAGAGTCAGTTCTTGACTCTGACGACGAAAAACCGTCCAGCTACTATCGGTCCAGCGCAGCCCGGGCACGATACAGCAAAAGCGAGCACGAATATGTGAGAGCGGACGACTGCCAAACGGTTAAGAGCAGCCCGTCAGTTCCTCCTCCTCGCAGCGAAGTGTTCGAAACTACTCCTCGAGGCGGTGACCGAATGGCAAGCGATGGCAATCCTTCTCAGCATCACGTCCGCTTTGAGACACAGTCGAGAAGCGAGACAGAAGCCAATGATCTGCTCGCCGGTTCCCGTATCACGGACGACAAGACCAATTTCTTCGCATCGTTCCCGCCAGCCTATCGCCCAGCTGTGATCGCCTCACGTCCCATCAAGTCGGTTCGTCGCTGTGCTTCGGACCATGTCAATTTCGAGCAGTACAGAAAACGTCATACAATGGCTATGGAGAACCAGGAGCCACACTTTATGTGCACACCTCATAGCCATCGATGCTGTGATCATCTTGACTCGGGAGCCGACCGCAGCGTGTTCTACCGCCAGACAATGCCCAGCCCGCTGGCTGGACGCAAGACGAGGGATGCGTTTTCGTCGCCGCTGAAGCCGATCTCTCATGACATGTATGGCGCAACGCCGTACAGTCCGCTGATGCCAATCCCGGGAAGCACACGCGTACCTCGCACATTCAGCGTGCATACGGTCAGTCCGTCTATGGCGTCCGAAGAACTCTATCAGCCCCAACCTAGCCAGCCTCAGCGCTCCATCCCCAAGTCGCCTGCTCCGTTTGAGGATGCCCCCTATGGGTCGTGCTCGAATGTTGGCCAAGGTGGCTGGAGCACTGGCTATGCTGGTGCAGAGCCGTCGGCGGGCAGTTGCAACCTCAAGACCGCTCACCGTGCCATGTCTGATGCCACTGAAGAGCTCCCGTCACCTCGCTCCAGCACACTTGGCGTGAACTATGATGAGCAGAACGGGGACCCAATCAGCCAGCTTGGTGAAGGCATCCCGCCGTACAATTTCGACCTCTTCTCAGAGGTTGGCTCTCGCCGCTCCTTCCAGGGAAAGGACGACGATGGGTGTGAGACGGAGACCGCCGACCCCTTTAGCGATGAAGCTGAGGAGGATGGCCAGTTCGACGACACGGGCGCTGCAGAATTCCACTACAACAGCTTCGAAAACGATCCAATTGTTCCAGATTACAATTTCGACTTGTTTTCGGACGTGACGAACCGTTGGTCGCCGCCAGACGCCGGCTACGGAGAGGCCAACGAATCCAGACACGATCGTGGCTGGGGGTCCCAGACCGGCGGTCTCTGTGGGAAAGAGAACGAAACCGCGCCGAATAGCAACCATGAAATATCACTTGTCGTCCGCAGGCGGCCGCCGCGTCGCGTCCGCAAGCCGTCAACGTTTGAGGTCGAGGAGTACGCGGGAACCGACGACGATGCAGCCAGTGTGGCCAGCAGCAGACTTGGGAAGCCTGGAACGCGGTCGTTTGTCAGCACAACGCAGCGATTGGTCGATTGTGAGGTGATTTCGAACCCCGATGACTCGCACGGCGCGGAGGCACGCAGAGCACGGCCTCCTCTTCGATGCCGGTACGTTTTGTCCAAGAGGCCGTCCTTGGAGGGCATCGAGCTAACATATGCAGTGCCTCGATCCGAACGATTCAGACAGTCTACTGAGTTTGCATATCGTGTCTTCTGATATTGAGCTTCAATTTTCAGTCCTTGATTTATTGTCGATATACTGTCCTATTGCGCCGTTTAATGTGACAATATGTGTTGTCTTTCGGTCATCGTCACATGCCATATTTTGCCTGCAAGCTACAGTGATCTTTACCTGGTAATCTACTCTGTATCTTCCGCACATCTTGTCCCTTCTTGACATCACTCCCACTTTATTATTCGTTGTCGTATGTTGACCTTTTTCATCTTTTCTTCTCCTTTTTATCCGTTCTGTGTTCGTGTCATTAAGGGTATACGTTGAGCCCGCCGACGATCCCTGCCAGATAATTGGCCTCCAAGTGGAGCGAAGGATGAGGTATTTGTCCATTTGTCAACTGCTGGTATTCGATTGTTGAGGAAGTATGCGTTCATTGTGTTGCAAGTGTTGCTTGTTGCTTTTGCTGGAAAAATGTAGCCAGCTAGGATGGGTAGAGGCTGCCGTTGTTACGTCCGAATGATGTGGCTCTTGCGTGTGAAATAATATGATTATGTGGAGGTTGGAGTTGTTTGGCGAGGTTTGCAAGGTTTGTCTTTATCGTGCCATTTTAGTATACTATAATTAATGAAAAAAAACTAAAAAAAACTTGTACTCATTCTCATTTACTCGCCGGTGGCAATAATGGACAATGGAAAATGTATATTTCAGTATGTATCGTTGATGTCCATGTCCCATAAAGTAGGATGATTTGTCACCTTTTCTCTCTCCCATCCATGTCTGAAGGCTCAAAATGCTCGTCTGTGGAACGGGCGATGTAATGCCTCAGCCCCCTCTTAGGAGTCTATGTCCTTACAGGTCAACCAGGTCGACTAGGTCGGTGACCTCCTGCACAGGAGGCGCGGATGATGTCTGTCCCTCGTCCACTTGCTCTGCCATTTCCTTCTCCCGCTGCAGCTGCAGATGCAGCTTCTTCTTGGCAATGAGATGCGGGGGCACCGGGGGCACGTTCTGCTTTCCGCCGCCTCCACCGCTGCCGGCACTGGTGTCGCTGCTACTGCCGTCCTTGGCGGTGCCGGTGCGGCTCGACGGCCGCGACGTGTACGTCCGCGACGGGTGCGACGTCTGCATGGCGCTGCTCATGAACGGATGGAAGACGTGCTTATGGTTGCGGGTTGGGCCTTGGGTTTGTGTCTGTGTCGGCACCAACGCCGTCGAGTGTGCACGTGAGCGCTGCGTCGGGTGTGGAGCGATTTGCGACGCGTCCGGCGTCTTGTAGCAGCTGAACTGGTTGAGGTAGGGCCCGTTGTCACCAGAACTGGCCGTGCTGCTGTTGCTGCGCATGGTGCGGTGGGCCGGCGGTGGCCGTTGGCTGCTGGTGACCGTACGGGTGCCTCTGGCGGCGGCCGTGGTGGCGGCCGTGGTGCCTGCGGTGATGCCTGCCGTGATGGTGGTGGCCTTGTTTGCTCGACCGCCGCGGCTCGTCCACCACGTCGGCAGGCGGTCCATGTTAATGGCCGCAAGGCCTTCGGGCGTCTGCGGCAGGACATGGGCATAGCGGCAGCTGTCGCCAAAGGGGCTGGATTGTCGCTGTTAGCGTGAGCTGCGGACTCCATCGTGTCCCAATACCCTCCACCGCTCCCCCTTACCAAAAGCCAGTGCGGCACCAGCGGCGGCACGGCCGGACGGCGTTCGCACAACACCGCTTCAGCGGTGGCCATCCGGCTTTGAGTGTCTTCAAAGGACTGCCGGCGGCGGTGGGCTTGACCTTCTTGTCGTCCTTGTCGTCCTTGTCGTCCTTGTCGTCCTTGTCCTTGCCGCAATGGTCAGACTCCTCGTCACCCTGGGCCTCGTCGGCCAGTCCGTGCATCGGGAGCGGAACCGGGGCAGCCTGACCCGCAGCGACGTCAATGTCTATGAGGTCGTCGACGAGCGCAGGATGGTTCAGAATCGCGCAGAGGGACGTCTCACTGAGGTTAGCCAGCATGTCATCGACCATGCTAGAAAGGGCGCCGTCGGTGTGTTTGTCGCCCTGCCGAAGATGTGGGGAGGCAAGGAGAGCAGACATTGTGCTGTCAGTATGTGCGACCTCCTCGCCAGCCTTGTTTTCTTTGGCCTCTATGGTATCTTTGGCCTTGGCCACGACGATCTGTGCATCGTTGTCTTCCACGTCCGGCGACGGGGTCAGAGACACCGGACGCGCTGTCTCCTTTGTCACTTCCGCCTTGACGGTGGGCGACTGGGCCACCGCTGGCATGGCATTGGAAGCACCCCCTTCTTTCGTGACGATGTGCACCTCAAACACATCGTCGGCGCTCTGGCCCGCCTGGCCGTGCTGGCTCTCGTCGTTGTCTGTTTTTCCTGCTGTGTCTGCTTCACTGTCGCTTGCAATGGCAATCATCTGCGCCGCCTGCTCTGGTGTCAGCTCACGCGGCACACCGACAATGCCCACCCACGCGGGCAGCTGGTCGACAGCGACAAGAGGGACAAGGCGTGCCGGTGCCTGAAAACGGCCACCGGATGGCAGCGTCGTTGCTAGGCCGGGCCGCACAACGTAGTAGATGGTGCGAGGCGACATTGTTTCTGGTCGTTTGCTACTTTGTTGTGTAAAGAGTCTGCTGTCTGTTCAGGCGAGGCTCTGGGTAGGCTCTGACTAAGTTCGGGCAATAACGACTCTGTGCCTGCGCAGTGAATGGGAATTGGACGGGACGAGCCAGCGTAGACGAAAGGGATGGGAGAAAAGAAAGAAGAGACACAAGTTACTGTCGAGGAGCATGGAGGTTATATTTATATCAGGGAATATGGCCAATCTGTGACACACCGTTGACGGGCGGCTTTGGCGCATTGTATGTTCTGACTAGAGGATGACAACGAGACCATGGTTATGTGCCATGGAAACTGAATGTAAACAGAGCCACACTGGTGTGGGATGGGTCCTTTGGCAGATTCTTGTGTCTCAGAAGCAGAGCTAACCAAACGTCAGAGCAAGCAAGACGGAAAGAAAAGTCAGGAAGAATAGTTCAGGGTGCAAAACGCGGAAGTATGGGAGCGAAATGAACTCGTTTGCTGTTTTGGTTTGTCATCGACACGACTGCCAGATCTCATCCATGGTTCTGATGCGCTCTGCAGGATAGTGTTTGTTCTTTGTATGCCTTTGTTTGTTTTTGTCTGTTTGTCTGTTTCGTCTGTTTTGGTATATTTTCGTATGTGTTCGTCATGATATATTGCCATCATAAATTGCAATCCTCCTTCCACAACCGCCTTCACCTCACTTCGACTCGTATCCGCGCCTCCATGCCGTCGACACAGAAGCCAAACTGCCGCGGGCTGTCTTTGAGTTCCACCTCACGCTTGACCCAGCGACCCGTCAGATTGGCGTCAGCATCGGCGTCGGCGTCGGCAGGAGCATTCTTGTTTTCTACCACCACTTCTTTCGCTTTGTCTCCTCCTTCCCTCGCTCGACCTTCTTCCTCCTTGTCGTCCTCCTCGTCCTCGTCCTCGTCTTCCTCATCTATGCCGGCCACGGGATCCCACTCGCCCGTCTCCCATACCAGTCGCAGTTTTTGCGGCGACAGCCCAAACAGCCGTCCGGCCAGACCCTTGACCGCATACATGTCAAACGATTTGGGGATGGCTGCCTTCCTCTCCTCGCCTTCTTTGTCGAGGGCAAACAGAACCTGCACGAGCCGGGCCTCCAAAAACGCCGGGTTGATCTCCGCGTGCCGCACCACGGTTGGCTCGCCGTACAGCTCGCACAGCTCGGCATACCGCCGGTGTCGCGCAATTACGGCGGCCTCGGCGGCACTGTCGGCGGGCACGAGAGCCAGTTGCTTGGCGATGCGCGAGAGATAAAACATCTCGGCGTTGGCGCGGTCCGTGGGGGAGATGGTGCTGAAATTGAGGGTGCGCAGGCGGGCAAGGCGCCCGACGGCGACCATGTACGACTCTTCCGTGGAGGCGGTGGTCGTCGTGGCTGTGCCTGCGGATGCGCCGGTGGCCGGCGTTGTTGTCGTCGTTGTTGTCGTCGCCGCGGGGATCATGGCCGCCGCAGACGCCACGTCCAAATTCGGATTGTTGTAGATGGGATTGTGGGCAAAGCGGAGGGACACCATCCCCGGAAAGACGTCGGGCAGGGCGTCGACAAAGGCCCACGAGGTGACGAGATTGTACGACAGATCGACGTACGTCAGAGTGGGCGAAAAGGCAAACGCAGGTGGCCGTTCCGGGTCGGCCGCAACCTGCGCAATCCGGCATCCCTTGAGATGCAGGTTGCGCAAGGCGGCGAGCGCCGACAGGTTGGCCAGGTCCGACAGCGCCGTGAAGTCGTTGAACTCGAGGTTGAGCGTCGTCAGCGTCGTGGCCAGCGACGCCGTCGGCAGAGCCGGCGTCAGATTCGTCAGCTGGTTCGAGCCGGCCGCCAGCGACGCCAGCAGCGGGAAATTGGCCGTCAGGTGCCCCAGCGCGGCCCACGACAAATACGTCTCTTCGACGGCCAGCTCGCGCACACCGTCAAACGAGCCGGCGTACGCGCGGCCCTCGGCCACAGTGACGCGGTTGCCGTTCACACGCAGTCCACGCAGCCGGGGCAGCTCGCGGCAGACTACCGCGACGGTGGCAAAGTCGGTAAACAGGTTGCGGCTCAGGTCGAGCTCCGTGATGCTGGGGCATGTCGTCTGGATTTGGGAGGCGGCGTTGGGGTTGGGCCCCTCTCCCTCGCCCTCCGACACCACGCACTGCCCGTCCAAAATCACCACCCGCAGCGTCTCAATCTGTGCCAGCTGCCGCCGCACCTTGTCGAACCCGACCTCCTCGGCCACCTTGCCGGATATGACAATCTGCCGTCCCGGCACCGCGCCGCCCAGCACCGTCTTGCCGTCCCCGCCCGCCGTGTCTGTGTCCGTCGTCGCTTCGGACGCGTACTTGGCGCGCACGGCCTCCAAAAACGTCCGCGGCGCGTCCGCCCGTCGCGTCGGCCGCACAAACGACGCCGGCGTCAGCGGTCCTGTCGCCAACGCCGGGTGCTGCACGTCGCCCACCAGCACGACCGGCGGCGGCCGCGACCGCTGGCTGCATGCAAAGTAGCGCACGCCCTTGTGTACGCCGTCGTGCTTGCCGCGTGTCGGGTCGTCCCACTCGACGCCGAGCCAGGTGCCGCCCGCGGTGCCGGCGACCTCGCCAATGTAGCGCACCGTGCAGAGGGCGCCGTCGTAGGAGCGGCGCTGGCCGACGAAGGCGGGCGGTGTCGGCTGTGCTGCGGCCATGGTGTGCAATTGCGGCGCCAATGTGTCTATCGCCCGAGTGATTCTCTGGCCCTTTCCACCAAACTGCTCTGTGTTGTCTTATGCCTTCTTTAATCTCGGTCGAGTGTGCATTTCTAGGCAGCAGGGAAAAGACCGTGGGTGAACGTGGGCGGATAGGCAGCAGAATAACAGTCTAAACAGTCTATATGCTGCTAAATGAAAAGAGAAACAAAAAAAACAAAGAACTGCTCGCTGGGTCGAAAATCGCCGCTCCTGGGTGAATTAGATTATACATGTTATGCCATCCATGTTGATTTCTTTTCGTGTAGACTTGGCGATGGATGTTGAAGTTGTCCCGCGCTAGCAGCTCCAGGGGCAGAAACGATCCGCGGTGCGCCACTGCGCCGATCGCAGCTGCCGACTGGGGTGTTAGCGCACCAACACAGCGCAATTGTCCAGAGATGTCACGTGGATCTATTTTCTCATTCCATTTACGAGATGATATGTACAAATTGCTTTTCCATCTTGCACCCTCTCTGCTTTCTCGGCCAGACACAACAGCCTCCTTACAGCTTGCTCTTGGCAGCGACGACCTTGATCAGCGCACGGCCGTTGCTGAGGCACACCTTGCCGCCCTCGATCCGGGTCTCAAACCGAATCTCCTCGAAGCCCTCGCCGTTGACGTCGCCCGTCCGCCACGCCGATGTCACCAGCTTGTCACCGGGCCGCACGGGGCTCGCAAAGCGCGCCTGGTACTCGCGGATGTTGGCTGGGTCGCTGCCGCCGAGGTGCTTGAGCAGCAGGTGGGCCGTCGAGTTGAACGAGTAGAGGCCGTGGATGATGGGGCCGCCGAAGCCCATCTGGACGCCCGGCTCGGGGGTCGCGTGCAGCGGGTTGTAGTCGCCGTTGAGGCGGTACAGCAGGGCCGTCTCCTGGGACGTCTGGTCGACAAACGACACGTCCGGGGCGCGGCGGGGCGAGGGCGGCGGGAAGTTGACGGTGGCCGGGCCCTTGGGGCCGCTCCAGCCGCCCTGGCCGACGTAAAAAGCCGAGCCAACGGCCTGCGAGTACACCTCGCCCGTCGCGGCGTCGACGAGATCGGTCTGCGTCTCGACCACCGTGCCCGGGCGGCCCTTGTCGTAGACGCCGACGACCGTGGTGCGCAGCTCAAACGAGCGGCCTTCCGAGGTCGGCGGCAGGGGCTTCAGGAAGCGCATGAGACGCTGGCCGTCGAGCACGCGCTTGGCATCGAGGGCCGGGGCGCCGGGGATCTTGACGGCCGTTTCGGCGGCGTAGAAATCGACGACCTCCTGGGTGGTTTTCTTGAAAGCTGGGGCAGGTTAGCAGAAGGACGGCACGTCGACCCAAGAGGTGTGCTCGGAAGAACGTACGCAGGACGATGGGGTACGTCGGGAAGACGGAGAATTCGGGGTGCAGTTCCTGTGCCGTTCGTTAGCAGGGCCTCTCGTCACACTCTCCTTCTCCAACGCGTGTGCCCCGTCTCACATACATAGAGAAAGTGCAGCTCGTCGGACTTGGCGCCGATGGAGTTGGCAAAGAGCAGCGCATCGCGCTTGAGCCACGACACCTTTTGGGGAGGGTACTTGAAACCGGCGGGATTGGGCATGTTGAGGACGGCGATGTGCGTGTGCGTGTGAATCTGGTATGTGTATGAGAAGAACAAGAGAGGCGGGAACAAAATTCACAGAGAATGAAGAAGAGCGGCTGTTGAATCAAGTCTGGGGCTCTCGGCCGTTTGAAGATGATACATTCTGGGGAGCTGCCTTTCCTGGGGCGCCTAGCTTACAGTGGGATTTGCCGAGGTTCGAATAGCGGGGAAGCTTCGGAGGCATTGCACACCGCGCGGCTTTGGCAACCGGCACTGCAGGATAGTGGACTTAGGCCCGCATGCGATCCACTATCCACTGTGTAAGTGATGATTGCAGGGAAATCGACACAACGGCATCACATCATCTCATTTATGCAATTGTTCACTTGGATTCTGTGCATGCAAATTGTAATGTATTTATGACAAGTAATGAAAAGTAAAAAGAAAAAAAATGCGTCAAGCTGGCATCTGCTTCGGCGTCAATCGACGTCGCCAGAGGATATGGAAAATGCAAATCAATGATCAATGGGGAATCAAGTCAATCTTGAGGGGGCAGGACAATTGCAAGGAAATCAACAGTCACAAAACATTCCCTCCTCCTCAGCGGAGCTGGGCCCGGTCACACTCCTCGAGGAAACGGTAGATGCCCTCCAGGCCCTCAAACTCCTGCGACATGTGCTCACCCGAGCTCGGCACCGGCGGCGACATGCTCGCATATCCGTCTTCCGCTTCGATCGCCACGACGTCGACGGCGCTCCTCGCAGACGACGCCGGGAACGACGCCAGCCACGGGTTGGCGCCGCCAGTGGCATCGTAGTCGGCAAACACGTCGCGCAGCTCGTCCTCGTCCTCGTCGGACGACAGCCACGACTGGTGCGACCGCAGCGAGCCACCGGGCGACGTCAGCATGTCCTCGGCCGCGCTGCTGCCCAGCAGAGACTCGGGCGTGTCGGGCGCAAACGGGAACCGCAGCGCCGCGTACGTGCCCATGGCCAGGTCGAAGCCGGGGTCCTGGCCCACGAGTCCGCGCGTGATGCCCAGGTCTGCGCAGAGACGGTCGACCGTCTCGGCGTCGACGCCGGGGAAGCGCACGCGCAGAACCGACGCACCCTCGCCTTGGTCGAGCAGCACGGGCAAATCGCCCAGCGCCGCCAGCCGCTTCAGGTCGTTCATGATGGCGCTAAGCTCCTTGAGCGCGCGCGCAAAGTCGACGCTGAGCACGTCGAGGAAACCCTCGGTGCCGAGCGTGACGGCGGCCTTGCTTGCGGCCACAGCCGTACCCGGCAGGCCGACAAACGGGGCCAGGGCCGTGATGGTCGGGTTGAGCGAAAAGTCGACAAACGCGCCGGGCGCCATCTTGGGCATCGCCGGGACGGCCAGCTTGCGGGCCAGGTCCTCCTCGAGCGCGCTGATGGCTTTGTAGGCGGCCCGGCCGTGCGCGTCGGTGCCGTCGAAGCGGGCCCGCTGGCCCGACACCCAGAACGCCCGCATCGCCTGCGAGACGTTCTGCACCACCTGCGCCGGCGCGGCCGGCGTGTGCGAGAAGTAGCGCGCACCGCCGCGGCCAGCACCGCCCGAGGCATAGCCGCCGGCCGTGCGCGGCAGAGCGCCACCCGTCAGGTTGGGCCGCAGCGTCGACGCAAACGGAGCGCGCCCGGACGACCTCCAGACGGCGTGCGAGCCGACGCTCGACTTGAGGTACGCAGCACGGTCGACATAGCGGGGTGCCGCCGGGCCGTCGGTGCTGAAAAACCGGCGGACGGCGCGGTGTGTCGACGAGTACCAGCGTGCGCTGCCACTGTTCTTCACCTGGCGGCGGAAGGCGGCCGGGTGCACGGGTTGGCGAAGCGGGGCGTGTGAGTGAGGGCTTGACCAGACCGCGATGGGCTCGAGATCGCCGCGGGTTGCGTTTGTGATCTGGTTCCGGAGAACTTTGGTGAATTTGGTGCCGGTGGTGAGCGCCTGTCGCAGGACTCTCTGGGCCATGGGGACCCAGATGCCTCCGAGGGACGCCATCACCAAACACAAGCAGTCGTGCTCAGTCTCGAAATGCCCCTTTCGCAATGAAAAAGGCACAGGGAAACCACACGAAATGTCAATGTGGACGTGACGAACAGGAAAAGGAGACGAAAAGAGGCGGTGGGCGTCGCGGCAAGTAAGATATCGGACTGTATTTAAACCGTTGATACGCCAGGCCGCCTTCCGGTGTGAGCGAATGACGTTGATGCCTGAACCCACTAGAAAACTATCAAACCGCCAAAACCGCCACTTCGAGCGCTGGCCAGTGAAGTTCCAAGGCCCTCAGCCCCTGTGCGGAACCCGAATTCACCGGTCTACACCGCTGTTAGTGGGCTCCCTCCCCTGTCTCTGGTCTCTCAGTGCCCTTTCCAAAAAGAGACAAGTGCCTCGGTGATATGAAAATGACTAAGCTAGGTAAGTGTCCACTTTTTCTCGGACGCAGACTGGCTCCACCCACGCACTAATGATTTTCCTGCTATTTTTTCTCGTCGTCCCCAAAGCTCCAATAAATCTGAGAAACTTTTCTTCGTCTCTGCTCCTTTCCCCTGCTTCCCCATCACTTTCTCTGTCTTTACTTTTCCTTCAACGAGGCTTCTTGTCCTCACAACGCCCAAGGATAATGCAATGCGCAAGGTACGATGCTCTCCTCGTCTCCCAAACCACTCTCCGCCACCTCTTTGCGCCTGCTCTTTCTTCTCTTGCTATGATGCTTTTAAAACATGAACAATCCAAATCATACACATCATGGTGAAAACAACATTCACAGAATGGCACTGAGCAGCAAGACGAACACTGCACATGTCTGGCGTACAAGGTGCATTGCCTGTCTTCTTTGCGAGCATCACTGCTAACCATTGCTCTCTAGGTCGCATGTATCATTCTTGGGTGGTAGACAAATTCTCTTTTCGGTCTCTGTCAATTGACACGCGTTGCTCGTTCTGCTTCGCGTGAACCGCTGCCGCTCTAGCTGGCTGCGGCAGCTTCTCCTCAAAAGGTAAGAAAAAAACAAGACGATCGTCTGCCTACTAGCAGGCCTATGCAATGCATTTCTTGCTTTCCGCCCAGGAGCCGTTGCGCTCCATATAAAGTGATGACAACAAATACCAAATCTAGGAATTCCTCTTGCCGAAGATCATATGTGGATAACCCTATTGTTTCAGCCTTGTCTGATTATACACGTCTATCTGTTTATTTTTGTGACAATCGAATCTGCTGTGGGAGAAACGGATTGCTAACCGCTCCCAGGTACTACAAACTCTGCTCGAAACTTCCTTAGGCAGCTGCTTGCTGCTATCCATCCTGCACGTACGCCCCCGCTGTGGCACAATGATGATACTTTGAACGAACGGGCGGACATAACGAACCCTCGGTTGCTCCTCTCCTATTCCAAATCGAGGACGTACAAACCTTCGAGGGAGGGTGGGTGACTGGGGGCTTCTTGATGAGATCTCGTCACCTGAGCCAGACCACAGCATAGCGTTCAATCTGCATCCTGCCAAACGTCTTGTGTATCAAGGCAACCCTGGCATGTCTTTGGGAGAACCTCCACTAACTGTCCGCCAGGTAATTAAATTACACAATCTCTCGTCCACTACATTGGCGATCCGACTCCGCCACCTGCAATTTTACCCTGTGTTGCATAACATGATGATACGTTTATTCACACTGTTTGATCCTTGCTTCGGCCTGGATATGAACATAACATCAAAATCTGATTTAATGAGGTATGTATCCATCACGTCCCACATGTATGCCTGTACACCTGTACATCTTACAGATTGGACGATCGCTTGCTAACGTATTCCAGCCTGAATATGCATTACATACAAACATATACTTTGTCTATGCGGCAATACCAAGGCGCGACCAGACCGCTAACAAGTTTTGTCCGCTCAGGTATGCAGTACATGTATTCTCAACTTTGCTTGACGACGTAAGTATTAGCTTCTACCTCTCAACCACCTCCTTCCCTAGCCATTAAGATGATATCCTTTTACTGCATTTTACTCTGAATCCTCATGTCGAGACTTTTTCACTTGTTCTATCACCTTGGAGAACTGAACTGGCTCAAATACACAAAACATGTGTAATCTTTATTTTGTGGTGAGCTCTGTTGCTGACTCTTTATTCAGGACACAAGCTGTAGAGACAACGTAAACGTTTTATCAGCCTCGAGATACCCAATATTACTATTATCTGTCCAAACATGCAAGCATCTCCCAATATATGTAACGTGCCACCTATGTATTCTCTATCTGTAGTTCCATCGTATCTGTACAACGTAAATATATATACACACTCTCTATATCGCACTCTATATCGCATTGTAAACACCCAGCCAGCCAAAGCACCCTAATTCTTCAGCTGCAGCCGCGCGTTCCAGGCAACAATGCACCGCAGCAAGTCCCAGTCGCCGTGGTGGCCGACCCAGTCCGTCACCAGAATGCCCGTCGAGCAGTCACCGGCTTTGCCGTTCTGCCCGTCGGCCTCGCCGTGCCGCACACAGAGGTACTCCACCACAGACGGGTTGACGCGAGCCGCCACGTTCTCGGGCCAGCACCGCGCGTTGAAAAAGTTGCTGGCGGTCAAGAAGTTGATAAACAGGGGTGGGACCGGCGGCGCGTTTTCTTGGCTGCGCGCCTGCAACCCGCCCAGCTTGGTGTACGTCTCGAGCCCCGACTTGGCCAGCAGCCCGTGCACGTACTTGATCTTGGTGTCGATGGCCGGCGTCTGCAGCACTTCGTAAAAGTCCTGGAGGCGGATCGGGCCCGAGCCGCATGTGCCGTCCTCGCAGTTGTCTGGCCACGACGACCCGTCCAGCCCCCAGCCGGCACCGCCGTGCATCTGCTTGAACACGTCCTCGTCGGGTGTGTGGAACCGGCGGACCAGCACAATGCGGCCGCGCACTTCGTCGAGCGACGGGATCCGCGACTCGGTGTACCAGCGCCACGGCTCGGCCTGGCCGGGCTGTCGGGCCGCGGCCTGGCCTTGCGGCCGCGCCTGGCCCACGTCCGCCGGGCCGCCCGTGTAGTGGTTCACGAGTTGGTGCGCCAGGTCGGCGTCCGAGCCTTTGCCCGTGCCCTCCTTCTTGATGCTAATCAGCACCGTCTCCGACGGGTTGGCATCCAGGAACCCGCAGACGGCGTCGTAGAGCTCGCCAAAGTGGTGCGACCCCAGCAGGCCCACGGGGAACACCGAGTGCACGAGCGCAATGCGCGGGTCCGCGTGCGGCTGCTTCGGCGGGTTGACGCTGACGCGCACGTCCAGGAAGCGCACGCCGTTGTCGAGCTGCGCGCGCACGCCGACGGCCTGGCAGCGCACCGACGGCAGCGCATAGTGGCAGGCCGGGCTGTTGTGCGTGCCGGGCAGCGACAGGCTCGAGAGCGGCCAGGCGCCGTCAACGGTGCCCATCCAGCGCGATAGGGCGGCGCTGCTCAGGACGGCCAGCGTGGCGCCGCCGTTGGCCGAGTAGACGGCCGAAAAGGCAGCAGAGGCCGCCGCACTGCCCGCCTGCGGCGCGTCGCCGCCGACCGGCCGCAGCTCGTTGCTCCGCGACGACGCCGACGGCACGTCCACCGTGTACAGCCGGACGTTGGCCCCGTTGTCAAACGTGGCCTTGAACGTCAGCCGGAGCACCTCGCTGCCCGCCTGGGGCGCCTTGACCTGCGTCTGCGTCGTCGAAAAGGGCGCGATCTGGACATTGCCAATCTGGTCGGTCGTCGTGGCCTGGGCGCCGTGTTTGGGAGCGAGGCCGGTGCCGCCGCTGCCGCTGGCCGGGTGGCCATTGCGGCCCATGATGTAGTTGTACGGCAAGCACACCAGGTTCCAAACGTGCTCGGTGACGCCCCGGGTGTCCTCGATGGCCTCGGCCCCGAAGCGCTCGACCTGCGTCAGCTCCAGCGGCGTCACCGAGATGTTGCGAATAGTAAGAGAAGCCATTGTGGAGGATCCGGTTGGGGGGATCAGGGTATCAGGGGCATCAATTGGTAGAATAAAAGGTTAAAACAATTGGCATTCAGTACCACAGCTCCTCCATCAGACAAACGACGTACGTGGGATGGGAGATGAATCTCGCGACTCTGTTGTTTTATATTTTGTCATTTTGCTTGGGGACTGCTTTTTTTTTATGTAGTGAGCTTGGAGCTTGGAGCTGGGAGCTCGCGTCAGCGACAGCCCACTAACAGCCCGAGCCAGTAACATTCTCCTTTGTTTATAGTGGGTTCCAGGGACGATCAGTGGCCCGGGCGGTATTTGTAGGGCACACCAAGTTTAGCGCATTCCAGCTGCCCACGCTGGAGGCTGGCCCCTTGCTCAGCTGAAGCCAGCGCGGTACGCTAATGCACCCGATCTTGGCGACCTCATTTCTGGAGCCCACCAAAACGAAATAGACAGTAAATAATACGTTGCACTCTCTCACAGGACTGAAAAGGTCGAGCTTCGTCGCTATTTCCCTCACAATTTGTCGGGGTTGTTGCTTGTTGAGATGCTTTGAAAGTCGAAGACGGCATTGGTGGTTCCTTCCTCACCAAGTGCCAAGAAGCCAAGCGAATATTGCTGGCGGTGGTGGCTTCCCATTTAAGAGATTCCTGCGATAGTTCTTGCCAAATCCATCCCGGCTAGCATAGCCAGCTGAGGCCTTTCCCTATTTCCTGTCTACATCACAATTAATGCGGCCGTCTAACCCACAAGAAGATCTTCTTCCCCGACGTTTGTCCATTTCAACATCGCCCGATGGTTGTCCCACACTCTTCGATCACCGCCACGTACAGCCACAAGAGAACCAAAGGCAGCATGACACTTAGCACGCCTTAATGGAGACCGGTGTGATTCGCTACTGCCAGTCCAGTTCTTTCTTGCAAGCAGTTAACTGCTTACCGCAAACTTGCATCCCATACCTACTCATACCTGCTGAGCACATTTGCCGTCGCGACTGGCTCGAATGTTTCTCGAGAATGGCCTTGGCCGCCTGCATCGGACGGACAATTGTATCTTACAGCAAGTCATCCAGAGGGATGTTGGGATGTTCACGCTACACAAACGCTTCGACAATCACTTCTTGCAACAGCGAAACGTGGGAAAGAAGCAATGATTCAAACAACTAAACACTTATGTACAGCTCAGTTCCGTCCTACACACAGCTCGTTTTCTTTCCTTCCTCCAGGCGCTGCCGTTTTGCATGTTTTAACAGCCCGTGCTCATACATAGGGGCAGGTCCATATTCACAACAACCGCGCAGGCTCTCGTTTTCCGCGTCTGGCGACACCGTTCAGCGTTCAGCCCGTCCAGGTGTAGTTGCCGCCCATGTCCAGCAGCCAGGTCAGCGAGTTGAACTCGACGTCAATCTCGCTAATCTGCCACCAGCCCTTCTCGTAGGTGTTCTTGAGAATCGTGATGCCCTTGCTCGGCTTCATGGCGTCGCCAAAGGTCGCGTGCCAGCGCAGCGCAATCACGTCGCAGTCGACGGCGTCGATCGAGTCGACGACCAGCGGGAACGGCGGGTTCAGGGCCTGCGCGTCCATGAAAATGGTCTTGTTCGCAAACGTGGGCTCGCCCAGTGGCTGCAGCAAAAAGGAGTTGATGCTGTCCGAGTTGTCGACAAAGTTGTCGGCGCAGTACTTTGCGCAGACGGGGTCGGTGTAGTTGGCAATGAGCTGCTGGTAGATGCCGACAACGTCCTTGGCTTCCTGCGCGGACAGGCACGCCTTGGTGCTGTTGCCGGCGAGCGGCGAGGCCAGGGCCGACCCGACAAAGGTGGCCGCGGCAGCGAAGAAGGCGAAGCGCATTTTGGGACAAAAAAAACAAACGAATGAGGATGTAGTGGGGATGGAGGACAGGCTGTGCGAGGAAAATCTTCAATCTCGCAAGCTCAATTCAGCAACGAGACGGCTTCTTCTCTATTTATATTCGAGCAGACGTCGGCGAGTGGCCCCGTCTTTCCATCGGAGTCCTCCCCTCCCCGTCCCACCGCTCTTAATATTCTAAGTTGCTCAATTTAAAAGCCTCTTGTCATGAGTGGGTGGTTGCTTTTTGGTCTTCCTCTCCCCGGAACGTTGGCGTTCATGGGCCGTTGCCAGGGACAAACTCGGGCTCTTCGAGCCATGCAATTCAGATATTAAGGGACGGGACAGGCGATGCTGGGCAGGCCAAAAAAGTTCCGCTGTCCCAAGAGAAATGACAAGAGATGACGTCTGCTCCTAAATTGGCTCGTCTTCTTTCACAGCTTTCCAAGACGGGATCAATGCTATTGCATTTACGCCGAGATTCGTCCAAAAACGGCGTGGGCTTGGACAGCGATCTCGTTTATTCGGCTGCTCGGAGCCGTACCATTTTGGGGGCTACTCTTCTTGTGTACTATGTATGGATGTGGGCGAAGCTCTTCGAAGGCGGAAACAAATGGCACTCGCTGTTTTCCCGTCCCCAAGGATAAAAGCAACCATTGCCCAGCGGCAAGCGGCGATCCTACCATAGCTTTTCTTACGCAGCCAAGTCGCGCATTTATCCAGTCGACTCCGCGGCCTCTGGCGATAGTGCTCTCACAACGGACGTCCGACCCTGGGAAGGGCAAGTGGGATCAAAACACGCGAAGTTCCGTGATTTTATTCCTCCAAGGAAACCCGGTTGTCTTGTGCGGTTTTGTGGGCTTGATGCCCATGGTTTTGGCATCCATCGGTCCTTTATTGCCTTCGTTTTACGGGCGTTGACACTCAATGGCAGTGCATGAGCCTGGGTCATTTTACTATACCACTACTTCTATCCTGCAAAGCGTTTGTCTAAGCGGAAAACATTGTCGTCTTCTATTCGCACGTAGCGCAAACCCATGCGGCATACCAGATATGCATGACAATGTTAGATGTATCTATAATATAGCCCTGTTGACCGTATATGGCAAGGCACACCACCGAAAAACCTGCACATCATGAACAGATGCGGCTCAACAGCGAGTCTGGGGGAGGGAAAGGTATCGAAGGAGGACACACGAGAAATGTAAACGTGAGCGAACCGTTTTGTCCGTTCTAACCGTCGGCCGGAGCCACGTTCACCGGACCAAGCGTAGCCAGTGGCAATAAACAAACGACTCATTTCCCCAACTCCCTTGGTCTTTCGCTTCCGGCCGCCGCTCTTGTCACTTGGCGAGACGTTCATGCATATCTATTCAACCAAGGCCGAGCTATGGTTCATGGTGGCGCCGGACTGACTAAGTGCACATGATCACAGCGCTACCACGTGCACTGTATAACGCGGCCGGTAATTTCTTATTTTTTTAAAGTGGCCCTTTCCAAGGCCTCTTTTGAAGCTTCTGGGCACCGTCTCTGGGCATGGCCATAAAGTATTGCCGTGTGTCCAAGGCGGATGTCAGTAACCCAAGCCCGGTGGTAAAATTCTACCTTTGTGTGGATTTTCATATTTCTTGTTTGAACATATCTTCCTCCTGAAGGGATAGTTTCGAGTGGATCACAGCGTATGTCGTATCTATTCAGGTACAACGAGTATACCGTGCGTAATAATCCACGAGACGGGGTCAATCAGCAATGGCTAGTCAGGGGCATTGTCAACAGTGTCAAAGAGTGGAAAGCGTAGACGGCTCACCACCCAGTCCCCTGGGTCAGATCAGACAGGGTTCTTTCTTGAGGGTTATTAATTGCTTTTATATAAATGTATATACAAACAAAAGAAAACAATTGCGAAGAATAAAATGTCTTAATCTGGACTCAACTTCTTTTTTACAAACAAAAACGAAGCCTTCAAAAATAATAGACTAAATAAAATAAAAAATTTCCGTCTTAAAATCGTTTAGTTAAATTTATGATATGCCCCACTGCTTTTTGTTCATCTTATCTACACAGGAACACAGCCTTCCAAAAAAGACTCTGTAAAACGAAAACAAAACCTTACAAGAGACAGATAGAGCGGTGCAACAGCCAGACTCTCTACTTACACCAAACATCACGTGACACTATGTTGTTATCCTCACTTAGTCATCAAGTCGAAAGGTGGAGTAACGCGCCTTTGTTAGCGACAATGATGCGAGGTTGTCGCGATAAGGCTGTGGGGTGTTATCACGAGCTATCCTTCCACGCGCGTGCGAATCTGCAGCTGTGTCTCTCAAATTTTCAGCCCCCCTTTCCATCCCACCCGAACCGATTTGATGATCCACCTGCTATTTTACGGCGTACTTTTGACTTGCCTGTTGACGAACCAGGAACCCTGTTTCTGTAACAAAAGAAATGCTTCAACCGCTCTGAGGCAGCCTTATCGCGTCAACCTCAATCTTTCGACTATCGACAAGCGCGTCTGTTTCTCCATCCGTGGACCTCGTCGACCTCTTCTTTCAAACGCCCAGTCGTCCTCTGGCGCCCACCGTCAAATGGACAGCTCGGTCTTTGCCTTTGTACAGGGTATGTGGGAGAGAGAGCCCGTGCGACAGTCGGGGCAGCCCGCCAACACGGCGGCCCTCTGGCATTACCTATCCATGCACCAAGCCACTGACAACGCACTTGCAGGCTACCTCCCCGACTCGGTCTCGGACCTCCTTCAAGAGTACGCCTTCCGCGACGGTGCACCGCTCCAGCTCTTTTCCGCGGCCCTCGCGCAGCAAGCCGCCCGCGCCGCCGACGCCGTCAGCCCCTACACCGCGCCGCTGACCGCCCGCGCCACCTCGTCCTTTGTCACCATGGTCACGCCGGTGCTCGACCGCATCGCCCGCGCCGCGTACAATGCGCCCGACGTGGTTGTGCTGCTGCTCGTTGTTGTCATGGCGGTCCTCGCCATCCAGGTCCTGTCGCTCCTGCGCCGTCTTGTCGCGTGGTGGACGCGCCTGCTGTTCCGCCTCCTGTTCTGGTCGGGCGTCGTGCTGGTGCTGGCGGCCGTGTGGCAGCGCGGCCCCTTGCAGTCGGCACAGGACGCAGCCGCGATTGCGGGACGCTTGTATGGCTACGCGTCCTTTGTGGGCGACATCTGGCGGGCCGAGTACAACAAGTACCAGCAGCAGCAGGTGCAGGCGCAGGCCGCCAACGGCGGCGGCACGGGCGGCGGCAGCGGTGCTGCTGCCGCCTCTGCCGCCTCTGCGTCGGCTCACGCAGCATCCATTGCAGCAGCAGCTGCCGCGCGGCGGATATACAAGCATGATCCGCGCGGTGCAGCCGGCACAGGACGGCCGTACACGCGGACATGACTACGGCCGTCTTCTAGATGGAAGCGGACCAAGTTGAGGAGGTGCCGCGTTTAGGTGTATTCATATGCATATGAACAAGGTGGAAACAAGAGCAATGGCAAAGGAGAAGAAAAGAAGGTGCGTTATGAGTGGTGTTTTGTTACATGGCGTCCAAAGTTTTGTTTCTTTCCTTTTTGATGTCCTTTTGACACGGCGTTTTTGTATTGTTTTTCGGGCGGCTTTTTGTCTGATTCCCCATTCGTTCGCTCTCTTCGTTTCTTTCTTTCGTTGCTGCATTTCGTGCCAGTCGTATTTTTGGGTACTACTTTGAGCTTTGTTTTTTTCTTGTTTACTGCCAACTGGCGATATTTGCAGAGTGGACAACGACACAGTTTTGCATTACGGATAGGGATAGGAGTTGATGGTCCTTTGATTGGCCATTTCGGCAGCAATGAATGTGTTTTATTTTCTATCATGAGCAAGTTCCGATCCAGAACGCCTTCGCTATGCCTCTTCCCAAACACCAATAACCAAAGAAATCAAACACATAAATGCAGCAAGAGACCCATTCGATGGGCTACATCTCCTCATCGTCAAACTCGTCGTCCTTGAGCTCCTTGGGCTCCTGCGCCTCGTTGAACTGGATGCAATCGTCAATGTAGCTCAGGATGGCGCCCACGCTGTCCTCATTCGACGCGTCCAGCTTCAAGTACGACACCATGCTGAAACTATCAATCAGGTTCGCCACCGCCAGGTTCAGCCGCCGGAAGCTCGTGCCGCGCATCAGCTGCGCCTTGTCCTGCGGGTCGGCCGCGACGGCCTCGCTGTCGTCGATGCCGGCAGCTGCGGCCGCCGGGTCGTCCTCGAGCAGCTGCACGTCGGGCGTCAGGAACCGCTTGAGGTCCTTTTTGCGCACCTGGCCCTGCACCAGGTCCATTTTGCTGAGGATGTTCAGGTGGGGCACCTCGAGCATAATCATGGCGCTCATGGCGCTCAGCGTGCCGGCGAAGAACTTGGCGCGGTCGACGACGAACGTGGCCTCGAGCAGGTAGGCGGCACACAGGCGAATGTCGAGGGAACCGGCGCGTGTCAAGAACTTGACGAGCGATGGCAGGATGGGCACGTGCGTGTAGAGCTCGATCTGGCCGGGCATGTCAAAGATGATGAGGTAGTCTTCCGTCAGGGACTCGAGCGCCTCCGTCAGGAAATCAAGGTTCTCCATGAGGAACTCGAAGCAGTAGATGAGGCCGCCGTTGGGGCCGAGGCCCATCTCCTCCATGACGTCGTCGAGCGAGATGAGGTCGCGGATGTCGAGGTCGGGCGTGTGCTCAAAGGTCTCGGCGGCCGGGTCGAGGTTGACGTAGAAGGAGGAGCGGCGGTTCAGCTGCAGGTGGGTAATGAGGGCGGCCGAGAACGTGGACTGGAGAAGCCAGCACAATGTTAGCCAAAGGCGTTCGCGATAGACGACGAGCATAACTGTGTGCCTTGCAATGGACCAACCTTTCCGGCGCCCGCCGGACCCATGACCATGACGCCGAATTTGCTCATGGCGACGGTATTGGCAAAGATTGTGGATGGAGAGACGTATTGCAGGTGTTGTTGTTTGGCGAACGAGTTTGCGTACAACGTCATATGCCGCAACGCGCTGCAGTGCTTTGTAAATTTTGCAGTTGGAGTTTTTTATCGCCGCCCTCAATAAGCTCCCAGGTCGCACCCCGCAGTGGGGATTAAATGTTGGTCGTGCTATCTAGCCTGGCGAGGCCGCTAGCAAGCACAGGCCAGACGCTCGGCTTTTGTTCGCTGTGGCGCACTGAAGTGGCTGCCGACGTGTCTACAGCGTGCAAGCCCACTGTAATTTAGGGCTCTTCAGTAAGAACGCTGGTGCCCGACTTACACGGGATGTGAGCTGGCCAACCGCGGACTCGTGCCAGTACCAGAATGGAATGTCTTTGATCTTGGTTCCTTGGCTCCCGCTTACATATTTCGCAGGGGAAGAAACAAACATCGCCGTCTATGGTTCTGGTAGCTGAGATTCATTCATGCAAGAGACATGGGCAATTGGGATCGCATAACGGACATCGATCGAGCTGACGTTCGTATTTGGCAAGGACGGATATCAGACGAGCGTGGTGGTCTGCTCATTTTTTCTTTCTGTCCGTTTGTACTTCCCTTGCGATCCCTGTCAAGACGAAAAATGCCGCCGTTCCAATTCGCATCTTAATCTTAATCTCACTTTTGCGGCAGTCTGGCCAGATGACTGGCAGCAGGGACCCCTGGGATGGGCCACTCGGGACGTCGCTTTCCTCATTTGTGCCTTTTGTTTACAGCGGTCCGCCGTTTGCCATTGCCACTTTGGGCCTAAGAACGTTGCACACGACGTCTAGGCCCCGGAGAGCCAGAGAGCCATTGCCCCCTTCCGCAGGCAAGGGCGAAGACCACTGGCAGCGGCACGCACTTTAGACTCGTGGACGGCAGGGAGAATTAACAAACGGCAAGAGCAAGAGGACGAGCCACGTTTTGAGTCTCCATTGTATGTTGTCTTACATCGTATGTTCATTTTAGTGAGTGGCGGCGCCCGCAAACAGTGTGCTTCCCGTGCCGTCTTTTCCTGCACGTACTTCGTAGGGTCTGACCTGGTCTCTGGGGGCAGAACCGCACATATGGACGGGCAAAGGCACAAACGCTGTACCGCGCTGTTCATAGTCTGGTGTGCGTCTTCCGTCGCGCCTTCCACATGGCGCGGTGTTGCTTTACTGTGGTCGACTTCATTTGCTCCTTCCTGTTGCTCGCTCTTTCCGATTGTCATGCAATGCTCCATTTTGCCTGCAGGCATGCTTGCAAACAGGCAAGCACGACCAGCCTGTTCCCCGTCCGATGCGTGCCTGTTCGCACATCGTTTTACTTACGTGATGAAGGAACGATTTAGCGCTGGGCGAAGCTAGCGCAAGCCTTTTTTCACGACGTCTTTCACATCGTGCCACACGTCCAACGGACGCGCTACCCTGGCCTGGTTCCGGTCGTTTGCACGCCCAGCCAAAGGGAAATCCCGACGGTAGAGACAACAGCTACGCGTTCTATTGGCTCGCGACTTGCGTCGAGTGGGTCTCGTAGTCAAGACCCCCTAAAATGGGCTCACAGACAGTCAAGATGCAAAGCGATAATTAGAGTAGGAGCGAACGAGAGAAAATCAACATGACTGGGGGAAAACCCCGAAAAAACAAAACAAAAGTAGCATTAGGAAGGAAGGACCCAGGGTAAATCATTGAGAAGGCACGAGCACGAGACAGAAAGAGGAAACAGCTACAGATACACAGGCAGCATGAGCAGGTTGTCGAGAAAGCAAGAAAGAGCGATCTACCACGTACTCAACTCCCTGGAGGTAACATTCAGTGCCTTGCTCTTTCCTCGCGTGTTACGACGAGCGCCCTCCTTCTCAATCAAGACAATCGACACCAGTAGCTCGAAGCGCCCCTTTTTCCAGTCCTTCGCTCCCGCCCCCAAGCCCCTAAATTGCCTCCTCTGAGAAATAAACGTCGAAAACGGGACCATTTCACGTGTGGCACCACGGAATCGGGCGTTTTGGACGCAGTGATCGACGACAGAATCCACCCAAACGAGAAAAAGAGGCAGGTCGAAAAACCAACGCGGTCCTCTCTGTCGCCTAAATCGAAGGCAGTGAGCGAGACAGGAAACCGTCAACACGGAGACACTCGCCAGCCCACACAATCCCCGACGAAAGGGGCCAAAGATTCAGCCCTTGCTTTGTGTGCAGCCACCAGCGAAGTTCGACATTTTCTGTACATTTTTTGGACACTTGATGCTTCAAGTCGACCTCCGAAAGGACTCGTTGCATTCAATTCGGGGTTTGCCAGACCAACCAACGTCGACAACTCCCGGCAGACGAGCGTTGAGACGAGGTCGTTTTTCTTCAAAATAACCGCGACAGAATTGGCGCAGTAGTCTCCAACTCGACCGTGACTCGACCACCCTCGAGACATCGCGAAACCTCGACGCGACTCGTCCTCCTGCTTCCTCGCACCGACGCAGCACACTGATTTAGCCGTCGATCGCCACGGCCGCATTGTCTGCGGATAATTCGAATCGAACCCCTTTTGACGGCCGTAAAACGACCACTCCCACGCCCTCCCATCTGACGATAAGGAAGCTCGAAACGAGGCTCGAAAGTGCGAGCGCATATTGGACAATCTCTCCTGCATTGTGGTTCCCGTGTCGCGCATCCTCTGTTTTCCGCGACAACTGGCAATCGCGGACACTGACAACCTATCCCAAGAGACTCGATACAATCGTTGCGGAGGGAAAGGACGACAATCTTGCTGCTCACTTGGAGAAAACCGAAGAGGCCGTTGCGCCTAAGGAGGACGACCACGCTCTCTGCGAGAACATACCCACAACGACCCGGCAGGAACAGCCAGCGTGCATCCCGCGAGGTGCGAAACGAGGCCCCACAACGAGCTGCCGGCTCGCTTCATCGTGTCCCGCGTTCCGTCCCGCCTCGCTCAGTACGCCTGTGTGGGCATGCGTTGCATCTTTCGTTTTCGCTTGACCTGTCTTAAATAGCCTTTCCACACCGACACCATGGCCGCCACAGACGGCCGCATGGGTGCACACCCGCAGCCATACCCGAACCTGCCAGCGTCGCCCACCTTGACGAACCCTGATATGATTTTACCCGATTATGACTTTGCGCTCTCGCCCAGCCTCGACGACGAGGACCACCCGGCCCGCTCCCAGTCGCCGCTCATGATGTGGAAGAACGCCCACGCTGCCTCGTCGACCACCGACTTGCAGCAGCTCTTTGCCGCCTCCTCGCAAGAGCACCACGCCTTTCCGACCGGACCCATCACACCCACCACCCCCATTATCTACGGCAATGGCACCATGCTCTCCGACATTGGCGAGGTCACCGAGGCCGAAAGCACCCCCGGTCGGCCCTCGCCAGGATCCGTACGGCGCCGCGCTGCTGGCGGTGCTGGCAGCAGCGGTCCATTTGATGCTGCGGACTCAGAGGGCTCCCGTACGCCGTCGCCGACCCCTTTGCCGCACAACCTCCGCCCCTTCCACCACAACGCCAGCAACAACTCCAGCCACAACACCCTCCAGGCGGCGCTTAGCAGCCGCGACAATCTCTCCGATGCGCCGCGTCGGTCATCGCCCACAATCGGTGTCGAAGATGCGCCTCAGCAGAACGTAGGCTCAAGCTCCAACGGCGTCAAGCAGCGCGCCCGGCAACAGCAGCAGCAGCAGACCGCCCGGCGGGACTCGCTCGAGAGCAACAGCACAATAAGGACACAAGATCAGGCTGGTCTCTTTGCCGACTTTGACGACACCGTCAGCGTTGGCGACAGCGTCTTCCAGGGCGACGACGAGGAGAGTGTGGCCGAGTCCTACGTGGAGGAGCCGTATGTTGCTCGAGAGGTGCCGATCCTAAGCTCGGCCGCACCAGCTTCTCTACTCGCCGTTCCGGATTTCACCAGTGGTGGCTTAAGTAGCGGAGGCAACACAAGCGACGAAGGCGACCGGCGGCTGTCCGCCGCGTCGCTGAGTCTGCGCGCTGAAAAGATTCTGGCCAATGCCAAAAAGCGACTCACCGTACGTATCCTCGCCCAGTATCCATACAAGAGATTTTGTGCACTAACCGGCCCACCTATTATTAGACAATGGAAGGCAACTTGAACCGCGCTCGCAGCTCACTCTATATCTCGTCCCCTCCTGGCGGTTCCCTCCCCTCGGACGGCTCTACGCCGTCCCCCAAGACACCTGTCCGTTCCGCGACCGCCAGCAGCCGCTACCACGACCCGAACCCCGGCTCGCCAATACACTCCCGCATGGTAAGCGACGGCGCCGTGCCAATCAACGGCGGTCTGCCCAGCAACTTCCCGCAGCGGTCGGCCAGCGCTCTTGGTGCCGCTGGCGGCTACCGCAAGCCACAGCAGACCGGCTCCAGGAGCGCTGATCGCATCAACGAAATCCAGGACAGCTTGAGTGGTGGCTACCACCGGGCTGGTCTTGCCAAGCCGGTGGACATTGTCCTGGAGCGCCTGGACGAGGTAGACGGCGCCGACGACAATGAGATTTTGCCGTCGCAGGACCGCTCAAGCGACCAAGTAGAATCATTCCTGAGCCCGACATTCGCTTCGGCCGCCAACGGCGGACAGTCTGGGCTGACTCGGTCGGCGTCCGTTGCCCAGATGCGCGACCTCAAGGACCAAATGAAGGGCCTCAAGGGCAAGATCTCGACGCTCCGTGAGCAGGCCCGTGCCGACAGCCTCAAGCGCAGAAGCCTTCAAAGTCTTCGGACACCTAGCCCGTTCACACACTCGCAGGTGGACCAGTGGTACGCCGAGCAACCGCAGTCGAATGGGAGCCCCGAATCTTCCGGCAACGGCAGCCCAGGCCAGCACCAGAACAACTGGACCAAGGAACGGGCTGCGGACAGCGCGGTTGAAGGAAACCCCGTGGCCACCCGCGGTGATGTCAGTACGCCCCCACCCCGGCAAGCGGGCGGTTCCTCACCCGCTGGAAGCGCACGTCTGCAACGCAGCGGCGGCAGTAGCTCGAGTAGCGCTCGTCAGACTCGGCGGAATACGGCCACTGCGCTCGATGCAGACCAGACGGACGGGGACTCTGTCCTGAGCAGATATGAAGACGTGGAGGACGGAGAGGTGACAAAGCTGTCCTACGCGAATATGTCACAGCATGCGACCGAGTCCCCTGTTTTGGGCGAAGCTCGGTCAATTCCTGGCAGCGAGACTATCCCTGGTGACGACGACGTGGACGATATGCGGACCGAGAATGGAGACTTTTCCGATGACGGCGAGCCGAGACAGCTTGAGGATGTCTTTGTCGACAGCGCCGAAGCCACCGAGCAACTGGAAATCGACGACGGTTTCAACAACAATGAGGTGTATGACTTGGGCGCCGAGGACGATGACTCACGCGAACTGTCGTCGCAACAGCAATTCGAGCAAGATGACGTCGATTACGAGAGCGAGAGTGGCGAGTCGCTGTACCATGAAGCGCTGCAGCACCCTGTATCGCACGAAGACCGCGAGGATGCCTTTGACTACGAGCATTTCATCCTGCACAGCGCCCTGGGGACTATCAGCCAACAGCGTCTGGCGCGGAGTGGAAGCTTCAGCTCGGAGGATTCGGTCGAAACCACGCGGGGCCCTGTCTCGTCTAGCAGCAACAACAATAATGACGCCGCTTTCCCAAGCCCGAACCGCCGGACCAGCATGAGCTCCATTTCCACCGTCGAGTCCGCCGACTCCTTCGCAACGGCCACCGAGGGACGAACCAGCCGTAGCAACCACGTCAACTCCGATGAGGAGGACGACGTCGTTATCGACCGCGATTCGCGGACTGCTGCCGCCGCCGCTAAATACCGGCCGGACAGCGTGCTCCTTGCGCGTGCAGCCGCCGCCAATCAGAGCCCCACGCCTGCCGCCTCCGCCGCACCGCCCGAGGACAACTTTGGGTCCGGGCCCAAACGGAACAGTGCCGAAGAGCCCCGCCAGACCCAGCAGCCGTCCATGGCGCGGCGCCCGGCCAGCGCTGTCGCTGGCCACCGCCCGTCGATCTCGTCGTTTGAGTCCATTGGCACCACGCGCAGCTTCCCGCTCGTGAACCGCAACCGCATCGGCAGTGTCAGCACCGTGAACGGAGGCCCCGCTACGGGCTACCGTAGCGGCAGCAGCGGCGGTACCCACAGTCTAACCTCGTCCGTCTCGACCCTGCCCAACGGCAACCGAGACAGCTCTGCCTCGTCGACGCCGACCCCGACGCCGACTCAGGCAGCACAGCCAGGGCTCAATGGTGGCCTTGTCTCCTCTGACAACGAGGAGCTCCGGAGCATCTCCGAGATCATCATGAACGAGACGGCAAGCATATTTGAGCAGGGCGGCCATGGCAGCGCCAGCATCGGCACCAAGCCGAGTGTGTCCAGCCTCGGCGCGCCGTTCCTCGACCGCGCGGGCAGCGCTGCCAGCAGTACGAACGGCGGCCCGGCCTCGCACGCCCAAGCCCAAGCCTTGGAGGCACTGTCCAAGGAAGACCAGTACCTCGTCGAGCGCCTGGTCGGCAACCTGGGCCGCTGCGTGCTGGGCCTGTCCGAGAGCGGTCGTGCGAGTACGGAGAGCCGCATGTTCCGGCGGCGCATCGATGCTGCACGCCGCATTCTCGAGGGTCTTGACCCAATCTAATTTCCTTTTTCTTCTTCTTCATTTTTCTCACCACTTATTTTGTTCTTGATCCTATTCCTTCACCTACAAATGTCTAATGAAAGCGAACAATCTCTTTTTTGGCTTCGGTTTCGATCTTTACTTTTTTGGTATCCGAGAAATTGGAGGCGTTTCATTGGCTAGTGTGATTTGTTTCACGGTCAACTGTTGAAGTCGTCTTTTTTAGATTTTGTCTTGTTCGGGATGCGCGATGGCGCTGCAAAGCCACTGGGTGTCATAGGATCTTTATGATTGCCTTTCTCCCTTGTCTCTTATGACGACAACGGACCATTTCGCGTACTATTATATATTTTTTTCACTTCTTTTGTTGACCCGTTTTTGTGGTGGCCGTGGATGTGTATCTATCAATACCCCTTTTCGCACTTATCTAACTTGTTTTTCAAGCTGTTTAGTATTGGGTCTGGATATGCTGGTGAAGAGGCATTAAGCATTGTCGTACACATTGTCTACAATCACGCCTGTCTTACCTTTGTCTGACCCCGTAATATCTTCCGGGTGAGTTCGAGAAGGTCCATTCTATTTCCAGTGATAAAATCAAATCAATTTTCTAAACCATGTGACTTTTAGACTTTTGGGACGTATTAATATGAAATGACAAGTAAAGTCAGGGAAGCTGGCTCTTGTAAGCCTCATAATAAAAACAGAAAGTGGATGTGAATAAACAAGATAAGTCGGTGCGCAAGAGAGACGTGAGCTCGCGGTTTTCACCCCTTTAAAAGGCAACGAAAAGGTTACCTAAGGCGCATAACGACATTCTAAACCCTGATTTACAATCAAGAACGACACCAAATAAAGAAATAAAAAGAAATAAACTTGCACGATGGGGGTCGGAACGAATGGAAAATGAAAAGGAAGTAAAGAATATGTGCGCAAAAATGAAACAAGACCCTGGACCGTGAGCAATAATAACTCATATCATTTTCGCCCTTATTCAGTGCCACGGTGCAGCAGAAGAAACTGAAGGAAGCGGGCCACAAACCCCCCTTATCTATATTTTTGGGTTTTCTTTATTGATCAGTCGTCGCCACCCTTCCGTGCAGTAGGCTCGCTTTTGGACTGCGCACGACGGGAGTAGTAAGGTCGGCTCCATTTCACTTTGTTGTATCTGCCCCTGCCTCGCGTACTGCCTCTCAAGCTACCTCGGGAGGCACTGTTGTTCGAATTATGGTCTGGGCCATTTGAGTTTTGTTGTTTTCTCGGTTTGGGTGATGAATCTGGCTCGGTGACGTCTGTGCCCCGTTGTGTGTTGTGGAAACCAGAACGATCAGATGCCTCCGGCGACACCGTCACACGGTCGGACACGGAATTGGTCGTGGCCGTGGCGTCTGGTTGAGTATATGCTTGCTGTGCGTGCTTGTGCCGTGCAATCCTCCCACTTTCTGTGACCTGGGGAGAAGGGGATACGATGCTAGTGGTCGTAATATCACGAAAATGTGGCACGTCAAGCGTTGTCGATACCTTATACGGCGTCGAGGGGGACTGTCGGGGTGTAAACGTTGGTGCAACAGGATTCAGTCGGGGCCCCTGGATGAGGAGACATCAAAATGATTAGAAATGGAAAAGTCAAAACAAAAAGGCAGTTTGATAGCAATCATACCTATTTCTTCCGATCCGAATTCGAAATTGTCTCCGTTGCCGTTTCTGAGCCGGAATCGTCGTCTTTGTGGTCCTCCGTGGTCTTGTTATCGTTCGAGCCGGCACCTGAAGTTGATTCGTTCGCATTTTCTGACGTGCTTCCATGGCTCGTCGAGTCCACCACCTTCGCTGGGGATGTTGTTGCTTTAGAGACATCGTCGCCGGTTTCGTCGGCGGTGAGGTCGTTGACGAGATCAGATACTTTACCGGACATGTCTGCCGCCTTGGACTTGTCTTTTGTTTTTGTAAAGACCTGCTTGGACCATAGGTTGGCGTATTTTCCACCTGCCTCGATGAGCTCGTCATGGTTTCCTTGTTCGACGATCTCACCATCCGCAATGACAATAATGGAGTCGGCATTCATGACAGTAGATAGACGGTGACTACACACGTGCGAGTGTTAGCTCTATGTTGGCGTCGAAGCACAAGACAGGTAAGGGTGGCTATACGTGGGGAGTGGGATAACTTACGCAACCACGAATGTGGTACGGCCGGAGCACAATGCTTGCAGGGCATCTTGAATCTTTTGCTCTGTCTCTGTGTCCACTGAGCTAGTAGCTTCGTCGAGCAAGACAATGGACGGGTCTTTGAGAATTGCCCGTGCGATTGCCACTCTCTGTAGTTCACCCCCAGAAAGCTTGATGCCCCGCTCACCAACTCTTGAGTTGTAGCCTATGGAATTGTTAATGGTCAAGACATACGGAAGCAGAGCTTTAATATTTAATGTCCGCATACCTTCAGAAAATCCAAGTATTTGGTCATGGATAGCGGCAGCACGACATGCATCGTAGACATCTTCGTCGGTTGCATCCAGCTTCGCATATCGAACATTGTTCATGATTGTGTCGTTGAACAGGATGGGCGCCTGGGGCACGATCCCGATCCGCGATCGAAGACTAGATATCGAGTTAGTGACACATGTAATCATGAAATGCAAGCACACAGACAGAAAACGAACCTTTTGAGATCTACATCCCGGATGTCTTGCCCGTCAATCTTAATGGAGCCCTCGGTGACATCATAAAAACGATCCAGCAATTTCAAAATGGTAGACTTGCCAGCGCCAGTAGCGCCGACGAAAGCGACAGTCATACCAGACGGAATGTGGAAAGAGATATTTTTGACAATATCCTTCTTGTCGTTGTAGGAAAAGCTGACGTCCTTGAATTCAACGGTTCCTCCAGAGAACTCAAGATTATCAGCATTCTCCTTACTGACAACTGTGGGTTTGGTGTTCATGATATCCAGAAGTTGTTCGGCATGTATAAAATTCCTGGAGATGTTTTTTCCCAGACCAGCGAAGAATGTCAGGGGCGCAACAAGCTGGGTCCAGTATGTGAGGAGCATGGCAAACTGTCCAGGTGTCGACTGTCCAGATGTCACTTGGTACACCGCCAAGAAAGCGCCCGCTAGAAGACCAGCCAGAAGAACGAGGTACTGGAAGGCATAGGCCAATAGATATCCGATGTAGACGTCTTGCGACTTGGCCACCCGAGTTTTGACGGCACTCGAGTATCTGTCTTCTTCATGGCTGACTTGGTTGAAGGAGGCAACGGTTGACCAGCCCTGGATACCAGCCTGCCGGACATAGTGTTCGTCAAACCAAGCGTTGACCTCCCCGCGTCGGGCCGTCTTGAGACTCGCAATCATACGCCCTGCGATATAGAGGAAGATGATAGAGGTCGCGAATGTGATAAATCCTTCGTAAGGGCCGAAAGTGGCCGAAAGATACATAAAGGCGATGGTCATATCAATCACCATGGGAATGGCCGAGAAGCAAATGGACTCGAGAAGGTTGGAAATGGCTTGGCCCGAGGATATCGCGACCATGATGTCAGAAGAGCTCTTGGAGTCATGGAAATCGGAAGAAAGGTTCAGAACATGAGAGTACGCCGCGATGCTCATTGCGCCAAAGGAATAGTATTCCACAGGGATCCAGAGCCATTGGCGTAGCAGGGAGATTCCCGCCTGGGACGATGCAAATTTGAGAAACGCGAAGATGATGACCTGGACCCACGGGTTCTTGTCATTGGCATGACTCAGGCTATCCATAATGATACCGAGCTGGCGAGGAATGAGAACGTTGAGAGCGTTGTTCGCCAGAAGGCACAAACCAACAAGAAGAGCCCGGATCTGAAGGGTACGGTTGTTGACAGGCCAGATATAAGGGAAGAAGATCTGCGCATGTTAGCCATGGCCGTTACAACACCCCCAATATAAAGACGGCTGCACCTGGGAGAAGTAAGACTCACCATGAACCGTTTTGCGTACTCAAACCAGTTTCCATTTTCCTTCAGACGCTTCTCCATCTCTTCTCGTCTCTTGCGCTCACGACGTTCCCAGGGCAGCTCGTTTATGTTTTCTTCGTCAGTCTTTTTCGCTTTGTCATCTGCGTCCTTGCTGTTGTCTTTGGTCCCATCTTTCGAGTTCTCCGAATCCGAGTTGCCAGTCGTAGAGTTGGCTGAGCTACTAGCCGCCGTTGTGCTCGTTGATCCGTATGCGGTAGAAGACTGTGACCCGTCTCCCTCGTCGGAGGCTTGGATCGGTGTTCCGTCGGGGTTTTTGGGAATGAGAGGCTGTTGCTCGGCGTCAGTGGAATCCTTGGAGTCGTCCACTTGTCTCCATGTGAAATATGTCGCAACAACCAAGCCGACGGCAAGGCACCGAGAAGATACAATGGTGACTTGAGCAATCTCCACGCCAGAGAGCCGACCAGGGGGGCGAGCAGTGAGGCCGACAACAAAGAGAACCGGCTCGAGAACTAGAGAAAGGATATAAGATCCAATGAATGGGTACCACGTCACCTCCGACTCTTCAGAGAGCATGGCAAACTGGAGCCCCAAAACCAGAATATACGACAACAGACTGATCATAACATCCTGCTGGCCCAGCCACTCCTTGTCAATGATGGAGGGGATGATGATAGCGACAATCTGAGCAACGTAGCTCAGTACTGTGAACAGCATTAATGCCAGCAATGGACGTCGGCGAGGGTGCTCTTTTTTGTCAGACAGAGTGCAGAGAGCGACGGCCGACGAAATGGCAAAATAACCAAAGATGGCCGCCGGGACGGCATAGTGAAGGCTTATTAGAGCCGTGTCCACGGGCTTCACCAAGGTGGTGAAGCTGGACATGGTCGTAAAAGTTGAGCGTGGCCCGTAAGAGCTCAGTAATGTCGGTTGCGTCCGAATGATACTTCCACTGGCTCAAACAAATCTCAGATTCCAACGCAGGGCTGAAAATGGAGGCCCAGGCCGAGACCCAACTTGTAGATGGAGTCGAAGGGACCGGGGATGAAAACAAAGGTGCAACACAGGAGGACTTTC